AAAAAGAAAAAAAAAAAAAAAAAAAAAAAAAAAAAAAAAAAAAAAAAAAAAAAAAAAAAAAAAAAAAAAAAAAAAAAGCGCAGCCCTGGAGGTGTGGAGTGTAAAAGTAACAGGGAATTGAAGCCTTGAAGCAAGCGGTTTTATCACTTGGCAACTTCGTTCACTTTTTTTAACGTTCTTCCTCTTTCTTCTCTCATTGCGCATTCAAATTCTTGTTATGCTCAACAGATGCCTCCGAACAATCTCTGAGAAATTGGTGAGTGATCAGAGAGCAGCCAATTAGTGTCACTGAGTAGTACTCAGGAGTGTGTCATTGCCCAGGGGGATCTCAGTGGTCCATCACGTGACAGTTCTGAGCCTGGACTGAGATTTACTCAGTGAGCCTGACTCCGAGCAACCTCATTAAAGCGGCAAGCAGCGGTACCCGATATAGGAACAAAATATGGTATGTATATCTACCGTATGGTAGCACTTGACCTCGGGAATATCCCCACATTACTAAATGCCTCCATGCGACAGGCCGGCTCAAGACGGAAATCAGCTGCCTAGGAGTGGTCCGATGCGCTTCGGTTGGTGTGAGATCCGAGAATGTGGTATGGCCTGACTCGATGAGTAATGGGCAATCCCCCCTGCCTGATTTGTCCTCCGTAACCCTAAGTCTACAAGTAAGAGCTCTACGCCATACGAGAGAGCCATATTCATCTGCAATTGTTTCATCATGGATCTCGCTCCGTTGGTAGCAGGCCATATTCTGCATGTCGCCTACTTCACGGCCGGTGTCTTTCTACTCTCCATCATTCTCAATGTCATAAATCAATTGGTATTCTATAAACGAAAGGAGCCACCGGTGGTTTTTCACTGGGTGCCTTTCATCGGGAGTACGATTGCATATGGCATGGATCCGTACCAGTTTTTCTTCGCATCTCGTGCAAAGGTATGTTTGTTTCCATGATTGCCTGTCCAAGCCATCTATAGATGCTCACTATGAGATCTAGTATGGTGACATCTTCACCTTCATCCTCCTTGGCAAGAAGACAACTGTCTACCTCGGTATCGAAGGTAACGAGTTCATTCTGAATGGAAAGCTCAAAGATGTCAATGCCGAGGAAGTATATGGCAAACTCACAACACCTGTCTTTGGATCGGACGTTGTTTACGACTGCCCCAATTCCAAGCTGATGGAGCAGAAGAAGGTACAACTATTTCTTGCGTGGTCATCCACTCCCCCAGATTGTTCATGTTGCCCTATACTGATCCTTTTCTTACTTCAGTTCATCAAACATGGCCTGAGTACGGCGGCTCTAGAGTCATATGTTCCCCTCATTGCCGACGAGACAAGCGCCTACGTCAAGACCTCGCCCAGTTTCAAAGGCCGATCTGGCACCATTGACCTTACAGCCGCCATGAGTGAAATTACACTTTTTACCGCAGCTCGCACCCTACAAGGCGAGGAGGTCCGGTCAAAGCTCACCTCTGAGTTTGCGGAGCTGCTTCACGACCTTGATCTCGGCTTCACGCCTGTCAACTTCATGCTTCCCTGGGCCCCTTTGCCACACAACCGGAGGCGTGATCTGGCACATTCCCGAATGCGCGAGATCTATTTAGGAATTATGCGAACTCGGCGGGAAGTCATGTCTCAAGGCGGTGCCACTCAACCCGAGAAAGACACCGAGGGCACAGACATGATTCTGAATTTCATGAACAGCAGGTATCGCGATGGTAAACCGATTCCAGACAAAGAGATCGCACATATGATGATCACTCTACTGATGGCAGGTCAACACTCCTCGTCTGCAATCAGCTGTTGGATTCTTCTCCGACTAGCCTCTGAGCCAGAGATAACAGAAAAGCTTTACAATGAGCAGATTCAGAACTTGGGTGCTGACCTTCCACCACTACGATACAAAGATCTCGAAAAGCTGCCCTCGCTCCATAATGTCATCAAGGAGACATTACGCATTCACTCATCTATCCACACACTCATGAGGAAAGTGAAGAACCCACTGCCGGTGCCTGGTACAGAGTTCGTCATCCCCACCTCTCACACCCTTCTCTCTTCACCGGGTGTGACCGCGAGAGACGAGCAGTATTTCCGAGACCCCTTGAAGTGGGATCCGCATCGGTGGGAGACCCGGGTTGAGGTCGAGGATGATACCGACACGATTGACTATGGGTATGGAGCTGTCTCAAAGGGAACACGCAGTCCATACTTGCCATTTGGAGCAGGCAGACATCGTTGCATCGGAGAAAAGTTTGCCTATCTCAACCTTGAGGTGATCATTGCCACACTGGTGCGAGAATTCAAGTTTTTTACCGCTGAGGGAAAAGAGGGAGTTCCTGACACGGATTACTCGGTACGTTCTATGACTGAAGTTGACTCTGTGATGTCTATCGCTAACATTTGACCAAGTCACTTTTCTCTCGGCCTGTTCAACCTGCCACTGTGAGATGGGAAGCTCGCTCATGAGTGTTTGAATTTATCTTTGGGGGTGCCATGCGTTTTTCATTTCATAGTCCGACGAAACCTCGGCTTCCGAGGAGCACTTAATTATTATTAGCAAACTGGTTTTGTTGTAACAGCATGACAAATAGGCAAAAATCATGCGTGAGGCTGGCCTGGCATTTCCATTCTCACAAACACTTTTTCTAAGCATTCTAAGTTAAATTTGTATGTCTGCAAGTTGGTGATGCTTGGGGTATTCTGAGGTCAACAGAGTAAGGCCCTAAGGCACCGATAACACCTCAGGCACCACATCCCCACAACGCTGCCAAATCTGGTCCTTCTCCCTCTTCCCTCTCTTCCTCTCTCCAAGTTTAGTGTCCCAGAGAATGGGATCATTCAATGCGAGTTGACTCTCTCACATATGAGGAGGCGTCGGCGAATCTCCAATTGGATCCAGGATAACATTGACCTACGAGCAGTGTCACAGTTCGATTTCTCTTCTTCCCATTGGTGCGGCGGAGCCGCCCGCATACTTGCCCGCATATTTAACGCGGAGCGGAAGTCGCAGCAGAAATCAAACTTCCCTTTCACCAGACCACTTACACTCACCCGACGCACAAAATGCCGCCAGACAGAACGCATCTGGCATGTCTAAGATGTAGGAAAAAGAAACGCAGGTGTAATGGCCAACAGCCATGCCGCAATTGCTCCAACGCGGTGCAGGAATGCATGTACGACGAACCGCCCAAACGAAGACCATCGGAAAAGCCTTTCCAAGCCCCAAGAAATGCAACCGAGAGGACACCGGTACATTCAAGCACAGAGAGAAATACCGAGCTAAACTCTGGGGGCATACTGGCCAAGAGACTCGGACTTTGGACCGATACATGCCCTGTCGGAGGAGCACGATTGTGCTCTTGGAATCTTCGCCTGCGCAAAGAGCCCCGGTACATGCGAGGAACGCGACCATTAACAGAAATCTTGAGCTCTACGCACTTGTACCATCTCACAGGCATATACTTTCAAGAAATCCAGCCGGTCTACAAGTTTCTCGACCGAGACATGCTTGACACAGCAATAGCTGCCTTGCAACGCGATGAGCTGCCTGATCGTTCCATAGAATCTGTGCTCCTAGGAGTTGCAGCATTGGCTTGCCTATTCAGCGAACAAGAAACCACTCTAGAAGACGAGATCATCCAGAATGCTCGCGCCAGTCTTGAATACTCGACAACACTGGAATCGCCAACTGTGAATCACGTTGTTGCATGGCTGCTCCGTGTTATCTTCCTGCGATTTAACGGCTCTCCAAATGCAGCATGGATCGCAAGCTGTACTCTTATGCATATGGTTGAGACAGTTAATCTATATTTGGACTCGCATTCAGGAAACTCAAATGCGCCAACAGCTGGCTGGTACAGCCCGCGACTGAAACGTCAGATCTATTGCACTGCTCAAATCTTCAATACATGGATCTCATATGAGTATGGGAAGCCCCGTGTGATCCCTCGTGATGCACCGCATATTGCTGCATTGGAAGGCTGGACCGCAGTAGATCAGGTCATATGGCGTCTCTCTGAAGCTCTCGATCCCAATCTCCACGTCGGGTCTACGGAATTGGAAGATATGCTCTCACAGGTTGTTGAGCTTCAACCTACTCATTCAGCTGTGCAACTCAAACGTTGTAATATTGCGCTGTGCATATATCGCAGGCTTCGAGTGACTGGACGAACGATATCAAAAGAAGCCATTGATCACATCTTGCGTATCGTTGATGACGGGATATTTCATGCCACCGAGATGACGAAAAGGAAACTGCCTTGGTGGCATATTTTGAATGTTCCCTTCCAGGTCATTTGTGTTTTACTCGCAATTGATACTAAGGAATCACTCCAACGTGTTGGAAAGTCTTTTCAGACATTGCAGTTCATTGCTCACGAATATGGAACCGAGGCCATTGACAAAACATGGGAGAGTGCATGCACTTTGCTCGCAATACAAAGTCGGAGAAAAAAGGAAGATTTGGATATCCTGACCCGTATTGAAGATGACTTGACAACAGGGGAACCTGCTGGAATAGAGTTCAACCCATCTCAAGGCTTTGATGAAGATTTCCTCAACCCTGGAATGCTCTGGGACTTGGATCGGATTCTTTCTACCAACTTCTGCGGTCTCTAATATCATACTGTACTGAACAAGAAGTGAAGTGCCAAAAGAATACCCAATAAGTTGAAAAACAGCCCCAGATCCCTATCTTCTGAACAACGCAGCTTCGGTGTCATAGGTATAGTTCAGATCAAGATGCCAATAGGGCGGCGATGCCGCCTTAACAGCCATCCATGCTGCGTCCAAAGCACTGATCATCTCTTCCGGGAGAGCATCCTTTTGAATTGCTTCGATATTCGCATCGAGCTGGTAAACACTGCTGACCCCAATCAAGATACCGTCACGTCCCAGCCGAAGCTTCGAATGATGATTGAGCCATCTGAAAGCGACCTCAGGCAAGGTCAGATTGTGTTTATCGGCAACTGGCTTGACGATTGTATGGATTGCATCCAACACAGGCAGATTCATGTAACGCTGGCGATACAACTCCCCCGTGGTGTTCTTGTCGCTGAATCGACCCTCCTGGGGAATTTCCTTCTCTGTGCTTGGCTTGTATTTTCCAGAGAGAATTCCACCAGCAAGAGGGTTATAAACAACGAATTCAAGTCCGTAGCGGTGGCAGCAGGGGATAAGCTCTTGTTCGATGTTTCGTGCTTGATCCAGTTAGTCCCTGTGTCTGGTCTTTTGTGGAACCCACTCACTGATAGCGTTGTACATGGCCTGGTAGATTGACGGGCGTACCCAGCCTCTCTCTGTGCACATGATGATAATCTCTGCAACTTCGAACGAGGTATAATTGCTCAGTCCCAGCCGCTTGAACTTTCCCTCCTGGTATAGTTTATTCACCTCCTCCAAGGTCTCGGCGAATGGCACAGATCGATCAGCAGCATGCAGATAGAAGATATCCACTTGATCCGTCTGCAAAGCCCCCAGCGATTCGTCCACCTTCTTGCGCAAGTTCTCGGGCTTGTGGACACCAGGACTGGTGGGATAGACCTTTGTTGCAAGACTTAGTCCGCGCTCTTTCCACCCAACTGCTGCAGTGAACTCTTCCTGTTTTTCCCCAAGATACATGCGCGCGGTATCAACTTCACTGTATCCGTAGCCCTTGAGATGATCCAGACATCGTCCAAACTCCTGCAGAGAAGTCACTCGTGCACCGACATTTGGGTCAGGGCCGAATGTCATCAGGCCCAGGATGACACGGGGTTTAGAGCTCGCGGAGGAAGACATTTTGAGAACTTTGGAATTGAAGAATGCCGATTCAATGTAGTTTGAAAGGGACTCTGAGAGATGTGACCCATGCAAAAGGATTTTATATCTCCCAAATGTCGACTATGCGGAGTCTCAATGGCTGCGGCACCGACAGGCGGAGACAGGCGCGGCCCGCATACAAAAGTGCGGCTTCGCCTCCCGCCACTCGGGATGCCAGTTTTCAACATTCAAATGAGTCAATGTCCTGCCCAGGTGGGGAACATGGACTATCCCACCGTGTCTGTATTGACCAAAAGAATTCCGTGGTGACATCTTATTTATTTTCTTTTCTTTTTATTGATCCTATCAAACATCATACACTGGCAGCTGTAGTGGGTACAGGAATAGTAATTCACGAGAATGAAATGTGTTATACATGTTGAAACTACCGAAACGAAGGATTCTATGAAGTCCCATATGAAAGATTTCTAACTACGGTCCTTGCCTTTGCCACGTGAGCTATTTTGTCCCCGCCGATTATTCGCACCCCCAGAGGCGCCCCCGGTACGGCTCCCCATGGGAGGTTTCTGAGCTTGAGCAGTACTCTGTCCACCCGGAGCTGGTTTGGGGGTTGTCTGACCCGAGCTTGGAGCAGAGACGCGACGCTGATCCCGAGGAGCGGGTACATCGCCGGCATTTTTGTTGCCTCGCCGCCGGCGCTTGTCGCCAGTGCCAGACGATTTCTTACCATGCCCGGATTGTCCGGATTGAGGCTCGTTTGGTTCGCTTGGCCCCGGTTCTGGGTCCATTAAGCCTTGGACGCGTCTGCTCTCTTGATCCCACCACTGCTGGAATTCCTGCTCTGCTTGGATCTCTTGCATATTGTGCTTGGCTGTGGCAGCTTCGCGAATCGCTTCTTTCTCAGTTTGTTGTTGGAGCAGGATGGTTGACAGAGAGTACGAGCCAGAGGAAGGAGACCCCATACCAATGGGATCGGGCCGGGGGATATGTCGAATTGACTGGATGGCTGGGCTTGGTGAGGCTGGTTGGTTGGGCTGGTTTGTTGTAGAGGGCCCTGAGGTGGAAGGCTTCGTATGCGGAGATGGTTTCGGATTGCCCGATACACTGCGGCGTGGTGCCTGCACCGGCACTTCCACCGGATTTGATTTTGGAGGGGGTGTACCGGCTACGGTCTGTCGCATAGTCATAGATCTCTGAGCAGACTTGGGCTCAGCCGCAGATGCACTCTGGCCAGGTAATGGATCAAGCCGGGATGCTGTGGCTGGCGAAGATGCGGCTGGCTTTTGCCAAGGGTTTTGCGGTGCGTCTTTCATCCTCTGTTGGGCAGCCAGCTCCTCCTGTAATTGCTGTTGTTGGATCTTCTTTCTCTCTTTCTGTGACATCTTGGATGCTGATTTAACATTGCTTTCGCGACGATCAGCCATTCCTAAGGTCAGATTGGATACGCGCGATTGTGAGGTCTCGCCCATAATTTCTTTGAGATCCTTCTTGGAGCCTGCCATCGTTGGCGAGCTCCATGGCGCAGAAGATCGGTCCGGGGATAAACCTATAGCAATTTTCTGATTGAAAGAAATTTCGTTCGATCCAGATAGCGACGGCGAAAGCAGATTGTTTTGGGGGGACATCTGATCATTCAAGAAGTTCCGATCGTCCAGAGATTCTGCCTCTGGGGCACTTGCACCCAGGGCTGGGGAATCAGGATAGGATCGGTTCTCGGGAATGCCCTCTGTGAACTTGAGACCACGTCTGACGCCCTTTCCTTTCGAGTCACCGGGCGACATCAGGCCCTCATCATCCATTTGGAACATAAGGTCCGCGACCGACTGCCTTGGCTGCAACATTGGACTGTTGCCCACATTTGGCGACTCTCTGGCCGAGCTCGCCTTTGATTTGCGGACAGATGGAGAGGTTACCATCTTCTCATTTGGTGTTGGCCGAGAGCGCACTTCATCAGACTCCAGACGGCCAAGTCGAGACTGCAAGGCCATAGCGTCGATTCTTCTTCGCTTGTCCGTCTCCAAGGTCCCGGCTGCCTCGGGATACTTCCACAAAAAGGACTCCTCAACATTGCCTGCCCGAGAAACAGGCCAACAGGCGAGCTGATTCTCATGACAGGTAATGTCCAATTCTTTCAGGAGAATGGGATCCAGATCTTCGAGGTATCTGTTTGCAAGCATAGCCTCGAGATTGAGACAAATGTATTCCAAAGCAGCATGCTTGAACTGCGTGACGCAACAGGGAGCAACAGAGTTGAGCAGGTAACACACGTTGCGGGCCGTGACGAACCGACCAAGCATTTTTTGACATACTTGAGATAGTCGATCGATCATCAGCTCGTCTGCCACGAACATGACATCCAAAATCAGATCAATGAAGGAATCAAGATCATCGGTCCGCACTTCGTCGAACAAACTCTCTTCGGTGTCAGCATACAGATAACGCAAGACAAAGTCGAATATTGAGTGGTCAATATGCTTCAGATCGACGTGCACCAGTTGATCTGGGCTTGACTTGCGCGACTCCAGCCATTTGCCCCCCGCGTAGCCATGGAAAAGAGTATCAAAGAACGGACATCTCTGACACACAACCTGGCTGTGAAGCTTCGTGGTTGCGCCCTTCAGCCGCACAACTACATCCGCATTGTTGAAGAATGAGGGCTGGTTGATGGCATGGGCCATGTCAAATTTTAAGCTCGCTTGGGGCTCGACCATCAGTCTCGCTGCTCGTTCGAGTGTCGATAGCTCTAGTTGCATGGAAATTCGCATGGTTTCAGTCCGAACTTGCCGATAGCGTGCTGAATTCGCAGGCGAGCTCTTTGCCATATGCCAAACATCGAGGATGTTGTCGGTGTAAAGAAAGAACGCCACAGTCATAACAGTCAAAAAGTCCACACCATGCAGACAGATCTGTGGGTGACCATCAGTGCCGTATTCAATGTCACAGACATCCGGGACAGAAGAGTAGTATGTCACCCGGAACTCCTCAAGTGCCCTTCGGATAACGGGACTGCGACCAGCCAGTAAAAACTCATGAACAGGTATTTGCGAGTCAGATAAAGAGCTAGTCACCCAAATCATTCCTTTGGATCGAATAGAAAGGAACTGGCTTTCAATTTCCGGTGATGAAAGTATAGCTTTTTTGATGCTAGCCGCAGAGGAGAGGATAACAGGCAATGTCTCCAACTCATCGTTCAAAATGAAATCTAGCTCCTCCAAGCCAGGCATAGAGAACGGAGACAATGGCAAGAAGTCTTCTGCAAGACTGCTGGTGTCGACATGGATCTGCTCCCTGGTGACTTCACAATCTCGCTGGGCAACAGCATAAGCCCCGAAAGCATTGCTGCGCACCGCCACCGCACGTGAGAGACCAGGAATTCGAGCAAACTTCCAGTCCTTCGAAGCGCCCTCTTTCTTCTTTGTGCGTCGCTCTTTTTTCCAAGCAGATCCCGAAGTTGTGCAAATGATTATAGAGCCGTCTTGTCCGACATCAACATCACTTGCAGCCATGTGTGACTTCTTAACCGACCAGGCCCGGACTGGGGAAACCAAAGAGCTGCGAATCTTTGCTGGGTTCGTAGTGGATGTCAGAGTTGAGGGGGTGTCAGGTTGGTTGATCTCAACAGTGAACACTTCACCGGAGCTGGCCAACGCACAGATGGTGTTACCCCCAGACGCAAGTTTGACGACGCGATTTGCAGTCTTGTCATATCTGGTGACCATAAAGCTGTTCCTGATGAAACTCGAGCTCGCCCCAAGAGGAAAGGAGAGCTTTGAGTAACCATAGGATGAAAAGACCCAGACTTCGTGATTCTGCAGAAGTACAGACGTAGCGCGATCAGTGGCGGAAGCCATTAGAATTGGACAGGTAAACAGAGAAGCACCGACTCGTCGTGGCGTAGTTTGTGTTTCAAGTGAACGAGCATCTGAATCTACCAGGCCAAGTTGCCCTTCATTCTTGCCGAATGTGTAAAGACCTGACGTGCTGAACACCACAGAATGGATAGAGGATGCTGCAGCACCCAAGATCGTTTCTTTTTTGAATGGATTGAAGATTTGACGCGGGGTGGTTTGAATAGGGACGTCATTCTTGTTGCTGGTCCGGGGAAGACCATATCCGAGCTGTCCATACTTGTTACTTCCCCAGCTGAAGATCTCCCCATGCTCAGTGATCGCCAAGCTGTGATCTTGGCCTAAAGCAGCTGAGATGACCTTCTTGCCCTCCAAGCCACCAGTCTCAATGCAGGCGAAAGTGAACCTCGTAGACTCATCTCCTGTCCCCAGACGTCCTCCTGGTCCAAATCCACACATGAAGAGATTAGCCTCGGGATCTTCAGTGATGATCGCCGTGTGAAGTTTCGACATGACAATATCTTTGAACTTCATTGGCTTGTTCCTTATTGACGTGGGTAGCTCCGAGGTATCACTCTTGGGGACAGTATCCTCAAGGCCCAAACGCTCGAGGTTTTCCTGGTGTTCACGGTAGAACCGATGTAACAGGTGCTCTGGTCGTTTCAACGAAATACGCTCAGGAAATTGCCGATCATCCTGATCTCCCAGTCCCAAGTTCAAGTTCTTATTGCTGCCGAGGGCAAAGACCTCGTCAGCAGAGATGTCCACCGAACCCTTGAGTACGTTGTGGGAAGTGTATGCTTCATGTTCCTCGTCGTTGCCTTCATTGGAGCCCGCATTGGAGGCGATGTCGCTGCCCAGGTCATCCCCGATCGGGTTTGGCCAGTTATCCGATGGCCGTTTGATATCACGAGTTGTGATGGTTGCTCCGAACACATCAAACGGGCTGTAGCCCTCCCGATCCTTGATTTTGATCAAACCACCGCTGGAATGGCTTGTGTTCCCGACTCTACTGATATCCGTCATGTCTTGTATGTCGCGCGCCATGAGCGCTCGTGCAATCGTCGCATTTCCGGAATAAAGAGCCCGATGTAGTGCCGTCCATCCACTCTCCTCGTCTTGTGCGTATATGTCGACGAACGGAACCTCCAACAAGGCGCGTGCAAACTCGGCCGCGGTGGGCTTACGGGAGGAGGCGATGTGGTGGAGCAGCGTTCGGCCATAATGATCCCGGGCATTGATATCGGAGCGCAGCAAGGTGGCATTACCACGGTGAGATGTTGAGCGGTCGGGAAGAGGCGTTCCCGGCGACGAATCCAGAAGCTTCTTATTCCGTGGGGGGTTTGGGGAAGAGGCGATCGTGGGCCCGGGGCTGCCTGTCTTCAGGGACGAATTCGCTGCAGCTCCGGACGCAGCTCCGACTCCTGGAGCTCGTGGCCCCACGAATGTCGCGTTCGCCAGGGATCGCTGGAATCCGTCGACATCATCGTATGTAAAATACTCCCAAAGCTTGCTACTCATGTGCTCGGAGGGATCGACGCGCCGAATCTCTTATCTGGCCCAAGCTAAAGCGTCGCTGTCACCAGAAGGACCGCGACTGGAGCTGGGTGACAAGAGAATTCTCGTTAAGAGTGACAGGGAAGGAGTCTCGACGTTATGGGCGTCGAGGTAATCTCAGTATCAACGATGTGTTCGTGGGTTTTGGTGACGCGAAATCGTTTTGTGCGCTCGGGAGTATGCGCGTGTGGCAAAGTCCTTCCAAAGGTGGTGCGGTTGCGGATGCGTAGGAAGAAGATGTCTGGGGAAAGATGCAAATATGGTCAAGGTTAAGCAAAGTGCAAGAGACACGCGAAAAGGACCTTCGAGTCAGAGCCGGTTTGCCCTCCATCGTTATCCGTGGATCGTGGGCCCTGAGGTGGGAGATCTACAGCGTCCTTACGACCAAATATTACTCCCGCATACTATACTGAACCTCGGGAGTCCATGGCCTCTCGGGTTTCGCTCATTTGAAACGTGTTTATGCATTACATACTAGAATTTATCCTACCCCATACACCCCTGACTTGTCTGCTCTGGGCCGGATCTATCGCCCCTAGGACTGTACTGCGTGGAGCGATGTAAGATCAGAATACATGAAGCAGGTTGCAATATGTGCCCTCCAGGGCTGTCATTAATGATACAATTTTCTTGGGAGTATCACAAAAGATTGGTACATGTCTGATTTTCCGCACAGAGTACAGTTCTTAAGTTCCAGAGTTTGAGCCTCTCTACTCCGTGAGGTACCTGGCCCAGGTGGCGGGGTCATGGTTTTGACCGTGCGGCCGCTATCGTGGACTTTCATGTTCCGATTGACCAATAACGAGAAGCACGTCCCTCCATGCCCCCAGATGAGAGGCGAGCATCATTCAGGGCAATCCGAGAGGCCATGGTCTTGTCAACCTACCTAAGTACGCATTCCTCCTACTGTGCCCAAATTGCGTCGATCCGAGCGTATGACCCGAATACCCTTTGTTACCCGTACCGCATCAAATGCTTCTAGCATTTCCTTGGTGGCGCCCGCCAACGAAAGCACATGAGAAGAGCAAGAAAAGAAAACTAGTAGAAATTCACATTGACAATCACATACAAATGTGCCAGCTACTTCAATGATGATCGTATCGAGGGATTGAACGCGCGGCCCTGGAGTGGCTCTCTGGGGGAACGCTGACGACGAGACTGATGGATATCAGAATTTCCGTGTGCACGGCAGATTATCTGGAGCATAAGGACAGAACTCCAAACAGAACACCGATGAGATGTTGGAACGGAAACGAGGACGGCGATTGGCATATATTAAAAGAAAAGAAAACCTTAGAATGAAGAGCGAGAGAGAGAGAGAGGAAAAGAGCGAAAGCAAATGTTTGTTGGCATTGGTGGTTCATAATCAGGGCATCAACGTGCATGGATTAAGTATTTCTGTCATATGAAGTTCGGTCCCTATGCTCCATGGCTCCCCGTACGCGTGGTCATCTCCAGACTTCAGGATGCGGTTAATGAGCGGTTCGGGAGACCGGTAACATATCAATCCGCTCTCGTGTCTGCTTCGATGCATTTCGGGTCATGAGGCCAACGACTAAAAAGGCAAGTACAGCAATCAATTCTGACAAGAACCCCAATATTACTCTAACCGCAAGAGAACCCGTTGTCGGGTTTAGGGATGGGTTCTGAGTGCAGAGATAGACAAGACTGTAGAAGACCCGAATTCCAATGAATACCAGCGCAAATGAAACAGTCGAAAGCAACTACACCGCATATCGTCAGTACATTTCGATATATGACTTAGTCTAGTAGAGAAAACATACCATAGTCCCTGCACGCCCGAGGGCACTTTTCCTGACAGGTGCAATGAATGAAGCTACTGTCCCAGCAACCAAAGCTACCCAACATACCGTCAGAATGCCGATACCCGCCTTGACGAGCTTTTCGGCTTTTTCAACAGGTTCCTCATGGGATTGGAGCTTCGCTGATCCGGCAGCAGTGAGAGCAACGCCGCCAACAACGAATATGTGGTAGAAAAGCGCTAGTGCCCATTCAAGCTTTTGGTCAAGACCAGCAACTCGGTAAAATCGTCTGATTGGATACGTTAGATATTTCTTGCGGACGGCTTGGAGCCTTGGAGTGGATGAGTAGTACGCACGCTTCATGCAGAATGCCGCTTGTTGCGAGTAACAGAGGGGACAATCCGACGCTCGAAATTATGCTCGCGGTAGGACTAGAGCTTTTGAGGCCTAAGGCACTTCCCACGATTCGGAGAGAGGAGAAGATGAACAAGAACAGCCATCCCAAAAGGCCTTGACGACCATGTTTGGCAAGAAGGTATAGAATGGGAATTGCAAGGGCAATGTAAATGGCCAACTCGGCGGCGCAAAGGTTGTTCGTCATCTCTGCTTTTCTCTCGCTTTCTAAAGCTCCAAGGTTCCAACGCTTTTCAGGGAACTTTTGTATAATGAGAGATGTTTTGGTGTTCAGTTTCAACTTGAGAATAACCAAATCAGATAAAAAGCTGAGACTTCAGGAGTGTTGATGGCTCTTCACTTCGGGCAAACTTGTAATTTATATACTCTTCCACTTGAGCAAAGCTTTCCTGAAAAAATGGCTGTGTACGATTTACCATCCATAAGCAGCGTGACTTCATTCCTTATAGAACGAGACTCAAGCATTGCCGTCGATCGATCACCCCCACAGCGAAAACAAGCCTCTCTGCATCAGACCGTGAGGCTTGGTTCTCTTGTTGGCTTGTCAACTCCACTCAATGGAGAGTTTTCCGTGCAACAAGCCGATTAACCCAGTGTGTAGCTTTTATTTTATTTTATTTTAGATTGTTGACCAATGAGAACTCAAAATTAGTCTGGATATCTTGAGGCTTATGCGATCGACTTGTGGCTGTCAAGTTCTGATGCGAGCCCGATACCGAACACACAGCCCGGTGCCCAGGTGGATCCTGCCGAAAGAGCCTTAGAATCCGAAACTGAGAGCTGACATCTTGTAAATATGGGTTTGTAGCCCTGGTGGATACATGAGTACGCGATTTTTTCCCCCAAAATTTAAAGACTGCAAACGGAAGAAAAGAATACGCTGCTATCTTGATCTAGGCTGATTCCAAATGTTGTGTATTTTTAGTATCTTTCCTGTTAGTCATAGAGACTCATACTCCGTACTTGTTCGTGCTTTGAACAAGGCTCGCCTGAGTGCCGAGTGCCAGTACTTACATAAATAATGTGACTCCTGTAGTAATGTAATCAAACGTGTTTACGGTGTCTCAAGTTGGTGTGGCCTCCCAACTAGCCATACTCCGTACGGAAGTCTGATAGGCAGCAATCTCAACTGCATTATTCCAGCTCATATTTTCATTAGCCCAATTCCAAGATTGTTCTTTGCAATAAATAAATTTGCCAAGTCTTTAATCATGACTCAAAAGCACGCATGAGACTTTGCACCTAACTGGTTTCTCTTTGGCCCAGGCTATTAAGTCCGATGGAATTCTAAAGTTTCTGATGTTGGAGCCTGCGGAGAGAGCCGTCCGTTATTTCTCGTAGACCAAGGTCGGCGCTTTCGCACAAGTCTCATATCTACGTTCTTTGCTTGTTTTAAGCTTTCGGGCTTAAGCCCGTGAGAATAACTTTGACATTCTCAAGTTTGACACTGCTCTGCTTGACTTGGATATGACATGCTAGGATTTTACATTGGTGGTCTCGTCGCTCAGCGATGTGTTCCATGTTAGAAGGTTGTGAGGTCTCGCGACGAAGAAAGTTGGATTTAGTCCATCTACATCTATAGATAGATGGGTGCTGCCATCCCTTGGACAATTGACATGCAGGGGGTCAATTATAGCCTGACACTCCCTGTCAGCCATTGCCAACTTTAGAAACTCGAGAGCTGGAAACTCCTAGTTCGTACTCTTGTATAGGTTGATTGAAATATTTATCCACCACCTGGGCCTGACTCCGACTTTAGAATATTTCTTGAGTTGTTCTCTCCCAAGCACTAGAGATCGTCCAACCATTCCAATTTCCTGTAATTAATGCACCGGTCCACGGGTATTGATTTATACTCGAGTATCTTCGAACTTTAGAACGACGTGCTTTCGGCCCCGGGGGTCAATGCCAAGGTCATATCGATGGGAAGACCTTGCTCAGAGCTTGCGCTATAATTCAAGCCTCCAATTCATGTTTGCTTGAGGTCTCGATTGAATGAATCCCTTAAACCTTGGAACTTTAGAATAACCCCTGGATACGTCCGAGGTTCTTCTGAGCAAGTTGGAACTCATCCCGAAGGTGCACTTGGGCAGTCCTGAAGGGGCGATGTTTCCGAGGGGATAGGATTTATTTCACGAGCGGTGTGCGTGTGACTTCGATTGTTGAATGCTGGAAATATACAAGTAACTCATTCTAAAGTTATTGTTTCGGGTTATCTCGCGGGACGTTGTGAGGGGGGGATAGTGTTCACCCCTTGAACTCGCGAGACACCAGGGATATGTACGGAGCACGGAGTGCTCACCTAGCATATTTATGCACCCGTGGATTTTTATTTAGTTAGTTTAGCAAAAGCCATGCTCCAGTGATGATTAAATTAAGACCTGTACTCCGTACGGATTGCCCAAGTACAGAAGAATCATGTGTGAAATTCCGAGAGGTATGCAGTTTTTTTTTGAATTCCGATTTACTAGCCAACTGCCAACACTGAATTGAAGAGTACGAGTATGTTGTACGGTGTATGGGTACTCCATCGACTTTAGCACGTTTTCGAAAATATAGATCGGCATAAACTCGGTCCAAGTCCCATCTTGAAACCATTCTTAAAAAGTGTTTGGTCAACATCTGTGAAGTACTCGTATACCGCGTACATTCCTCGTGAGTCGTGAGAAGCAGAGTAGAACCCCCTCGAATTTAGACCTCTTGAGTCTTGACTTCCAAGGTTGCTCATTACTTGGCTCCACCTTGGAAATCACTCAAAATCTCGGCCGGACTCGACTTTTCACCAGAGTCCTAATTTGTTTTGCGAACACCGCAGGATATTGCAAGACCGAGAGATGCAACCCAAGAGAAGCCTCTACATGTGAAGTCCGGATGCTTGAGGAAGTCAACAGGGCTTGTATAACAACAGACTTTCATTTATGAGGGGTAAAGCAACGCCTCGAGGTCAGAGCACCGCTATATCATCATTTTCTACACACAACCTGCGGGGTCGGAGCGTATCCACCGCGTATAGCAGAAGTGCGGCGATATTCCCTTTTTCGAAATGCACAGAGAGCCCTGGCAGCAGATCCCAGGAGCGGAGACCGGGCGGGGTTGGCGCGCTGATCTCGCAAGCATCGGTCCGCTGCGACCCAATTTTCATCCGCGTTCCTGACGGAGTTTGTTGATTCAAGGGTCAAGACCGTTTCTCTGATTGCTTGACCCTTTTTGTGCTCATGGTATAAGAAATGAGGCTGCGGGAAGTTATGCAAGGGCTCTCGGGCTTAATGGCCTTTGGATCCAAATGCACCGATTATCAGGGGGTTCGCAAATAAATGATCGACGCCCCATTTACCGGCCTCGGTACGGAACACTCGCAGAGGCAAGATGCTGGATCACATTCACGCGATTCTGCATATAAGAGAGATGGCCCAGCACCAAGAATGTCTCAAGTTAGCTTTGTATCCAAACAAAGCCGGACATGGGCCCGTCTCTCGCCATGATGCGACTTGCCTTGGTAGGCCTTCTGGCCTTCGTCTCAATCGCATCGGCCCTGCCTGCATCGAAACTTTCACGAGCGCTAGCGGATCCCACCACAGATCCCTTCTACCAGCCTCCTGCTGGCTACGAATCAAAGGAGCCAGGAACGATCCTGGCCCAGCGCAATGTCAGCGCTGCGTTCTTCGGCCTTATTCCAAACCCCATCGAAGCTCACCAGCTGCTGTATCGCACCACAGCTGTCAATGGATCCGCTATCTCGACTGTGACTACAATCTTCAAGCCCAAGGGTGCCAAGTCTGACCGGTTCATCTCGTTCGCCACGGCCTACGACAGCTCCGCGGTGAAATGCCAACCTAGCTACGCCTATAGACTCGGCGCTGCACAGGATAGTCTGGTTGCCTCGGTTGAGGTGTTGATTATTGAAGCTTATCTTCTCCTTGGATACACCGTCGCGTCTCCGGATTACGAGGGCCCTGATGCGGCCTTCGGTCCCGGCCGTCTGGCGGGTATGGGCGTGTTGGATGGTATCCGGGCTGTGAATAACTTCGACACTTTGGGTCTCGACAAGAACCCCATGGTCGTCGGCATTGGCTACTCCGGTGGTGCCATCGCCACTGGGTGGGCAGGCTCGTTGCAGCCTAACTATGCCCCTGAGCTGAACATCAAGGGATGGGTCCAAGGTGGAACTCCTGCGAATCTCACTGGAACATTGCTCACCATTGATAACACGGCCTTCAGTGGATTCCTTCCCGCTGCTGTCGTTGGCCTTTCAGCGCCAAGTGCGTACGGAGCCGAGCTTGATCCCATTATCCACAAGATTTTGACACCAGCAGGCCGCAAGGCCATTGATGCCGCTGCCAACCAATGCGCGGTGCAGGACCTAGCGAGCTTCTTCGAGCAATCGCTTCTCGAAACCAAAGTCCAGACTTTGGGCGATCGCCTCCTCTACGAGCCTACTATCCAGTCTATTCTGCAGAAGAACAACATGGGTGTGCACAAGGACGAGACCCCGACTGCACCCACTTTTGTTTACCACGCCACTAACGACGAAGTCATTCCCTACGCCAACACTACCACCATGGTAAACTCTTGGTGCGACGCGGGTGCCAATGTCAAGTTCACTACCTATGCCAACGGTGGTCACGCGACCACAGAGATCATCGCGTTGCCGGAGGCCATCAAATTTACTGAAGCTGCCTTTGATGGCAAGACGGCGAGTGGCTGCACCAAAAACACTGAGCTCTCTAACATCCTCAACCCGTTGGCTCTCGGCGCGTCTCTGGAGCCGATTCTTGTCAAGCTTGTTGATGGTTTGGCCCACCTGGGCGACAAGGACTCCAAGGTTATGTCCGATATCAACATCCTTGGTATCAAGCTTCCGGTCTAAGTGTGTTGTTGATCTTGAATTCATGCACACGTCGAGGTCTGGAGGGGACCAGAGTGGGTCATATATTGGTTGTTAAATATTCTTTCCTGTATATACTTGAAGGCCAGCCACTCAACTGTGTCTGGCGAGTACTACTTCTCCGGCATGATTGGCACAATTTTAGCTCTATTTCGGGCCTTGAGATCTTTCAACCCATCAAATTCTCACTTAGCTCAATATCCCATTTTGCTGTGGACCGAAGAGGAGTTAAGCTACGAAACTCTCGTAGGTACTGCATGACGTTGAACTGGTGTAACATGTCAAAGACCATAACGAGTAAAAAGTAGTTACAGCGTAAAACAGCACTCTATAATCTATTTTAATACAGGTGATAACCTTAGAGATAAAGAGCCACTTGCAATGATCTACTCGTGTAGGGCTACGGGGTACGGAGTAGAGATAGCAGTCATACCCCGGATGACGCTATCGGAATGATCTCCTCTTTTCATCACGCCTTGAGTGTCGTGATCCCGTGGCGACCGTGCTAGGTTTTTTTTTTAAAAAAAATTTCACTTGCTTCATACTACTTAAGTATTATCTGACTGATCTGCGAAGATCGCAGGCAGCATCAGCCCGTGGCGCTTGCAACGCGAGACCGAGTCACCGGGTGTGCGTCACAATCTCCACCCCTTCTCTCTCTCCGCATCTCTCGACATTCTAGACTGTGTTTCTTTTCTTTTTTTCCCTCTTTTTTTGGCACTGGAACTTCTCTGGGTTTGTTGAGCTTCGTATTTTTATCTTATTAGTTTCTCGGAGCTCTTTGGCTTGTCTAGCCCCAAGTGCTGTCTCCAGCTCCCTAGCTGGTGTCTCTAATTAAACCTTGGAGGAGGCTCTACCGCTAAGGTCCTTAACCGCATCGCAGAGGATACAAACATTATCCTATCATCTATCTACGTCTTTATATCACACAAACACAGCCAGATCCTTCTGTGAGCATGGCCTACAGAACTGAACTCATCGCTGCCCGATTGCGTTGATAACGGCTCCCGATAACATCTCCGCTTTACGGTACACTGCTCCTCTCTCCTCTCTCCTCTTTCTCCTGTTAGGTCGGTGCGCCGGCTAATGCATTGATAGGCCATCATGCATCAACATCCACGGTCACCAGCGCCGTCTTTGGTGCCAAACATCCCCAGAACTACAGCTCGAGACGGAGACGACACTGCCCCGAGCTCCCCAACCGTCGATACCGGGTCCCATTCAGCACGAGGATTAGGGATAGAAGCTGGACCACAACCTGCTGAACAGGCAAGGAATGCAGCACTGGGGAAGGAGGCCCTGACCCGGCTAAACCAAATCATATCGGTACGAGCAATGAGATCGCCCCCTCTGGCTTATCGCAGTCTGTTGACCATTCATCTTCTTTGCAACAGAATTACCACACAAAAGCCGCTTTAATCATTCTGCACTCTCGTGTTACACTGCCTCCTTCCTATAACAAGGGCTCCGAGTCCCCGAGGGTTAACCGTTGGGTATGTAAACCGTTGCGTGGGAATCTGGTCGGCGCGGCTAGACGAATGAAGGCATTGGAAGCTAACTTCATCCGTGTTGTGTGCAGTTTAATGTCGAACTGGATGACACAGATATTCTCCGAGAACCTCTGCGACCATGGCGAACCTGCGATGCCACCGACCACCGACCACCGCCCCTCATTATCGAAACATACCTAGACACGAAGGGCCTCACAAACAACCAGAGCCTGGTGATTTTGGACGAAAATGGCAAGCGATGGGATGTGCGGGAGTCGTTGGCGGCTCTACAGGGCGCCCGTGCCAAGCCGTACCAGGCCGATAACGATGAGATCGTTTTGGAGCGGTGGAGAATTGAGCTGGGAGAGGTGTCAGGCAGGCTTCCGTCCGATCTGGGCTCTATCCTGCCGACGGTGTATAAGAAGAGCATTGTGCTCTTCCGGTCTTTGTCCACATACTCCAAGTTTTTGCCTGCGTGGAGATTCTCCAAGCGCAACAAGAAGCTGCGAAGGAGTCCAGCCCTGGAAATCAAGTATCGGGTGGTGGATGCGAGCTTCTCGGATCAAAATGCCTCTTTGGATCACTTGACGGCGCCGCTCAGTGAGGGGAGCGAGAAGGTAGTCGACACATACAGTTTTGGGATCACAGAGTCACCCGCAGGTCCGTTTTCAGTCCAAGTCACGTATAGGACGAACTGCGACTTCCGCGTGGATGATTCGGAAGCTTTGTTGAGCTCTCGGTTCATGGGCGCGGACGACGAGATCTTCCGTCCCTCCTTGCCTTCAGAGGATATCAGCCGCTTAAATCCAGAAGTTGGATCTGTTCCCGTGGAACGAAGGGCCGTTGAGAATCCAGATCTGACGCGTGCGTACGGAAGTCTCTCGACCTTTCACCAAGTCGGTGCAGGTACAGGGGCAAGCCCAATCTCAGCACTTCGCGCCCTTAGAGACTCAGGCGCAGGCTCTCCATCGCCAAAGGAATCAGACAAGAAACTCCTCCCACCTGCCAAAGTCATTCCTTCAGGACGTGCTGCTCAGCTGGCTGGCGAAACTGGAAGTCCAAATGTCCATCGTCGCCCATCTGTATCTTTCCAACCTTTCAAAGCTCCTCCTTTATCTGCTTCTCCGGCCGTGGGTGACTCCCCTTTAGCGGCATCTCCTCGCAATGCTTCTGCCCGTATTCTCACAGGCACATCTGCGGATTCACGCTTCATGCCACCCCCGTCCTCTGCTGCATCCGCACGCAGGCCCACTATTATCGCATCTGAACAAGCTATATCATCATCTAATTCAGCGTCCCCCAAACCAGCTCCTCTTTCCCGATACAGCAGTTCCTTCAGTCACCGACGAGGCCGCTTATCTGCTGGGGCGAACCGACTCGAAGATGACAACATCTCGAGTGGTCGGGTGAGCACTGCATCATCCACCGCACAGCCCGGGTCTGGCCTGCTTACAGAAGTCACTGGGACGAGTGCGGAATCTATTCACGCAGATGACGAGAATATTTCTGATTTCCTGAAGATGTTGGATTCCAAGAAGGATCTCATGAACTCATCTACCTCTGCATCTATCCAGACCGGAATACGACAGCCTACATCCACGGCAGCAGCTCTTGCTCGCTTCCGCGGTATGCGAGACTCTAATGCTGCTCTTTCCGACTCCATGACACAATCTATGCATGTGAATCGATCATCAATGTCTTCGAGTAAGCAACTCTCTGGGGTCCCACCCATGGTTGCAGGCACGTCGATCTCAACGGCCTCTTCTCCCGGAAAACCTATATCCCCTCACACACCTCACACGCCAGCAATACGCTCCCGCCTCAGCTCAAACAGCGTTGCGGATGACATTGAAACAGACCATCGTTCGAGGATTCCTCGTATCGAGCATGACTCGCCTTTAGAAGAACAACCTGGCATGGAAATATCACGCGGAGCTTCCTCCACCGCAGGCGCTATTGACATTCCCACTTCCCCACGAATATTCGATCCCGCATATCGACGCTCAAGCTCTGCGGCACAGCGCCGACCCACTGTCCCAAGCGGCGACGACGATGAGATCTTCCCATTCGGCATGCGCAGCCTGAGTCTCGGCGCCGACGAAACCTCAACTACTACCCTCGGCGTCGCACAGCAGCAAGCAGCGAGAAAGAATCAGCAATCGTCCGCCGAAGACCCTACCGGTACATCGGTTTCTGCAACGGGCGCGTACCGCGAAAGTGGCTCTCTCCGCAGCCAAATGGCCGGAGTGGCGGGCGCATCTGCATCCTCTAATCCTCACTTGTACCAACCCCGATTCGCCAGCTCGCGCGGTCGCGGCTACTCAGGTGGACATTCTGTCAGCTCCGCGTCCAGCAGTCTAGCCCGGAATGTCAACCTCCCACCGCACCTTGCAGAGCGCGATGACCGCGACGGGAATGTCAGCGGAAGTAATAGCGGCAACTCGACACTCGAGATCCGTCGTGGAAGTGGCCAGCGACCAAGCTCAGGTCGAACGCTTTCGGCTCAAGCCCCGGAAGACGACGAGCCGCTTCTCTTCGCAATGAGTGACTTCGGTGCTTCCCGTCGTAGTCTCGAAGAGGGCAGACATACCCATGGCGGAACAGACTCTACGGGTGGGTCGAGGCGTGGCAGTGGACGACGGGGAGCTGGGCTCCCTGGGTTCCATGCTTGGTCCTAATAGACCGGGCTTTTGTAGATCATCTACATGCTCATCCCAATCAGTTAACTCTTTTCCTTCTTTCCAGCTCTTTTTTAACCTTCTCCCATGCTCTGCTTTGGTCAAGTATGCAGATTATTTGGTTTCTGACATTAAAACGTTTCTGGTTGGCTGATTTCATAGACTGAATACTCCAATCACAGATTGCTTCTCGCGTGCATAGATTTGGATTTTCCTGTTGGCGTTTGTTTCTGGATTTCTGTCGCAGTTCTGCGATTATCCCTTATCCCTTTTGCTCTCGCACTTCTCTGCATGATCATGACTTGGTTGGTTTTTTATTTGAAATCAACTCTCCCTTTACGATGATATGATTCTTGGTCTGAAACAGTCTACATTAGCAGTTTATATTGATCTGTCTTTTCTCTATAAAAAAAAATTGAAAACTTTCAAAACAACTCAGAGATCGGGTATTCTGGGGCTTTGGTTTCAGTGGCAATCCAAAAGTCCCGAGGACACTGAATGAATCCTGGAAATATCCCCCAAGAAGCGGGGAAGACCGGCTCGCTATGACTCCAGCTATTGCTGTGAAATATTTCGTACTTTGTTCTATAATGGCAGGCTATAATATAGCTCACATATCGCCCAGGGATCCAATATTCAGGCGCCAGAGGCGGCGAACGACAAAAAAAATCCCCAGCCATACTATCAACAGGGTCAAACCGAGCACGAAGTTCACCTGCATGACCGGCCCTATTTGTAACGGAAGGGAATTATTCCGGTCCCTTCTCATTCTGTTCTTGGTCTAGTTGTCGCCCATCGTGGCCCAGAGCCGCCGTCAATTCTAGCCCCAACGCCTTCGCATCTCCCATGCGCTCATAGCCATTCAATGCGCATGGTATGACGAGTGCTCTTATGATCCAACACTATGCTTGAGCCTTTATTGCTACCTTGCTACTGTGCTACGTGGATATGATTTACATCTCAGCCCGTTGCCTCTTCCAGCCGTCGTGGTTAAGAGCTAGTTATGCACGCCGTCTGGGGCGGGTTCCCCGGTAAGAGTGCACACCGCAATATACAGACTAGACTTATAATTCTGGTTTCAGCTCCTTTTCGCTTTTCTCTCGGTATATAGAAGAAAAGAGAAGACCATGGCCACTATTCTGAACAGGTTCGCCGATCTCCAGTTAATATCCGGCGAAGGTGTGGCGGGCCATGCTCATGCAATGAACTTGCTTCATGATAGATCTCATCAAGGTGAGAATTATTATTATCTATAGATGTACTGAGCCAAATGCACCATACTGACAGATATTCCTAGATATTCATGCCCAGATCATACAAAAGCACCCGCAGTGGACACATGAGGTTTCGTCTCTTCTGCACTGCATCGCATTAGTTCAGCGACCACTTAGTTTGAGAACGCTGTTGGCACTCGCGGCACCAGGGGTAAATTATCACGACCAGATCATCCAAGAGGACTGGATCCGGGATGTCCTCATGTCAGGCTTCATTCAAACGCAAAGCTCTGAGGCTAACTCTGACATCCTGGTTGGCTTGATCCATCAATCTGCTAAGGATTACCTCGTCAACGGCGGTAATTTGGACAGTGATGCCATCGAGAATTACATGCACTATGTCATTGCCGAGAGATTGCTAGCCTCTCTCGAAAATTACTGGATGTATGCTGGCAAACCTGGGGCAAATACCGAAGACACGGTTCCTTTACACCCTGATCAGGCTGACCTGGTTTATTACGCCCTTGAGTTCTGGCAATACCATGCTCGGCATTGCGGGGTCTATGCGAATGCCATCTTCAACACCGACCGATTGTTCTTTTCGCTCGACTCTGATACTCGGGTATACTGGACCTACCTGGGGTTTGGGGCCAGTCCCCCAGAGCCAGTGACAGGCCTAGACCTCAGCCAGGCCAATTTCTTATGGGACCAGAGTCAACTCTCGGCTATACATGTTGCTGCTCTCATTGGGAATGTTCCCTGGATCAGCCTTCTGGTTGAGGAATCCGGGATCCAGCTGCTGGACAGTGCCGATGGATTCGGGGTGACTCCGTTGCAATACGCAGCATTGGGTGGTCATGCAGATGCTGTCCAGTTCATCATCAACAGCGCAGATTTGACTGTGCAGTATGGGCGGGCTATTTGGTTTTCCATCATCATAGGATCTGCAAGTGTTACTCGGTTGTTGTTACAGAATGGTGCCAATGTTGACATTCAGGATGAAGTCAACCGGGAGTTGATAGACCTGGCATGCACTGGTGACGATGAATGCGAAGATGATGACGAGATCAGCTTGGAGGCAAAGCCAAGACGCATATCCTTACTTATCAGAGCCATTGAGGGTTGTCATGCAGAGGTTGTAGAGGTCCTTCTGTGGGCAAATGCCAGTTTGAGGCCAAACGGTCAATCCGCTCTTTGCCATGCAGCGGCCTTTGGTGATGAACAAACTCTCCAAGTGTTGGCCAACCAGGGAGCCAATATCGATGACAAGGACGAGCAAGGAAAATCCGCCCTCTATCACGCTTTGGTTCGGGGTGATTCTGGAATTCAGCGCATTCTGGTTGAATGGCGCGCAAGGACATGCGGGGTTAACCTTTGCAAGATGCAAATGTCAGAGCCTGACATTTACCAAGCACTTTCGAGTGATCCAAATATTCACATGAAAGATAAAGACGGGAGAACTGCTCTACATTCGGCCGTTTTTGTACCAAGCCAGGGGAACGTGAAACGCTTGCTTTGGCTTGGTCTCGACCCGAATGAAAGGGATCACGATGGAAACACCCCGCTCCATGCAGCGATGGGCTTCTGTCTGAAGGATCTAGTGCCGATGAGATGTCTGCTCTGGGACAAGATGTTTGATCAAAGGGTGTTTGAAGAGGTGTCGAGGCTTGCGCAGTCGAGCTGCCACAGCACACGAGAGCAACAACGCCAGGAAGCTGAGAGATTGACCTCCTTCCCAGAGATAGGAGTCAAGTTCGACGCTATACGTTTGTTGGTCATATATGGGGCTTCAATTGAAGCGACTAATGATTCCGGAGAAAGCCCATGGAGTGTTTTATAAGGATTGCCGTTCGGAGTGGGAAAGTTGCAGCGTGAAAGTTTGGTTTGTTTGCGCAAGGTTTTCATAGCTACGAGCACTTAATATCGGGCGTGCCCTTTTTGGCTCGAAAGCTTTACTCTATCGCGGTTAGTTTCAGCTGGAAGTGTGGCATACACATTCTAATTGAGAAATATGTTCATTTTGCCAACCCCCAGGGCCGGTAACAAGTCAATTAGATAAGAATTGAGCAAATATGAAGAAAAAGAACAAGTGACTTCGTTACGGATCATGGGCATTTTCCATGGAGGCATCTAAATACATTGAACATCCGAATTTTTTACCCTTCTAACAACTCAACACCACACGCTTATGCGATGTAGGTAGAGGCGGAGACATCACCACCACGGCCGGTCCAGTTGACGTGAATGTCCTGGCCCTCGGGGAAGGTCTCGCTGGCGAACTCGGGCTTGATGCGGAAGGTGTGGGCACCGAAGTAGTCACGCTGGGCCTGGAGAAGGTTGGCGGGCAGGTTCTTGGAGCGGTAGCCGTCGTAGAAGCTGAGCGCGGTGGAGAAGGCGGGAGCAGGAATACCCCAAAGGGCAGTCTTGCTGATAACGTTACGCCAGCCGCTCTGGGCGTGGTCGATGGCCTTCTTGAAGAAGTCGTCGAACAGAAGGTTCTCGAGGTCGGGGTTGTTGCGGTAGGCCTCAGTGATGTCCTTCAGGAAGACGGAGCGGATAATGCAGCCACCACGCCACATGAGGGCGATGGAGGGCTTGTTGAGCTTCCAGTTGTACTCCTTGGCGGCCTAAACGAGCATTTTTGTTAGGGCTAATTCAATTGAGGAAGTTAGTTGGAGGTGCAAACGTACGTTCTGGATGAGCATGAAGCCCTGGGCGTAAGAGATAATCTTGGAGGCGTACAGGGCCTGCTCAAGGTCGTCGACGAAGGCCTGCTTGTCACCCTCGAACTTGGGGGTAGGGCCGTCGAGGATGGTGCTGGCACGGCCACGCTCCTCCTTGAGGGCACTGAGGCAGCGAGAGAAGACAGACTCGCCAATCAGGGTGACGGGCATGCCGAGGTCAAGAGCGTTGATGGCGGTCCACTTGCCGGTACCCTTCTGGCCAGCCTTGTCAAGTATCTTGTCAACAAGGGGAGTACCATCGTTGTCGTTGTAGTAGAGAACATCGCGGGTGATCTCAATGAGGAAGGAGTCGAGAACACCAGTGTTCCACTTGGCGAAAACATCACCGATCTCCTTGGAGGAGAGACCAACACCACGCTTGAGGATATCGTAGGCCTAGGCTGTGTTAGACGAAGCTCTGTGCGCATTTTCAAGATTCTCCCGTGGGCTTACCTCGCAGATCAACTGCATATCACCGTACTCAATACCGTTGTGGACCATCTTGACGTAGTGACCGGCACCCTCGTCACCAACCCAGTCGCAGCAGGCCTCGCCGTTGCTCTTGGCGGCGATGCTCTGGAAGATGTCCTTAATATGGGGCCAGGCGGCCTCGTTACCACCGGGCATGAGGGAGGGACCGTAGCGGGCACCCTCCTCACCACCAGAGACACCGCTGCCAACGAAGCTGATGCCCTTCTCGGTGAGGTAGCGAGTGCGGCGGTTGCTGTCGGGGTAGTGGGAGTTACCACCGTCAATGATGATATCACCCTTCTCAAGGAAAGGCAGAAGGGACTCAATGAAGTCATCGACGGGCTTGCCGGCCATGACGAGGAGCATGATGCGACGGGGACGCTTGAGCTTGGCGCAGAACTCCTGGATGGAGTGGGCACCAACAATAGACTTGCCTATTCGCCAAAGGTCAGTATTTTCACCCTGCAGTCCCGGAATTCCGGGGTCTCCGGAAAAGCTTACCCTTAGCCTCGTTATCCAGGAAACGGTCAACCTTGGCGGTGGTACGGTTGTAGGCGCAAACGGTGAAGCCGTGGTCGGCAACGTTCAGAATCAGGTTCTGGCCCATGACGGCCAGACCGATGAGGCCGAAATCAGCACTAGGAACAGGGTGCGCCGGAGCGCCGACATTGATGCCGGCGAGACGGGCGCTATCGTCAGCGACCAATTTCTCGTCAATAGCTGGGTAAATATCACGAAGGGGCGGTAGTTAAGAGGGAAATCCGCGCAGTTCCGAAAAAAAAAAGATCAGAACCGCCGAATCTCCGTGGTATCATCTTGAATTGGCGACTGAAGAGAGCCCTCGGGCTCTCTTCGGAGACCTCAAGATGTCTGAGCAGCATTGGGGGATGCGCTCTGTTATTGCTGCAAGATGCAGGTGTAACCACCGAGATGTCGGAGTCGATGGAGGGGTAGAAGTAGAAGAGGGGCATTGAACTTACACAGCTTGGTCAGCCATGACGATTAGATGTGAGGTAGAAAAGAAGGGGGGTATTGAATTGAGAAAGGGGAATCTAGAGAAGGAAGAGAAGAGGAGGAAGAGGGGAGAATAAGAGGATGTCACAGTCCAAATTGCTGACGGAGCAACTCTTCCGTCATCTGGTGGGACATACCGGCGGGGGTACCGTGTACCTCTGAGGTCCTTACTCTCTCCGGTGTAGCGCCAAGTACTCGGTACAGGAGCAGAGTCGTCCGGTATCAACCCACTCGGGTTCTGTTCGGATTAGGGAAGTCAATATCCGATCCGGCTTCAATTCCTGTTGATCTATAATTCTGTATACTTTGAATATGTGTGTCTAAGTATGTGATTGTCCTTGCATGCAGCTTTCTGCCTCTATACAATAGCGGGGCATGGAGGGGTAGTGAAGGGCCCTGGAGGTACGAAAGGCGGTACTCACCCTTCGTACTCCGTGGGTCTCGAAAGGCTTAGAGAGCTTTGGTACAAATGGACTGAGCCCGGAGGAAAGAAACCCCTCGTTTTCCACGCATCGGTGAACTGTTCTGGTCGAGAGCGCGACGGAGAAACTCTTCACTTGCCGATGCGTCCATAACCGGCTTCGTAGAGACTAGGCTGCTTTGGGACTAGAGTGGGGGTCACGGATGAGATCAGCATGATTAGGTCATCCAAAGCTTGGTGTCACGTGGGGATCGTCTACGGCAGTTTATCTGGATCATTCCGCTACAAGTCTGTACAGTAGGGACAGAGCACGAAGTACGGAGTACGGAGCAATCATATAAAATGTTTCACGCCTATTGATATCCTGACCCTAAGGCATTAAGGTCAACAAATATTCATTTAGTCCTCCCTCTCCTTCTCTCTCTCCCGAAGCCTCTTTTTAATTACATCAATTACCGTTTCCCTGCCGCTTGTGTCTATTCTTGTCTATTCTCATACTTTATCAGTATTCAGCCTTATTATTCTATGAGCTTATAATGTAGACTGTAACCAAGGCGGTATGAAAAAAGGTAAGTTACTTGTAGAATATGTAGAAGACTTGTGGATGATCCACGTCATGGCTCACCGCCTCCATTGGCTGGCAGAGATGAAGATGGTTCTAGGCGGTGGGCGGAATTGCACCGAACCTTCTGAAAGACCTGATCTTTGGCTTCTTATCGCGACACGCGCTTCAGTGACTTCCCACCGAATACATATTTGGCAACGTTTTATCTTCTTAATAGCTGCCTTACTCTACGCTTTAGGGTTCGAGACCAATTTTTCGTGGTCTGGCGACTGACTGTATCATCAGTCAGGCCCTGAAGGTACGTTGCGGTTGCTACTTTGCAAATAGCAAACTCCAGTCTCTCTCCCTCTCTCCACCTCAGTTTTGGTCGACCAATCATTCATCATGGCCTACCCGCCTCCTCCAGGTCTTAAGCAGACACCGTCGTCACTTCCTCCGCGCCCACCTCCCTCATCCAATGCAGGACAGCCACCCGCTGCCGCCCATGGTGGTAGACCGGGCTACAACGCTTTCACGGCGTTCCAGCCGCGTGCCGTGGCGTCCAGTCAGCCCCGCCCCAAGACCGTGATCTCAGCTCCTCCTGTCCCTGTGGCCACATATGCAGCGCCTGCTACAAACTACGGTGGTCATTACCAGCAACAACCTCAAAGCTATCCATCGGCCGGGCCATCATACTATGGCCAACCCCAGTACAGTGAAAACACATACGGCCCAGCCATCCCACATATTCAAAATCCGTTCGGTTCCACTCCAACGCAGGCCAATTCGGGATCTCGACCCGGCAACGACTCTGGCTTCGACGCAGAAACCGAGGCTCAAATCGCACAGTGGCAAAGTGCCTACGCAACACCCGCTGAGGATATCCACAAGCGTCATGCCGGCGCGGGCACAAACCCCGCTGGAGCCCCAACAGTGACTGCCAACACACCTGCTCCCCAACCTGAGTCTCAGAAGACGGTCGTCCGCTCCGGCGGTGGTCAAACATGGAATGATGATACGCTGCTCGAGTGGGATCCTGCTCATTTCCGTCTTTTTGTGGGCAATCTCGCAGGCGAGGTAACTGATGAATCCCTGCTGAAGGCATTCTCACGCTACACATCAGTCCAAAAAGCGCGTGTGATTCGAGAGAAGCGCACACAAAAGAGCAAGGGCTTTGGCTTTATCAGCTTTAGCAACGGCGATGACTACTTTGCCGCTGGGCGAGAGATGCAAGGCAAATACATCGGCTCACACCCAATTCTTCTCCGACGAGCCAATACCGAGGTCCGCCCCGAAGAGCCCGGCAAGAATGGAAAGAAGCACGGCGGTAAAAAGTCGGGCAACACCGGTGGCAAGGTGAAGAAGGACGGGATCAAGAAGCCTGGAAAGACTAAGGGTGGTTTGAAGATCTTGGGTTGAGCTAAGCCTCCATAGCTACCAAGTGGCTGAAGATCCTCCTCGTCTTATGATACTAGAATAAACACTTGATACCAGTTTAAATGTAAAATTCTAATTCAAAATGTTAGTCCGAGAGCCAAGAAAGGATCGTACCTGAAACTGGCCTAATAGATGAGAGGTTGGTACCTGAGTATTGTATGTGGTTAGCACTTTAAGCTCAGGTACCCACTTCCCCAGCCCCCGATGAAAAGAACATGGCTGGGAGGAAAAAAGCCCCCATCGGTTTATAACCCCCATTTCTTTTCTGTCTCATTCTATTTTTCTCCTTCACTTCACATTCCTCCGATCTAATCTAAGATCCGATTTCAAACCGAGCGTTGTGTCCAGTGCCTGACCTAGCCGCGGACTATACAAGCCCGACGCATTGCGGCCGGATTACTCCACTTCACCTCTGTTACTTTACGACCGATCGCACCTTTAATTGAGATTGAAAGTCTTCTTCGATATCGCATTCTCCCGCTGTCTTTCTAGACATTCGCCGAAATGGTGCAACGCAATATTGTCATCGCAATCATCATCATCATTCTCTTTCTCCTCCTCGCAGCCGTTGGATTTGGTATCTGGGCCATGAAGAACCAAGTCGCATTCTTCGGGAAATCAAAGGAGGCAGACCCCGAAGCTGCAGAAGGAGGGTGATCAATCAGGGTAGCAGTCTACGCTGCCCGACACCCTTACACTTCTATTGATCTCATGGCCGATTCGGCTTCCTCAAAACGACTACGATATTTTCCGCGACACGATACCCTTATGCTGTCATACGACACTTTTACGACGAGCTGTGACATGAGCATTCACTCATTGAAACGCCAAATCTGTACTTTTCATGACGACTTCGAATCGATCGGTACATACATTGTATCCAATGTGTTTTCTTCTTTCCTCGGATTTTCCTGGTTGGCGTTTAGGGTCTTTCTTTTCTTCCAATGTTTTTCTTTTTCCTTTTTCCCTCTTCCCTCTTCTGGTGCCTTTTCTTGGACTTTATTGGAGTGTTTCGCTTGGTGCACATTACTCAATTTTCTTTGCCTTTGCCTAGGTGGACAGCCAACTACATGATGCATAATTGACATATACTAAACGACCAATATGATAGAATTTATACATATTACCTACTTAGTATTCTCCTCCATGGCAGGTTGTACGACCTTGACGGTGAAACTTAAGCAACAGCCCTGAGGTAGGCGTTGGTGAAAACCTCCTGAAGTCCTGGGCTTGAAAGATTTTGAAATGAATGGCATCCATGGACGTCTGGGAATATATATTGGACGTATCTAACTTCCGGAACTATCCAACAACATATATACTGCACCTTCCAAGCTGGAAGGTTGGAACTTTAGAACTTAGAAATAAACTTTGGAATCACCACCATCAGGCCTGATCAAGTGATGCTCAAGTGCTCAAGTGATGTCCAAGGTTATTCAAGTTGATATAAAAGGACGCTTGATTCTAAAGTTGCGTGGACCGCTTTTGGCCCCCTAGGTAGACCCTGGAGCCCTTGAGGGAAATCTCATAAAAGAAAGCAACCCTTTAGAATAAATACAAAAATCTTTCGGACGCGGTATTAATAAGTGGTCACCGGGGGTAGGAGACCTAATTTACTGTCCAGGTGTTATGCGGCTCCGGGGCCTCTCATCATAGTACAACAGCAATGCACGGCATAGAGCAGATTTCCAAACGCACTGCCTCCAGGGGTATACATATGTCCCCTCCCAAACTCTGTAATAAAACATCGAATCCACCACCAAAAAAGCCTTAACATACATGAGACAGGAAACCTTGGTGAACAAAAACCAGTACGCCCAATAACAATCAAATGCGCTCAAAAAACATAACTCAGTAGCTCCTGTGCACGGAGAGCCGTCACAATGTGCCAAGGCAGTGTGTTGTTTTGCACGCTGCATGTGCCCTTAGCCCGGGCTAGGCTACTCATGTCCCGATACATGCTCAAGACTTTCTTTAAGACATTATCATGCGATGGGACAGGGCGAGGGGAATGGATGAGATTGACGGCCATAGCGAAAACACCGTCGCCGTCAGTGGCGCCTTTGCGGCGGAGAAGATACCCGCTAGACAAAGCAGGTCGGAATTCGGTGAGGTGCGGAGAGCTGTTGAGGCGGTGGGATAAGATGGCTAACCAAGACTCGTCACAAATATCAACGAGAACAGCCTCTGGATCGGTGTCGAGTGACATTTCTGTAGGGGTAGGTGCACTGTAGGCAGCGGGTCCGGTGCTGGTTGGTGTCGCTGCATTTCCGGACTGTTCGGGTGATGCAATGCTAGTACTTGGATTAGGAGTAGAAACAGGTGTAGACGAGGAGAGTGAATTGAGCATAGACATCGAGGTGGATGGGTATGGAGGCTCGAGTATTAAGTCGGGAATGACGTTAACAGCGAGGATGGTCAATTCCAATGAACCAGGTCGTAATTTGTTGTGATGTTCTGCAAGATTGACCCAGCCTGCGAAAAGTGTTAGAAGCTCATTCTTAAATCTGGGTAAAGGACCAGTCATTACCTTCGACCTCATCGGGCTCCATGGGTTCGGTGGTCACTAGTTGAACTTTCCATCGCGCTTGGAGTTTATTCATAATGTGTCTTGTCGTGGCCCAGATCTCCTGTCGTACTTCGGAAATTGACCTACTACTACCACCCGACTGGCGATATTTAGTGCAGTAAGACATGGTTCTTTGGATGGAACCTGGGACATCGGACCATGCCACCGATATCCAGCGCTGATCGAGACTTCGGGAACAGGCAATGTGGAGGGTTCGTCCGTCTTTGAGCGGCGATGCCCGCTCAGAAGCAAGTTGGAAACTAATGCCCGTTGGGAGAGAATCGGCGAGCAGTATGGGTGGCGTGCAGAGCAGAGAAGTCGTATCGGTGTCCATTGGACGGCATCGGCCATATACTTCGAGTGCTAAATTCAAGTAATCCGACTGCGGAGGCACCACCATGGTTTCACTTGACATGATGAATTCCAATGGAATGATCTGCAGGACAAGCTCATCCACAGGCCGAGTTTGTCGGTGTTCGGAATCCGCAACCAGTTGCTGGAACAGTTGCCAGAAGGCCGAGCAGATATCAGCAAGCGCGGATGCATGCTTGAATGGGTTTATGATGTAGACAACACAGTTATCAGCACTTGGTAGTGACTGTGAGAGCTCCGACCCTGGAAGACCGTTAGTGACTGATGGGATATGGGGAGATCTCACGTACCGAGTTCTTCACATAGTCCCTTAAGTACCTGCATCATAGATTCATAGCGGGGCGATTCAGATTGCCATGGCCTCAAACCATCTTCAAATGCAAGTGAGCATTCTCCTCTGGTATGATTTCCCAGGTTGCAACTTTGATAGAGAAGACCGAAACGCTTCAGAAATACATCTGCTGCTTGTGAGGCAAAGGTTGGATGAATGCAATATGCAGATATATCTTTTGGCCCATGGGCTGGTTCAAGCCCAAATGTCTCCCAAAAGGAAACAGTTGGAGGAAGTGCTTCCAAGAATTCTTTGCCCCTGCGAATACGTACATGGGGCGCTGGCAACTTGAAAATGAAACTCCTCGGAGCTTCTTTCACCGTCGGTGGATGTTGTGGAGGTTGTTGCGGTAGCCTATGTTGCGGTTGGCTGGCAAACAACTCATCTTGCAATGATGTGTATTTCTTTAGGTCCAATTTTGAGGCATGGCCTATTAGGTTAATATCATCAAGAGGCTGCAATGAGGGACATTGAGTTTCGAGGTCAAATAGGGAGATATGGCCATCAAGCGAATGCTTCAGAGATGATTGGGTGATTTGGTCAACTAGAAGTTGCGCAACTTGAGGCTGATGTTCTCGGCGAAGAAGTACGGGCTGTTGGTGTGGTGTGAATGCTGAAAAGTACCCGATCAAAGACCAATCAGAGAAGTTGGCCAGAAAGTTGCCCAAGAAGGTGGAGTTCTCTGTTGCAGTTGAAGTTGTGGCAATTGTGTCGTTTACAGACAAGGGCTTTTCTGGTGAGGTGACTGATAAAACATCAGAATCGGATGGAGCTCGCTTGCGCTTCAGAGAGGTTATAGTGGACACAGCCGTTGTCGTTGGCGCATGCTCTGAAATCATATTGACGCTGTCATCGCTGTCATCGCTGTCGTCACTGCTGACAGAAGCTGAACGAGGAGCTTGCGTTATCCTAGTTCCAGATCTTGAAGCATTGATGTCCTTCGTAATAATAGATCCGCCGGCACTGCCCCGAGCACGGTGAGGTAGGCCGATGATAGGTATAGCAGATGTTTGACCCAAGCTCTCTGATGGATTATCGGCAGAAAACCAGAATTTGCCAGCTGCTCCATACTTCTGGTCCCAATTCCCAAGTCTTTTCTGGAAGGCGACTGGAAGGTAATGACCTTGAACCCGATCACCAGTAGAATGGTCGGAATCTGGTGGCTGTAGCCCAGGGAAAAGTATTTTCCTCACCTCTACTGGGCTCAGGGGTGGGCTAATCGTTTGAGCTGCCCGGTCTGTAGGCGAGTGAACTTGCTCGTCGGGAAGTTTGGTCTGAGCAGGTGAGTCTGTCATTTGATCGTGTATTGGGATATGATGGTCCTCCTGTGTAGGAAATTGTTGTTCTGATTCCGGCATTTGACAGAGAGATGGACTTTCATCCACCATAGCATCGGGGTCCAGGTAGCTTCGACCGGGAGATGGTTGCAGTGCTTGCTCTATTTCTTCTGGCTGGTCATCACCGCCCATACCGTCGAAGTCTGGATCGTCAAAGAAGCTGAAGTCCGCGTCTGTGATACCCTTCGATCCGAAGTCTTTGCCATTTATTTCGCCGAAAAGATCTTCCTCGTCACTTTCGTCATATCTACCAGTGCCAACTCCAATATTGTTGTTCTGATTTGGCGGTGAACCGGAATCTGGGGCGTTTCCTTTGGGGCTTGATTGTTGGGCTCGAGAAATTCCGAAATCAGAGCTATCGGCAAAAGCTTCGGTTGTGCTTAAAGCGCCCAGTCCAATTGCAGTAGCTCCTTCTGGTGGAGTCGGATACACAAGATGTGCTGATTGGAGGTCAGGATACTGCGCAAGTCGGGATAAACTCTCTATGTTGTCGGTGATTTCGATTTTGGGAGAATGTATCATATCATGGACTCCTGGCGGGGCTTCTTGGGCGATGGGAGTATTTTGAAGATTGACAGCAAGGTCTAGGTTGAGAGAACTAGTCACGGTGGACCATTGCTCAGCAAAATCTAAGGGTTCGTCAAGAAGAGAAGTCTGGACCCCTGAGGAGGATTTTGATGAGCTAGCCCTTCTGAAGCAAAATCTCGCCGGCCACAGCATGCGTTTCAAGGGCAGCATAGATGAACTATCATCACTTTGTCGCCATGCTTCCCCAGCGAGTCTCGCGAAAAATGGTTCCCACACTTCCACCTCCACCCAAGGTTCTTCATCAATTCCCTCAACCTGCATCCCAAAATTTAGAAGCCACTGCACAACATCCAACTTCCATTGCGTAAGTTTTGCAGGATTATCCCCGGGAGTGGGGTGATTTGGGGAAAGGGAAATTGATGAATCGACATTGGCAGTGACAAGTCTGGCGATCGACCCGTTTGGGCATAGCCATACGTCTATTCCGGGCTTTGCAATGGGTGTGTGCGTGATATCACCTCTTGGATTACACAGCCGCGTGATGCCCGCTTGGGACAATGTTTGGGCAGAAACAGTGATTGTTCCAGCCATCGTAAGTTGAACATTAAGCGTCGTCAGGCATGAAGTGGAGAGAATGCTGTCATTGTTGATGTGGGGAACCTCGTAGCCCAACTTCTCCACTGCTGTAAAAAGAGTGCGTGACCCGAGCGGCAAAGCACCATGGCGTCGGACCAACTGTAAACTAATCGTACCAGTCACCGCGGATATGAATGAAGCGTAAATGGCTGCCGAGCTACTATAGCTATCCTGGCGGCGAGATGATGGCTGACCCTGGGGCGGACGTGGCTGGCCACTGGGATTGTCAGATGACAGGCCTTTTACCAAGTCCAATGAAGAGACACTCCCCGAAGCAGAGACTAGTATAGCAAGATTAGAGAGAATAGCCCCAAGGATTCGATAAGCCAACCATTTACATACCTTTCAACGTTGTGGTGCCGATGACGATTTTATTAGATTCTGCGTCACTTCCCCTCACATACAGGGGTTTCAGACTTTCGAAATCGGGTGTGGGGGAGAACACCCAAAGTCCCAGTCGTCTTGGGCATGATGCCAGGCAGTTTAAATTTCTTAGCCGAGCCTCGAGATCTTTGAGACGACTCAGGTGTTTGAGAATAGTGTAGCCATTGGCGGGGCCTTCCTGTGGGTTATTTGCGATACCAACCTCTTCTGTATATATTCTCCAGTAGATATTAGAGAATCCTTCCTGATAAAAAGGTCAGTATCCCGCCGAGCGTTAGCCAACTATCGTGATACTAACAATGAGATGTATGTTGGTGTTTGCGCCCCTCGGGAAGTCCATAATTCAATAATCGCGGACAGCCCCGGAAGCCTTTAGAGATAAATAGAAATTTGAAGTTGACTCTGGGAGTCATTTCCAATCACAGGTCGCATGGCCTGGAACAAGAACCCAGAGTGTATGGCGTGGATATTATGAAGCAACAGATGTATTAGCTGTTCGATGCCATGTTGCGCGTATGAATATTGACAAGAATTGAGGATTTCCGACACAACACTCGCATGTAGCTGAGCTCAAAACATCGGAATGATAAGCGACGACTCAATCCGAATGCTCATCGCGTGAAGTCAACAGAAGGTTGAAATGCGTAATTCCGGGGGACGTTCGCCAGGGACACTCGGGCCAATCACCAATCGGGTGGTCACGTGGTCGCTATCGCTATCGCAGTTTTTTTTTTTATCTTCGACTTTGCTCACGCCGACAGTTGCATTTCAGCTCGGAAAATAGCAGTGTATTCTGCTTGACGCCATCATGCAGTTGACCAACCCATCCCAGGTCCCCGTCTACACAATCTCAGGCTCTAACAGTGCTCGGCCACTCCCTGAATGGCTTGCACGCCGCCGGAAGCGCAGCTTGAAGAATGATCCAGAGTACGCTAATCGTGTTGAACTGCTGCAAGACTTCGAGTTCGAGGAAGCCAGTCACTGCATTCGTGTCAGCGAAGACGGCGAGTGGGTTATGAGCACAGGTTTGTCCAACTGATCCTATGATCCTGTCTGGTGTTTTCAATTCAACCACTAACACCGCGCAGGAACTTATAAACCTCAAATCCATACCCACTACCTCCCGCAATTGTCTCTTTCATGGGCCCGTCATACCAGCTCTCTCAACACAACATTCATTTTACTTTCTTCCGACTACACAAAATCCCTCCACCTACAGTCCGACCGATCACTAGAATTCCACACCCCAGGAGGATGTCACTATACCACCAGACTTCCCCGTTACGGGCGTGACATCGTTTACGACCGTCAGTCAACTGAGGCGCTTGTCCCTGCGGTGGGTGTCAACCAGGATGGCATGGGAGAGGTCTATCGACTGAACCTGGAATCCGGCCGATACATGCGGAGTTTCGAAGTGGATGTTGGAGGCGATGACTTCACCTCCGCTGGTGCTGGAACTCTACAGGGTGGGATCAACACGGGCTCTGTCAACACCGCTGCGATCGCAGAGCAGAGTCACAATTTGTTGGCATTCGGCACATCACTAGGAACCGTTGAGCTCTGGGATCCCAGGGCCAAGGGACGTGCGGGTGTGTTACTGCCACCAGCGCAGCCGGCTCATGTCGGACTCGACAATGCGCGATCTGAGATCACAGCATTGGACTTCAACCGCTCCGGTATGAGTCTCGGAACTGGATCATCCAACGGCTTGATCCACCTCTATGATCTTCGTTCGCCTGTTCCGTACCAAATGAAGGACCAGGGATACGGATTTGCTGTTCACACTTTGCAATTCCTTGAGCAATCATCTGCGACCCAGGCTGCCACAATGGAGCCTAAGCTACTATCGGCCGATAAGCGAATTATCAAGCTCTGGGACATCGAGGACAATATGCCGTGGACATCTGTTGAACCGGCCGTGGACATCAAATCAGTGGCCTGGTGTAAAGACAGCGGCATGCTTCTTACGGCTAATGAAGGCCGACAGCAACACTCTTTCTTTGTGCCCCAACTCGGACCTGCGCCCAAGTGGTGCTCATTCTTGGATAACCTGGTAGAGGAAATGGCCGAGGATCCTAACGATCCCAACGCATTCAAGGCTACCCAGTCTGCCGCCTACCCCGGCTACACTATGGTCAACAAGGACATCATTGAAGGCTGGAAGACCAAGATGATTGACAGTCATATTCCACCGATCGATGTGGACTCATACATGAAGGACGGCAAGATGATCCTTGAGAACGAAGGATCTTGGCAGATGAAGACCTATCTGTACGAATACCACCAGAGCCAGTTCGGCCAAGGTGAAAGCACAAGACAGAACAAGGTCGAGCAAGCAATTGAAAAGCAGCGCGAGAGCCGCATCCGTGGCAAGAAGAAGGTCGATGTCAAGGTGAACAGGCGACTGGCCGAAAGGATGAAGCTTGCGGAGGAAAAGAGGGAGCGCAAGCATGCGAAGCGCTTGGTCGAGAGCGGAGGCGACTCCGCTATGGTCGATGCGCCTGCAGTCGCGTCCTCGGAAGGCAAGGACAAGGGTGTCGTGGGAGACAGCCGTTTTGCCCAGCTGTTCGAAGACCAGGACTTTGCCGTCGACGAGACTTCGCGCGAATTCCAGTTGCTCAACCCCAGTACAGTCCCCGAAGCTGCATCTGCGCCTGCGAGAAAGGAACGTGGTCTCACTGCGGCCGAACAAGAAGCCGTCGACGATGTGCCTGGCTCCAGCTCCGACGATTCCGATTCCGATTCCGACAGCGAGCGCGAGAAGCCTGTCAAGCCAGCGGCTTCCAAGAAGATTTCATCTGCAGACTACAAGCGAACAAAACGCCCTCCGCCTCGTATGCAAGTATCGTCCTCGAACCAGGCCAACTCCACCCGAGACCGCTCATTCGGCTCCCGCGCGCAAAATATGAAGTCGAGGCAAAAGCCCGCGAGACGCCTCGGTGCCGTTGGCGAGAAAGAGGTCAGCTTCAACCCGGCTGGGAAGCCCAAGCGCACCGCACCCGAGGTTCAATACGACAAGCCAGATACTTCATTCAAGTCAAAGGAACGCCGCAGTGCTTCTGGCAACGCTTTCCGCAAGATGTAATGCGTCTAATTTTACATGGCCTCCTGTGCCAGATTTCCACTGCATATGTCCTCATCTGGACAATGGACATTGCCCAAAAACTTTCCATTCGGATGAAGACTACATTACCATCCATTTTTGGGACATGAAGCTGAGTTTGAGCTGAACGGGCAACCCTACCTTCTAACTAAACAAACTCGGAAACGAGTGACCCCTACGATACTGTTCTGCTTTCATATGGAAGCAAGTACTCCTTGAAAACCTGCACTACCTTTGCCCAAGACCGCTACCTCAGCATGCGACGGTCTCCTTGGTGCCTCTTTTCTCGAAGCTTCATGTCACCTGTTGTGGGATGTTGGGTCAGCAGCAGACATGTCCCAACCGGGCTGTACATATCTTTATTTACTACTCTGTACTTCGTATATTAACGTCACAAAAAGCGATACCTTTTTTATTGATTCTTTGGCTATTTCATCTAAATTCAGGGCTAAATGCCAACTATGAGAACATTGAACCGATATTTGCCTCGACCCTCTACTCAAGTGGAGCTCCTACATAAAATAGATGACAGCAGGACAGTATGTCCCCCGTAAGTCCTCACTTCAATGGAAGGTCTCCCACATTCACCCCGAATGAATCATTTATTGATCACTCTTATTGATCGCTCTTATTGATCCCCAGATCGCGGCCTCAGGCAACGATGAAGTAATCGGGTGGTTAGCACTAAGCCCAAAAGGGGCATGCGTGCAACGTCGACCCTGCCATCTTATCGCAAACCCTCGAGTCCATTGTTCTTCCATACATACCTGGTTTGGAGGAGCTTGTTTCCGGTTCTCTTCTTTTGGGGTCGTGCTGCAGTACCAACTCCCCCTTGAGCCACGCTCGTTTCTCCACAGAGGATTCGATCGAGATCGCCGTTCAGCCCACTCTCAACTGAAACGCTGGGGTGCAACCGACAGCCCTCCGACATCCGACTTTGAACTTCACTATTCCTTTTCCAATGTCCTAAAGTTATCATATAGGACTTGTTAATTGCGCTCCAAACCAGCTTCAAGGATTCCATCATCGGCTTGGAGGGAAACAGGCCTACCGTGGACCCATCGGAGCTGACCCTCGAAAGCTAAGGGGCTATATGTCTGTGGTGGAGAACAAGCGTCAGAACTCAGTGAAGGGGCTGGCGCAAAAGCAATCCGGCAACGCCGCTGGACAAGGAATGGCGGCAGCAACGGTGCCCTTAGAGGCAGCATTGAGCGGGGCCATCGGTGCCCGGTGAGTCTTATCTGTCAACAATCATGTCTACATCTATGTTGAGTTGCAGTGCTGACATGTCTCTTCGCTTGTCTGTAGCGTTCGTATTACGACCGCTCAGCCAAATCAGTCGATCCTCGAAGGTACTCTTTTCACAGCGTGTCCAATCACCAACCTAGTGGCAATCAACACCGTTCCCGCCACCAACCCGAGTGATGCTAAGCAAGCGCAAACTGGAGACTACCATGTGATTCCCATCTCGCGCATTCAACAATTCCAGCTTCTTGCCCTCGCCACTCCTTCCAACTCCACCTCGTCCTCATTCACCGATGCGCAGCCCACGATTCAGGCACTGGACACCCGTGCGCTCAAGGCCCGTGAAGCAAAAGCGATCGGTGAGGCATTCGACCGCGAAGCCCGTCGTGGCAAGGGTGTCACCCGTGAAGCCCAGGAGCTGTTCGATGCTTTCAGTCGCACCATGCCGGCGCGATGGAACGGACACAGCATCGTTGTAGCCGATGCCGTGACAATCGCCGCACCCTACCGCGTTGATGACTGTCGCCCGAATGTAGAGGGCGACACGGCTGCTCTTGCCAGAGTGCGCAAAGTGGTAGGTTTACACTGTGCTCAATCCACGAGACATGACAAACAAGCTAACGGCTTTGAACCTAGCTCGAGATGGAGCGCAAAAAGATCGAGCTCCGTAATGCTAGCGCCAGCATTGGCTCTACCAGCACCTTCTCTCGCAATCCCAGCAGCCCTAGTGATCAGCGCAAAGGCGGATAAACATGCCATCGGTTCACATCCTCTCGCCGCAGATCCACCCAGTGTGGCTTGATTCGACGTTGAGATGAGCGTTGTGTGTAGCGCCTGATTGAGATTTATGGAAATACCCCTCGCGAAAGAGCGATGTTGCAACGAGATTGAGTGGGACTCGAAAGCGGATCTTATAGCATAATTGCAGTCAGCTAACTGCCTGGCCGAGGAATTATCTCCGGATCTGAATGGGCTTCATTTGTCTTCGAAGTTAGATCGGCCATTCTGTTGCCAACTCCTTTACCTCGCATCTCGTTCTTGGTCTGTTTTCGGCCGAGAATACTAGTGCTCTAAGTCCCTTGCTACAATACCACTTCTTCAGCATAACGACGATGATGCAATACTCAAACACCAAGATTAAATGAAATTGTATCGGTTGAGTACCTACCTAAGGATCGGTATAAATGGAATGAGTGAAATGTCAATGGGAATCCGATGTATCAACACGCTAATATGCCGATGCTGATGGCCTAGAATATCCCCGGGATGTTTATAATGACGACAAAAACGCACACAAGATAAAAAAATTAAAAAAAACTGTCGATGCCAGGCAAATAAACACTCAACATACCGGCCAACAATCACTTGGAACGTTGACAACAAGAACCCAGGTCACAGCGGAGGAGACCGTCCAAGTGCGACATCAGAGACCGTCCCAACGAAGCCTTCCAACCCCGACATTGAGGTCGGTACGGAGTTGGACCCAGGCCCAGGCGCAGACGCAGACGCCATAGTGGCTCCAACCTGAGACCCAGGAGCCATCGAGGTACCAGGCATGACAAGGATTTGGGACCCGAGCTCAAGCCACTCCACGGATGAGACCAATGCAAATGTAATCTTCACATCTTCTTTCAAGGCTTGCGCAGAGGAAGCAATACCGACATTGGAGGCGGGCGAGGCGCCGGAAATCACCCTGCTGAGGTCAATTGCAGAAGGACGGCGGGTGTCGACATTAGCAGCTCCATCGCCATCAACATTGCGCATGGCTCGATTTGCACCGGTGGCGGTATATTTCTCACCGGGAAGCTGAGAATCACCATCGAAGCTGAAAAACTCGGGCTCAGAGGGTGAAGGCGGCGCTGAAGATGCATCTTCCCCAGACCCTGCCAAAGCCATGCATATGACACGTACTGTGGTGCGGACATTGGCAATATAGGCTATAGCGTTTCCTCCTAGTAAAAGGGGAGGTGAATTTAGGGCAGTGAACTCGGCCGAACTAAACGTTGCGGTGAAGCCCACGTGAAAAGGTAGCGATAGTAAAGCTGGAGCAGGTGATGGGCCATCCTCGCTCGAGGCCTGGGTGTGCAAGTCCGAGAGAACCATGCCTTTTCGTATTCGTCCGAACCGCGGTAATCGGCCATCTTCTAAGGATCCAATTGGTTCGATGCCTATCGTTCCGACCTGGTCGACCACGAGGCGTCGGACCGGAAGTCGCAGGTCTCGTACACTGACAACGCGGACGCGTTGCCATTTCGCCTGCGGGTCTTTGTTGGACAATAGAAAGTGTGGGAGGGACGCCGGATGATCGCCCGAAGGACCGGGCCCGGGCCCACTGCGGGACAGCGACCCTCCGGGTGGTTGGGCCTCTTGGCCTGGATCATTTGAAGTGTCCACCAGGATGGGGCCGATGACCAGCTCATCGCCAATAGAAATACCCCCGCATCGGACTAAACCACAGAGCACCATTCCTCGATTTTCTTGTCCTCCTTTCTCTGAGTCAATAGAATAGACTTTAGAAGGCGGAATGGCAAAAACTTCATCCACATCAAAGATATTTGAAGAGCTCTGAGAGGGCACAGAATCCTTGGGAACACGGGAAATCCTCTGAGAAGGCCGTTCAGGGATGGGAAGAGACCGAAGGAAAGCATGAAGTTTGCCTATGCCAGAGCCATCAACCGCACTAGTAAGCATGATAGGAACAGTTTGAGCCCATTTCCCCTCGGCTGCAGCAATTACCTTGTGTGCCTGCATGTTGTCCACCTCGCTTATATGCTGAAGGTCGACTACTTTGTCTCCAACTGGCGATGCCGGGAGCATTGTGGGCTGTCGCTCGGCGGTTTTAAGCGCGGAGAGAACTCTCGCGAGGGTGTCCCGTAGTCCACTGCGAGAAGCAAGATCCATCTTTGTGATGACAATCAGCACGGAAAGCTCCAGTTTCAGACAAAGTTCTAAATATGCCAGGCAGGTGTCAATCTCAGACTTTTCGGTTCCTGTCTGCTCGTCATAGGATCGATTGTCAGAACAGTCGGCTGGAATACACAATATTACATAGTGTGGGGCCCAGCTGACCAGGCCTCGCACCATGGATTTGAGGTATCGGATGGAGCCAGGCAAGTCAGACACGAAAGCCAGACGGTTCCCTTTGGATGCAGCGTGGATGTCATCCCAGCCAGCAACATTGCCTGAGGCATAGTTGATTACGTTGGGCGAGGTCCCGTTTGTGTACCCAATGAGTTCCTGGGCCACTGAACTAGTTATTCCGGACGAAATCTCGTGGCGATGTTTGAGCAAACTCAACCTGCTCTTACCCCTTCCGTTGTCGAGTGCAGAGGAAGTCAAGGCCCCGAGCAAAGATGACTTTCCGGCAGTGCTGGGCCCTGCAAGGGAGACCCGAATCTGTTCTGTATGGGAATAATCTTCCGATGCTAGAGTTTTGTCTGAGTCTGGGGCTGCAGCGATTTTCGGACCCTCTTTTGACTTGTTCTGGGAAATGTTGTAAAAGTCTAAGTCAGGACTGACCAGTGCCTCTGCAACCCAGAGCCTCTCGGTGTGGCTCTGGTTTGAGCCAGCCGGCTCGGAGGGTAAATTCTCGGTCCATTCGCATTTCCCAACCACCACTCTGCGAAGAATTTCAACTTTACATCCCAGGCTAGCAGCCATGGTTTGCAGGTTGATGACACTTTCGTTCAGTTCATCTTGGGTCAACCCTACGAAAGTGCCGTCGTCCGCGACACCAATTTCGTATAGCGCACCTTGACTCTCCTCGAGACCTGGAGGCAAACGAGCAGGTTTGAAAGGCGCGTCCACTTTCGGTGGTACATCGGGAAGAATAGGAACCACAAGATTTGAAGTGGTGGAAGAATGGAAAGGCGAAGATTGTTGCAACCGCCACAGTAGCTGGGTTGTCAGCCCCTGGAGTCTTTGCTGGCGGCTCTGGTTGGACTTGGCGGGCATGGGTCTTGGATTCGGCTCTGAGCTTGGGGATGCAGATGTGGGTGGCAAAGCCCGGTGATGGAACGACCCAGCAACTAATATCCCCGTGGACATAGAGACATACGCCCGCCTAGGCCGGAGCAGAAGGTGCAATTTGTATTCAGTGGGACCTTCCTGGGGCTCCGGCTCGAGTTTGGAAATCCCATAATCGGATAGTAAGTCTGCGCTGGCACGCGATGGAATATCACCGTAACGTGAATTAACAGGTAGTTCACGACTAGCAGATGCGGGCACTTGTGGAGTCGATGACCCCGAAGTCGACCACGGGGACGATACCCGAGGCGGGTCAGGGTCGTAAGTGAAGATGGATGCCATTTTTTCCTCTCCCGTGTTATGGCTCAGACAGGCGGCAAATATATTGGTAATAAGCAAGAGTATAGAGACAAGTAAAGCTTTCCTAGAACAAAACCGACGAAAGGCATTGTACTGATAGAATTGGGATATGTGAAGCAGCACTGTTTCAACTGAGTCACAACAATTGGGGTCATCCCCCAGATCACGTGGCCTAAACTCCCATCAAAGGTCCTGGTTGGTTTTTGTTTGCTTGTTTTGGTTTGACACGATATCTCAAATTGCTGAACCAAATGAAAAATTCCTTTTTAATACAACGCCTGGGCTGAAACTCCTAACAAAATGACATGTGTCCGTATAGTGATGCCTCTATTCAGTGGAGGATTCCCTACCATCGCTTCTGCACTTGCCTTGGGCAACATGTATGTTGCGTGCTGTCGTGCGTGTGAAAACTGCTCCACAAACCGGGCATTCTGCTTTGGCCACCACACCCGATCTTTCGCGCTGGTGTCGAAGCAGATTGCTGAATGTCGAGAACTCGCGGCCGTTGCAGCCGTGGTCCCAGCATTGCGGCCGTGGACGAGAGTTTGCCTGGCGCGCTGAGTTATCTGTCTCTGCAGGGTGAGTGATCGCAGATTCTGGTGAAGAGTATATTGGTTCGGGGGCGACCATCGACGGCGGCCGAGGGTTGATGCCTGCGGGTTGTGGTCTAGTACTTTCATTTTTGGTCAGGATGATGACATTTGCCCAGAAGAATGAACTCACTGGACGACTGAGCCTTGGTGGAAATAATATCCAGGTTGGTTCATCATATAAGTAGGAGGGCTATGCAGGATGTCAGTTTCGTGGCCATTGGACCGCGCGACCTGTGCGGACGAGTTCTTCGACATACGAAGTCATGAGAGGTTGTTCGGATAGTGGAGGCGGGACAGACACGGGTTGATGATGGACCGAACGACTGAAATGTGGACTGTGGTGGTCTTGTGAGCCTCGCTGCTATCAGAGGAAGAAGGTCTCGACTTACCTCTGAGATTGACTGTGGTGGTCATGCCGTGGTGAGGCAAGATAGGTTGGTGATATTTGCGGCTCTTGTTGATAATATCCGTGGAGATGCCTGGTAGGCTGATCTGAATAACCCATTGCATAGCCAGATGCGGGATATGATTGGTGTGAAGATGCGAATGGAGGGCTTATGTGTCCTGATGGCGATTGCAGAGGGTGATCAGGCCGGTTTGCCCATGCATATTCTGTGAATGTCAGCTATGACTTATCTCACATTTGGATAGGACTTCTCACGATTAGGATGTTGCTGCATCGCGCCAGCCAAATACACATCTGATGCTACCGACATCGGGTATGATGAGATGCCAAGGCCACTGTTGAGGGGGATGCCCTAGTCAGCACTGCGTCCTAATCGGTTGGAAAGCACCTTTCTCGTATTACTTGCCGTTGGTTTTGCGAGATAGGTTCTTGTTTGACACGAATTGTGTCTTCAAGAGGAGGGTGACCGATTGGATTATCAAGTGGATAATCTGAGCTCAGCACAGTGTCCAGTTGCCTAGGAGGGTTAAGCGCTGTCGCTGACTGCTGTGGAGAAACCGAAGGGCCAAATCTCTGTGCTGGCAGGGCAGTCTCTTGCGCAACAAAAGCACTATGACCAGGCCACTCAGGGCTTGAGCTTGGAAGACCTGACAAAAAGCTTGGGGTTTCCACTATGTCAACCGGTGGGGGCCGAATCTCAAGGTTCGATGGACAAGTTGAGACTGGTAAAGTTGATTGAGTCCTGGGAGAAAAAGATGCCTGTGAGCCAAATCCCCCGGGAAACATGAGGAACTATATGATTTGGGACCAGTGAGATTGCACGTCCTGTAGCAGGGGGCAAAAGGATATAAGAAAAAAAGACAGTGCTCCAGCAAGTGAACATACAGTTTGGGGCCCCGGGTATCCGGTCGATATAGCAAATCAAAGAGCCTCTCTGGGGATTTCAACCAAGCTACGGAACGGGCGCGATGAAGTGTTTAAAAGCTCACCCATCAATGGGCGTCTACCGAAGACCCCCGCAATAATTTTGTGATCTGAGTCCCCGGTTGGGTAGCTGTGCTGGCCCACAGGTTCAAAAAAACCAACACCAACTTCTAGAATTTTTCTTTGCATTGAATGCCGGGTATGTTGCTGAAACACACTTGTGTCCACTACCCGTTCGTTTACCGTCTCGGTCGATCTGAAATGTGAGATCATTTGCTATCTAACACACCTGAGGCGGAGAATTGAAAATAAAATAATAATAATAATAATAATAAAAGTAATAATAATAACAAAGACCCCCTTTGGATCTTCAACTTGAGTGGGCCGATGGGAACTACACTATCACGAGCCAGAGTCGGACTTTTGACCCCCACAAACGACGGGTACCACAGAGCCTATGTGGGAAAAACCCTCGGGAGAGATTGCGACTGGGGCCACATTCGGTGCAGTAATGATCCTCCTGAACAGGGGAGACATCATGGTCTGGGCATATTTAGCCCCATCATAGAGAATGGGGGCGAATTGGGGGCCATGACGTTCCCTAGAGTAAACCACGTGGCTTGAAATGAACCCAGATTCATACTTGTCAGTACGAGTACTTCTGGCCCCATGTGCTACGAATGAGAGAGAGAGAAAAAAAAAAAAAAAACAAGAAAACGGCGTTTCAAAAGGCTGGTCAATAGCCCGCCATCCCCGGCCCGTCGGTGCTTGTTGATGCCCCCTATCCTTGGCCCCCACGAACATGAACGCGCCGTTGGAAGGGGGAGAAAGAAATTCACAGTGGTACGTGCATTTTCCAAAACCCAATCTAGTCGAATGATATCTAAGTTCCAACAGTTGCAGAGAGAGTTGAAACAAAACTCAAAAAGTACGCAAGCTCCTATCTGGGTAAACGGTAGTACTATCCCAAACCCTACGTAAATCTACGTAAATCGAGTGATTTCCGCCCCAGATAGTCAGTCCTATTCGGGACTAGTCGGATCCGGTTCTCGGGCGGTTCGTTTTAGCTTCCAAATAATTAATACCCGTGGTATTGTCCTCCGTACGGAGTACTGGACGTTAGGTCTCGGGTGGTTGGACCAATGTCCGGGCCGTTGGATCTAGGCAGGCATGTATCAAGAAAAGGGCTGCAAAAAGTACGGTATGGAAACGATGGATCCCAAGAAACATGGTCTAGTAGATTAATTGGAAATTTGACAATTTGTCAGGGTCTCATGATATTTTACCCTTTCCAAGTGCTTTTTAGCGCCGTGGCAATTTAGTGCCCTCCCGAGAGCTACCGGACTGGTGCGCTTGTCAAAAAAAAGTCCAATCGCCCCTGGATTCTCTTAGGGATCTGCACCCGCATCACTTTCAAAGATTCGACGCGCATTGGAGATCACTCTATGTAGTTAGCACTTCGTATATGCATAGTTCCATGCATGTCACCGTCGCCAAGAGGTTTAGATTCTGAATTATCTCGTACTTAAGTACATCCCGATGTAAATTATGAGACATGGCTTCAACACCGCCATTACAAATCTTTTCAGAGGGTTGGGCCCGGGGGCTGTGTCCTACGCGCAAGCACGTAGGTAGAGCCGGTCAAATGACAGGGCCTGCAACAGATCCAACACATGGGTTTGTCGCTATCTGATGCAATGGCGCGGAACCTACTCTCGCGGGTTATGGATTGCACAACCACTTCTCAAGGTTTGGAATCACATCTGAATCTAGCCTCAACACGCCTTTATGGGCCAAGATATCCACCTTGGGCCTGCAGATTGCTGTTGCAAAATCACCTGGCTAAATTGCCAAGCAGCAGAATAAGAGCAGAATAAGTGAAGCTGGGGGCACATCACAAGAGCCGGTATCCGTACACAGGCTTGGACTGAGTCCACGATAGCTCTAGAGAGAGTATGGAGCGCCTGATATCAAGTCCTGGGGTCTCCTGAAGTCCTTGTTGAAGACGCACTACCTAGGTCACTTGAGAACCTTGAAATGACAAAGTCTTGCGTGCGAGGGGACTTGAAAACAGACCGGATTGAGATTACGGGGTACATGGTATGATGATGGGCCCGGTGAATAATATTGGGCTTTACTCATGCTGATCATCCTTCCACGGAAAATATCCAGAACGTTTGAAGTCGAGGGTAGACCATTCGATTCCTGTTGGATTTCCCGGCTTCAGATGTCCGAACAAAGGGTTATCATTTCAAAAGGTGGGCAACCATCTGTATGCCAGGAACAAGAACACAGCTGGACCTGTAGACCGCTTGTGATCGCCTCGGCGCACCGTACGATATGAACTAACCTGGATGTTTCTTTCTTCTTATTTTTTTCAGTTGGCCGTCAAATACGGTCTAATAAATGCCTTGAAAGTATATTGATATGCATACAGAGTACTCTGTACACCTGTGGTCATTATATAGACACCAGCCAATACTTCACGATGCCCCATGAATATTTCAATTTGAGCCCTGGTGTTAACATCGGGTGATGAAATCCGGTTAAGGTATGGCTTACAACGAGCTGTTGTTTGATGCCGAAAAAGGTCAATGGTGTAGTACTAAGGACAAGGGTAGCTGTGGGCAAGCTTCCCGGGAATATACAACCAGCCACGTGACGGTCACGTGATGTACTCTTCTCAGCTTCTGCGAACCCGACGGCATCACCAAAACCAATCCGCGCTCCTCGTTCCTGGCCCCCACATTGTTCGATATCTACCTGTGATTTGACTTCTATCAACTTAAACCTATCACTAGCGTGCAGCTTGTCCACCCAACATGAAGCTCGTCCGGTAAGTGACCATACTTGTGTGCGGCGACAACCACCTTCCGCAACGCATGAGCCACCATCAAAGCGCGCCTGCTGACCATTCCTTTTAGTTTCCTTATGAAATGCGCCAATGAAACGGTGACTGTTGAGCTGAAAAATGGTGAGCTTCACTTCAAACCCCAGTCAACTCCAACCCAACTGCGCACATCCCCCAGTTACCTCCAAAAAACGCAAAGCATTGGCTCCTCTAACCAAGACCCTCTGAATAGGCACAATTCTCCATGGAACAATCACCTCTGTCTCTCCACAAATGAATACCTCTCTTCGCACTGTGAAGATGACACCCAAGGGCCGTGACCCTGTTTCCCTCGACACCATCAACATTCGTGGCTCAACAATCCGTTATTATATCCTCCCCGACAGCTTGCCACTCGATACCCTGCTCGTCGACGATGCCCCCAAGCCCAAGAATAAGGCGCGCAAGGAGACCGGAGACCGCGGTGGTCGCGGTGGTCGCGGTGGACCACGAGGCCGTGGAGGCCGTGGAGGCCCTCCTCGCGGTCGCGGCCGCGGCCGTGGTTTCTAAGCCTCTCAAATACCTGTGAGAGGACGATCTGGCGTTTTCTGTCTTCGAAATTCGGTTTTGTTTTGCATGATCACGGACACAAACCATTTGTCCTTTTTTCCTACCCGGTTATTTCAGTTTGACTGCGGGCGACATATCGAGAAACCAAAAAGCAATTGAAACGGATATCTCTGCCCACGAATTCACCTGATTGCATGTGCTTTGAACCACAAGATCCCAAACGCGATATTGGCCGCAGCCGAACCATCGAAGTTCTTTGAAACAAGTCGACTCCACTCCTCCCCAATCTATGCTTCCCAGCAGCGTGGTTGACCAAGACGCACGTTAAGGATCATCGGCAGACGCTTTGGGACTAGTACCCCCAAATAAACATGACCTAAACTCAAATGAAAGACATACTGAAACCTGAGATACTGTACGTTCGTGGCTATGCTCTCCGCATATTCGGTAAAGCAGCCTGTATTATCCGATGCGTATTCAGTAGCGTATCCATGATCGTCTTCACGCCTCCTGAGTCGGCCCCGAGAAGCAACTCGGCGATCAATTCTTGCTCCCTCCGTACTCCGTACTCCGTTCTCGACTCAGGGATTAACAAGCGATCAGCAAGATGTGCCGAGAAAAGGATTTACCCGAGGAATGCCCGGGTATATTGAGTTTGTAAATACTCACGCCAAAACGCTCGTCTGTCAACCGTATTGCACTGTTCTACGAGGCAATTTGCATCCATCATCCCACCCCTCAACATGGGTTGATTGGACTTCTCGTTTTGCCGTGTTGAAATGAGACTCGCACCCAACAGACAGGTTCGCCTGACCCCACTGAGGCGTGATGCTGAGAGGCTGCTATGACTGCCAATTTCCACCAAAACATCGATAGTTTACTTCATTGTAGGCGCATGAGAGCTTCAACATCAATTTAGACAGATCTACTCCGTAAGCACTATACATTCACAATTTCGAAGGCGAAGATTTCGATACAAGAGGGGACCTTGGAAGTGAGCAGGATCCAAGAACATGTACGAGCATGAGTACTCCGTACACGTAGGACACATACGAGGATTGTGTTCGTCGGGCCTCCAGGGCTAACAGCAGACTAGCGGAAATGAGCACCATAAAGTCAAAAGTATGACTCGCGATAGTGAACATGATAAAAGATCCACAGAGGAATTGTCTCAGAGCTCAAGCCCCACGATGGCATCAAATGGGCGGTCTTACATGCAAGGTCTTGTATGCTTTGGGGTTTCCTCGACACATTTTTTTGTATCTCAAGCCCTACTTTATGTTTTACATGCTTGGTGCAATGTCGTTCCAAGGTTGTCTTACCTCGGCACTTCCAAGTACAGTGTGAAGACTGAATATTTGGATCATTAAGGTGTGCAGTAGTCCACTTGCAGCTAGAGTGACCGCATTCTTTTTGATCCCGCTGTAAATCTTTCACTGATCTTCCCACGTTGATGCCCCCAAGTCCCGCTATGCCAAGAGTTATGGTGGCTGGTCGGCCGAAGCGTCCCGTGTGAGAACTACGAGTATGTGTGCCTTATCGATCAAGGCGTTCTGCTAACCCCGAAGAGTGAACAGAGAATCCCCGACTACTCGGGTCCGGATTCCGGAGATGAGACTTATATGCCGCGCCTTATTCCAGATGATTCTAGCCTTGTTTTCCTTATTTGTTCCGGGGTTATCGGATTTCTTTTCGAGGTGTCTAGGGGTTATTGTTGACGCATGCGTCAAGCATTTCGAAAGTGGCCCCTGGGAGGATGCGGAGAGCCCATGTGGTTGACTAGTTAAATTGCCATTAGGCTCTCAATTAGCAGCTTCTGATATCATATTCTCTTCATAGATTACCGTCACAGGTGCGTACTCAGTTGCGCGGTAAACTTTGAGACATTGTTGCGCGCTAGTCCCGAAACATGGGACGCCCAAAAGAGATAAGCTCACTGTTCTGTTACAAATTCAGTTAACGCTCTCTTGAACGTCTTGCCAATCTGGGCCATGATCTGGTTAACCACTCTACATGTGACCCTTCTATGACCCGCCCCATTAAAGAACCACTGCCGATCTTAATGACCAAGAGACCCAAACCTAACGGAAGTGCAAAGCATTTAGCCTTTTTGACCGTTAAACTCCGCGTCTTATCGTGTCCCGATCTGGGCTCGGCTGGGTTAGTGGGGGCTAAAAGGGCAAAAAACGGCGGGTACAAATCGGCGATCTACCTTCGTCAGACTCCAGATGGTATGACACCTGGGCATGTGGAGACCGAATAGCGTATTGCTCATAGTGGAGAAAATCCATTTAGTTGACTGTCAAACTTTGGACTGGCATCAATATGGTCGGAAGGAGGCAATGGAGGCCCCTAAGGTTTCGCCAGGACAGCCCTGCAGACTATTGACTTTGGCACTGGGTACGTACCCAGGTGAACATTATTGAAGCAAAATATTCCCCCGGAGCCCCAGAGAAGGTAGTGATGAGCAATACACATTGGGAAATTGGTTCGGCACGATTGACCTTCATACCAACTGCCAAAAGCGGCATGAGGTATTTGGCTTTGTTGACATTAAATCTTATGTCTGGGCGACTTTTGACAAATGCCTCAAGGCTATCGATTTGAATGACGATCAAAGTATACTACCGGCGAATTCCACAACGGCTCAATTCGGCCAAGACAGACTCAACCCCTGCAGTCCTGTTTGTTGCCGGTCCGCTTGATCCCACAAACAATGATGCGGGCCGAACCAGCATAGGGACTTGCTGGGTTCAAGAACAATGGATATGTTTTAGGAAAGTTTGCCTTACTCTCTAGCTCTGGGGGTGAGCAATCACAATTTACGTCGCAGTCCAAGTGAAGATGGCTGTATAGTGTCATGACAGGCTTAGCTCGGGCATGTTGACCAATCATGTGCCAGAAATATCTCGTTGAGGAAGAATCTCATGCTGAGAAGCTAACTAGAACTTGGCAACAACAGGCTCCATAGACACTGGTGTCGACAAAGTGACTATCGTGGAATGTGTTCAAATACTTCAACACGTCTGTCAACACATACCACATCAATGGGAACGTTGAGTGAAACTGACAAGTTTCCCACCTCCCGAGAATGAAATATCAGTTCTAAATCTGCAGCGTACTCACGGGCGACGAAGCACGAATAGAAAGTTGGAATCCATTCATTTTCCATGGGTACAACGATTGGGATATCAAGATGACAGACATAGACCGAATAGTCGTGAGTATCGGTATTTTCCGAGTTCTCTTCGACTCTTTCCCAATTCATAGGAGCTAGCTTCAACTTGGAGAGCTTGCATATGTCGACTCGTACGCCACGATTCGCACTCAACGCAAGGCCCGTAGACTTCACAGGAAAATCATTCCATGGCAGAGTAGATAGGAAAGTCGTGGAAGTGAAATTTCTCCTCATTCCTCGGAGTCGAAGGAATGAAGAACCATGCTCCAGGGTAAGCCTCAATGCTAATTTCACACTTGTAATTTCAGATAAAAGCGATCTGGAATTATGCGCATCGATGAGTATTGGCGATGGCTGATGGGCAAATATTTGGATTTTGCCCAGATTCAACCTGCCAAATCTCTCCACAGTATTCAGTTCTTTCATGATAGAATACGACTTTCGATCAACAGACCTGACCCATGGCGTGGAACTGACAACGATTGACTGGCTTGCAACCGTCTTTCTGGTAGAATTGTTATGTAAAAGTTTCACGTCGCCCTCAAATTCGAGACAATACCGAATCTTGACCCTTTCAGGGCCATGCAAGGAGAAGTCAGGCGGAAGAAGATGATGTTTTTCTCGTACTTTGTCATTATCAAGCTCATGATTGCATGCTTGATTTATGCAGAGAGGAATCATGAACTCAAACGGGAAAGACCTGTAGTTATCCTTCGAGAGAAACTTGGCAGTCGGCTTTTGGAGGTCGAAGAGATCAAGTCTCATTTCGAGAAAGGTTTGTCTCTCCGACGTTACTATGACACTTGGGGCACTGCCGACACCAGCTCGTTGAATCTCAACAAAGACGCTTCCTGGTATTTGCGATTAGATTCAACACTGCCCGCATGTTGATTGCTGACTTACCACTGAGTTTGATATTCGCTTTTATAAGTTCAAGATCGCAAAGAGCATCAAATTTCACAGATCCCGAGACAATATCACCTGGGGCATATACATTATCCCCCGAATCAAGTAAAATCTGAGTCCGTAGGAACTCGCGGCCTGGGAATCTGTATTTGAGCTTTGAGAGAAATTTCATGTCGAAGTTTGCAGATTTCAGAAATTCCCCGCTGGATGAGATAGAATGATGATATGGAAGAAAGAATCGAACATTTGAAGTTTGCTTTGGTAAAATTGATTTGGAGTTTTTCTATGCACCACTTCCTCACTTCACGCCTTTCGTATTTCCTTTTTGGGTGATTTTTCCACTACCGCCCTATCAGCTTTCACGCTCCGCCCACTGGCATGTGTTCTCTTTCCTTGCCCTCCTCAATCACCCTTGACTAGGAGTACTACAAGAGAGGATTGAGCCTCTATTTGTAACCGTCGGGGCTTTGCTTAAACCGATACCAAGGTAGCATTCTAATGCGTATATCTACGATACTGGCCTGAGCATCTCCTGTGCATGTGTATATCCATGAACTGTACTTAAGTAGATGCTTTCTATCGCTCTCCTGCCCTCAATTTTTTCTCATTCCTCTAATGATCTCTTCCCTCACCAGTGTCCAATCCAAAATTTTGTAATCTCATCGGCCGCAAGGCAAGGTACCGTTCATATTGCAGGAAGTATTTCAGCATCAAATTCTTCTCTATTGAGATTCTTGCGGGTGTAAATTTGGCAAAGAGGCTCAATAAATTGCGAAATCATGATCTACTAGCAGTGACTTCCAATGTTTCCAAAATATCATTCACCAAATCGTCGGTGTCCTCCAGCCCAACACTCAACCTAATCATATCGTCGTGGATTCCACCTGCCTCCCGGGTATTGATTGGCATCGCGCTATGTGTCATTACCGCCGGTATTTCACAGAGGCTTTCCAATCCTCCCAGGCTTTCTGCCAATGTGAAAAGCTTCGAGTTCTCGCAGAATTTAGCGGCTGCATCAGGCCCACCTCGAATTCGAAATGACACCATAGCACCCCCGAGACCATCCCGATGTTGTTTCACTGCAATAGCTCGTTGCAGGTGGCTATCAAGTCCCGGGTAGTTGACACTCAAGACAAGTGGCGATTCTTCCAACAAATTGGCAATCGCCAAAGCACTGCGAGCTGCCGCAGGTGCATGGAGATGGAGAGTTTTCAGTCCACGGTGAGCCAGCCAGCAATCAAATGGACTTGGAACGCTTCCGGCAGCATTCTGGATGAATGAGAGTGTTTTCTTGGTATCGCGGCAATTCAAAGCAACCACTCCCATCAAGACATCCTGCAACGTTTCAGTCACACCTTCATTGGTTTTCAACTTTGGAAGTATTGGGGACTTACTGTGTGACCATTGATATATTTAGTGACAGAGTGGAGGACAATGTCCGCCCCAAAGCTCAAAGGGTTCTGGAAATAGGGTGATAACAAGGTGTTGTCAACCACGAGGATACACCCTTCAGCATGAGCTGCATCAGCCACGGCTCTGATGTCGACGAGGGAAAGAGTTGGATTGCTCGGAGTCTCGATCCACACAATTGAAATTTTTTTCCCGAGATTCTGCTAGAATTTGACTCAGCTCGGAATGGATATCATTCACGAATGATACCTTGACGCCAAATGCCGGGGCTAAATGGGTCAGATACCTGTGAGTCCCACCATACAAGCTGCCCATGGCGACTACTCGCGAGTCTGTGCCAAGTCCTTGAAGGACTGCGGCTGTTGCAGTCATCCCAGAAGAAAATGCCAAAGCATACTTTGCAGATTCAAGTTCAGCAACAGCTTTCTCAAAGCTTTCCCGGTTCGGATTCGATGATCGACCATAGACGTAAGGGCCCACGGGGACCCCGGCATGATCTTGAGCGAAGGTTGTCGAGAGACAAATCTAAGCGAAATCTCTTTAGATTTGTGAGAACTTGGGATCCTCCGGGTAACAGGTACCTACCGATTCAACCATGGCGCCTGTCGTGGTGTCGCGTGGCAGGCCAGCTCGAATAGCACGTGTACCAAATCCTTGCATTTTGCGTATCGCTTTTGTGCGGGATACTAGCAGCTACACAGAAAATAATCAGATGTGAGTGTTATGCACCATTTCCACGGACATCAGCTGGTTCTTATGTCAGGATTCGGGATCGCTCTAACCACAGAAGGAAATCAAAACGGCGCGATTTCCAAGCCCATGATGAGGAATAGGCAGTAATCAGAGGTCAATCTCGGTCTATTCTTAGTATGCTGTGCGTGCGCCTTTATGGAAACGTAGGGGAGAACTTTCCAAAGCTCAAGCTACTTCTAAAGTTGAGTATTTCGAGTTACAAAAACGGCGCGTAGTTGGGAGAAAGCGGATCGCAAAGCGAACTTTAGAAGTAAGGGACATCGAATATTGTATATCACTTGTTTGACCTCTGAAAGCTCAAGCCTGATACTGCCCAGTATAAAATAATACCATGTTAGGTGTACACATGCCCAGGTGGTACTTGCAATATTGGGTCACCTTAGCAGCTCGGATTTCATTGCCGCTGGGGTTAACTCCAAGTTATTTTCTCATGTAAATACTGAGCATATCCGTTCCTTTTCCGCTTTCATACGATCTTTCCGGCTTGATGTACCATTTTCTCTCAAAAAGACCGTGACCTGCTCGTTGCTCAGCCTTGCCGGTATGCACAATTCCATCGCCACCGTCGAAGAGTAGATTCCAATGGACGCCCTGCAATGGCCATGGTGGACCTGGGAGACTAGGATCTTTGAATAGGGGAAATTCCAGGCAAATTAGCAGACCCCCGGGAACTAGCAGGTCAGCCATACGTGAGGCCCATTGAGCACGCATGGTTGGATGAAGAGCACAGAGAAACTGGAGACATTAGTACAGCAGGAAAAACGACAAAGAACATTCCATAACGAACGGTGTAGTCATAGATGACATCGAATTTCTCTTCACTCGTAGCGTCGGGATGAAAGAAATCCCCCTGGATCAAAGATATCGAGCCACTTTCCCGCGTACATGCCCCAACAGCCCCAAAGTTATACGGCTGTGGGGACTGTAGCTCGCTAGAGGCATATTCCTCTGCAGTGGATACTCCCTTCTGGGAGATTTCGAGTCCTACAACGTCAAATCCATGGAGGGCAAGCATGACTACGTCGTATCCCTTTCCGCATCCCTGCACAGACGTTAGCCATTAGTACACCCATGGGTCCCCCCAAGAATAAGGCGCTATACCGGTACAAAAACTTTCTTCCGGCGTCCTTCGTCTGTGATTGGGCTGATGATGTCTTCTCTCTGCTCCAGAAGATCAATCAAGGCCGGCGAGGGTTTTCCCCTGTCCCACATATCACTGTTGTCGGTTTCCCACAGGTCTGTCCACGCGTCATTGTGATTCTTGATTGAACTGCCAACTATCAGATTCTTCCATCGATTTTATGTGAATGAGCAGTGTGTTTGACCTTTTCTCGAAATGTTTGATCAAACGAGTTTTGCCTTCGGCCGTCTGGAGTCGTTCCGGGGTCATCGCCATCTCAAATATCTCCTTTGCCTTTGAGCAAGACGGGATCAGAAAGATACTTGAAGGGTATTCAGATTGCAAGATCAAAAATCCAGAGTTCGAGATGAGCTCTTAAGGCGTCGGGCAGTCGCCACAGGGAGTGTGGGTCAACGGTATCCGCGCCCTAAGAATTGCCGTTCTGGGTTGCGCCCCACTTGAGGATCATAGAGACTTCCAGATATTTCAGTGAGACATTCTGATGGTGACTGACTCGGAGAGTTGACATCGGGGGATGTCGTTAGGTGCTCGGGAGGTGAGAAAATGTTGACAAATAGGTTGGTTGATTGAGCCCTTGTGATTTCCTTTCTGGGAAGTCCCACGCTTCAAAAGCCACAGCCACTCGATGAAGTCTTTAAGTCTTTGATCAATGCCTCTTTTATTCTAACTCTCACTCTCTCCGATGTTCCGACATCTGAATATCAAACCAAATATACGCCCAAGAGCAGGAATAACTCAACTCAACGATGGAGGAAGAAAAGCGCAACGTAGCGCCACTCCTCGGTCCTCTGAAGGTTGATTCTGTCGCAAATTTCATTGGCGCAACACCTCTGGTTCGCCTCAACCGCCTGCCGGCAGCACTTGGGGTCAAAGCGCAGGTGTATGCGAAACTCGAATACTTCAATGCTGGGGGCTCAGTGAAAGATCGAATCGCCAAACGCATGATTGAAAAAGCAGAAGCGAGTGGAGCAATCAAACCAGGAGATACCTTGATCGAGGCATCAAGTGGAAATACGTGAGTCGGATACTAGCAGTTTGAGCATCGCTCAATGTGGCTAATACTAAGTATATTGACAGGGGAATCGCTATCGCTCTCATGGCGGCCGTCAAGGGTTACAAATGCATTATTACCCTTTCGGAGAAGATGTCACTTGAGAAGGAACGGATCCTGGTAGCCCTTGGGGCAAAAGTCGTTCGCACTCCTGCTGGGGTGCCCATTGAATCTCCCGACTCAATCATCAGCGTGGCACAGCGGCTTCACCAGGATATCCCGGGCTCATTTATCTTGAACCAATACGAGAATCCCGAAAATCCAGCTGCCCATGAATTCGGAACCGCGGAGGAGCTGTGGTATCAGACTGAAGGGCAGGTTGACGTAGTGATCAGCGGAGCTGGCACCGGAGGCACCGTCACAGGCCTAGCGAGAGGATTGAAGAAACATAGGAAGGATATCCTTGTTGTGGCCGCGGACCCACTTGGATCAGTTCTGGCTCGGCCCGATGATTTGAATCAGACTGAAGCGGAGTACAAGGTCGAAGGCATTGGGTACGATTTTGTCCCAGGGGTTTTAGATCAAACTGCACCAGATCTATGGCTGAAAACTTGTGATCGAGACTCCTTCCTATATGCTCGACGTCTCGTGCAAGGGGAAGGACTTCTTTGCGGAGGATCCTCAGGTGCGACCATTGCGCACTGGTTTAGCTGATGGAATCTCGTCCTGAACTCAACCATGAAGATAAGCTTGTTATTGTTATCCTTCCTGATAGTCTTCGCAATTACTTGACAAAGTTTGCAAGCAACAACTGGATGGCGGAACATGGCTATTAGTTCATTCGTATTATGAAGATGAATCAATTCAACATCAAATCAAATCCACATCAGGGTGTTCATTTGTCCTAAGATAGGATATAGATTGCAATGGCCAATAAAGTATTATTTCTGTTGAGTCATTTAAGATGGTCTATTAGATTTGGTTGACCTGCGATATTCTGCGAGACACTCGGGGCTTTGCCATGCCCATGGCATCCACGGGTCGTCTGGCGATTCAACAGCACGGGCACAGGCGCTAGCTGATACAATACTGCCTGGTGTCATGTTCGCAGTCCACGGTAGCGGGAAACATGCCTCGGGTGATGTCGAATCTTCACCTTGGCTTCCAGCGAATGAGGGTTGGCATAACCCCATCCCATCTTTGAAAAGCTGTAGCCAATCCATGTTATCTGCTGCGGTCTGGTTCCAAGAATCATCGTCGCCATATACGAAAAATCGCGCTTCTTGCTGGATACTCTCGTCGGTTATAAGATCTCCAGCGGCCTGTTTTCCATGGACGAAACGGATCAAGTGTTCCGTCAATACTTCAAATGGGGTCGGCTGGGAGTTTTCTTCCTCCTGCAGGTGGGACTCAGTCGTCAAAATTGGGTGGTTTGATTTCAATGCATCTGGGCGTCCCTTTGATGCACTGAAAGGATCAATTCCACTGGACTCGGCACCAATTAAATATGGAGGCATGGCGTTTTCCACGGCCAGGGCTACAGCAGGATCGAGTCCGCGACAACCCCTCCATTGCTTCATCATATAGCCTTCGCGGAAATGGACCGCGATGTGGCTGTTTCGATCTGCCCAAGTTCTGAAAGTCGCAGCGCAAAAGCCACATCGGGATTTTATTTGAGTCACTTCTGATCTCCAGGTATCCACGACAGTGTGACCATCGTCCATGCCATGCACCAAACGCAGATGCTGAAACATGTGGTCTTTTCGGTAAAATGTACGGAGAGCATGCGGTTTCTCCTGACATTCCCAAAAGCGATGCTCACGAATATGAGCGTCGGATGGATGTTCGGTAGTGCAAAAGACGCATTTCGGAAGGGAAGTTTCACTCAAGTAGGTCGGTCCAAAAGGCGCACAGGTCCAACTCTCCAACGAAAGATGCAGAGTCCTCTCGTGTCGAGTCCAATCATGTTTTGATTTGAAAGTGTCCGTACAGAAAGTGCATTGATACTGCCTAGTTGGTGGTTGGTTGGCGGCAGTTTCATTTGGTGTAGGGGACTTCTTGCGTTGCCGCCGCCGCCGGTGGCCCTTTGAGACCCCAGCATAGAACCGGCCAAATGAGCCCGAGTGGCCTGAATCAATGCTGTGAGCAGAGGATGCCGAGCTACTTGATCCGCTCGACCTGGCTGAATCTGATGCGGCAATAGAGGCCGTTGGTCGGTGAGATCGTCGCTGCCGTGTTAGCGAAATCTCTGAGTTTGGTCGTGATGGAAATGTGTCTTGAGTGTTCGCGATTGAGATAGATTTCACAATATCACTTAGCTGGGCGGCTTCGACCTCTGGAGGTGAGTTCCTCCAACGATCCAACGGGCTTAACAGCGCATCATCCTCAGTCGCCAGTTCAGGTATGTCGGGGAACAGCTGATATTGCAGGTCATCATCTCTGAGGAATGATGATGGTAGTGCAGAATCAGACATGACTTTCGATCTTCGACTACTATCGTCAATCTGTCGGGAGCCGAGGCTGAGCACTGCCCAGGAGCCCATATGAGCAGTGGACCTGGGCACCTGGGCAGAGGCCAGTGATGAGTCATGTGCGCCCTTCGATTTACCGAATCGGGAAGAGGCCAACCCATGGATCGTGGCTCAGGGGCCCGCTTTTAGCCGTTCCGCCTTTCCAGAATAGGACTAGCCTATCGCATGGCATTGTTCCCATTGGCCGGGCTTTTTTTTCTCTTTCCCTTCTTTCGAATGGAGATACATACTCCTATATCCGTTGCAATACTTCACAGACTTGCTGTTTTCCATTGTGATATTGGATTCCGACATTAGGTTCCTCTTCCTTGACTGAGCGAGTATGATGCAGGCTACAATAGTTCGTCCCATGGGGCCCTATGAGAAAAGGCAAAACAAGCAATGCTGTTGAGAGATCGGGTGATCTCAGAAGTCAGACGGCCGCAGCTCCGGGGGGGGGGGGGAGCTCCTCTCTCCCCTTCTTCCCTTCTCTTTCTCTGCTCAGACTGAAAGATAGCGATAGAAGCAACGTTCCACTGCAGATATTTTCTCCGACAAATACTTAGTTTGCATACCCCAGACTGCTAGACCTCCAATCACTTGCATTCCTTGAACTATCTATCCTCGTTTCGTTGGAACACAATGTTCAAGTGCCCATCTCGCCCTTTTTTTCTCGTGATTGGAGTTCCTGGGAGATCTTCGCATTACCCATTTACTCGCTTGAGAATCTATAGATGTCCTATGGCAGTTAGATTATGGGAACATAACTTTTCGAAGCGGTCGTGTTCTAAAGTTGAGTACCTATGTATCCCTACTGGCTTTCAATCTCGATTATTCTTATCAACGTCCTCCCCCCCATATATAGCTTCAAAAATAAAAAGTCACCTTGCACGCAAGAGCCACTAAATATATGTTTCAAATCCCAAAATTGAATAGAATTCTTGAATGCATGACATGATTTTAGCTAAATGGAGCTGTAAAAAGAAATAATGGTTTTTGACATTGATCATTCAACTAAGTCCACGGTTCGGACTTCAGGAGTTACTTGGTGTACATAGAGTCCAAAAGTCGCCCAGGTATCTGAAAGGTCAATGACACAACCAATCCTACCTAGGTACCTAAGCATTCTTGATTTGATGAAGTTTTCTGCAACACTGAAAAGCGGGAGAAAAGAAAATCTAGAACACTTCGCGTCTGACCCTGTCAATAAATCGTTTGCCGAGTCTCACGATGAAACAACACTTGTTTTGTATTAATCACAACCCTGGGACATATTTCGTCTCCACTGCCCCTTATAAAGAAAATTTATTGCCAGCGTAAATCGTCTGACTATCAATTCTAAAGCTATCCCTATCTCTCGTCCAGAAACGGCAAATTTCTACAAATTTAGAAGAACAATGCACTACCTGAAATTTCTCACCGCTGTGACGCTGGTTCAACTGGCTTATGCGGGAGACAAAATCGGATTTGGGCCAAACTTCGCCGTGAGCTCAACTGGAAGCACATGGATCAAAGAAGCTAATACTACCCTCATTTTGCCCGAGACTCCTAGCCCACAAGTTGAGCGTCTTGCTATATGGCCTGGGATGGAGACTTCCAATGGAAACCTGGTGCAGGCACTAGCTGTCTCATTCGAAGATCCTGCTGCGTGAGTTACTGTGGAATTACTTAAGTATTACCAACGAATAACATACTGACTCTGTCCAAGGAACTGTGGTGCGCAGAATGGACAATGGTGTGTTTGGGCAAGCACCCTACAGGGTAAAGATTATCTCCCACGGCTGATGATCCGTCCTAGAAATGCTGATCTTCGCGATAGATACCCAAATATCAGGTAGAATGGTGCCTGCCTCGCCCGGAGATAAGATCACTATGCATTGTTTGTTCATACTATTGCTGCTGTGGTAAAAATGATTAACGGTTCATCTAGATGTGTACAATGACTCTACGGGCGAATATGACCAATCCTCTGCCATAAATGGCAAGATTGTCTCAACCCTGTCTACAAGTAAGATACCATTACATTTAAATTCTCGCTGGATAGCATCTGACAATCATAGGCTCTGGCTACGCTCAGCGCTGGGATGTTGCTGTAGAGTGCCAGGTGGATGCCTGTTCCCGCACTTCTCCGCCTCACAGTAAGCCAGCTTCTGCCTCAAATCTAGTATTGCGTGAGAGACTCCGTGCTAATCAGGCATTAGAATACGTTGACACCACAATTATCCTCAACAAAGCAGACTCTTCTTGGTCCGAGGGCTTGTATACCAAATTGTCTCACAACTCAGGTCTGCGAACCGTGGACGGGGGTAAGACGTGGAAGGTCGACACGATTTCTCTGAATTCTCACTTGTTTGACGAGAGTGATATCCAGTACAATTAGCGCCTATATTCAATCTCATGGATCTATAGATGCTCAAGTGAATTTCAAGATCCGACTGATTTCCAGTTGGAAAGAATATATTTGCATGATACATACTCCGTATGTTAGATCTATTTGAGAACGCATCAAGGCAGTAATCAGGCAGATTCAGTCATCATCAAATCTGGCCGTCTGCGTAGCCGGGTCAGACGATCCCTTTTCTGCATATAGATCCAGCACTCTTTGCCCCACTTGAGCAGCTCTCTTTCTCTCTCTCTCTCTCTCTCTCTCTCTCTCTCTCTCTCTCTCTCTCTGTGTGTGTGTGTGTGTGTGTCCTTATCCTTGTCCTTCTATTCTGCGTCGCATATAGTCGATACACTATGCGTTCTGCCGCTACCTCGTGCTCACGTCACAAGTATATCTCATTTCTGTTGGGATTTACAAAGTAGGCTTGGGGAGCCTGAGGATTCCAACCCACCACCTGGGTAGTCAAGACAGACTAAATTCCTCTTGACACCATCTTGATCTCATCTCTCTTTGATGTCCCATCATCCCCACCGGAGCCCCTTGACAAATGGCTACAAGAGATCGCTCGCCCAGACGGAATCATTAGTGCGATTTGGTATTCAACACGTCGGTTATCTGGTCCAGCTGAGCCTCCCATGGAATATCAGGTGGCCCGGTGCCGGAGAATGGATCCTTGTTCAGTTCCTCCACATCCACATGTACGTCCTGTCCCAGGGTCATCCGGCCTTTTCCAATAGGCGCACCCAACCCATCCAACAGCCCGGGCCCGTTGGCAGTGGCTTTTTTGGGATCAGTATACACCTCCACTTCGAAGGATCGACCACTTCGGAAGAAAAATTCCGCGCTATTAATTGGCTTCACATCATTGACAAGAGGGAATGGCTGCATTGTTTGCTCCCGGTAGTCGGTCAATGCAAGAATGAGGAGCTCCTTATCTGCTAGCCGGGATCCAACTTCATCGTGGAGTTTCTCGTCAAGACTGATGCTGGATGAGAGATTGATGTTTGGTGCCTGGAGAAGCATGTGCTCGATGTGATGTTGTTCCTTGGAGCCGAAGAGATAAAACGGCATGAAGTGACGAGGATAATGATCGTCTCGGTACATAGAATTCAATCCGGAACTCTTCACTACACGACTCATCGTTACAGTGCATGGGATCGGGCTCATATACTCTTCTGCGATGATACCGATTTCACCCTTGACAGCTGGATGGGGTTGCTCCGAAATCGCAAGAATCAATTTTTCGAGGTTTTCTGGGTCATTCGAAATGAAACCGATGTCTTGGTCAGGGTTCTTCTCTCGCATCGCGATGTACTTCCTCTTAACATCATCGTCTAGTTCCACAGCCAGAATGATCTGTTGACGCTGAGTTGCGCGATGGAATCTCGTCCGGAACTCTAAGAACACCGTGTCGGTTCCTCGGAGGAGGAACTCGATTTTGTTTGCCGTGTGACTGTTGCGCGGTCGACAAGAATTGTCAACTTCGTCAATTATGGTTTGCTCAAAGGTCTTCATGAGCTCATCGATGAAGCCCCTTTCTGTTGGGAACGGACTCATAACCACATTGCGTAACACCCATAAGTCTTGCGCACAAGGAGTGAGGCCCAGTCGCTTCATGAAGTTCTGGGCACAATTGCCGTAGGACGCGGGCTCAAACTGCGTGGACGTCAAAAACAGAGGGAGCTTGTTAGGTGCTTCGGTACTGCTAGTGATTGACAGTTTATTGACAACTTGTTGCGTCAGATAATTTGCCTCCTCGAGGTCTGTGTTGAGTGTCCCGTCTTCGTGGTACCAGTTCAACGCGAAAGCGTTGATGTTAAGATCGGACCCGATCTCCCGCAGCCACGCCATTGCCTCTGGAATCTTACTGACTTGCTCATTAGTCTTTTGGAGAATGAAATCCCAAATCAACTCGCGCCCAACGTCTACTTCCGGTGACAGGATGTTGAATCCCTGTTTCTCCATTCGCAATCTGTTAAAGGGAATGATGATGTAGCGACGGTGTCCCCTGGAATCCTTTGGCTGTCTCAAATGAAGGGCAGCATAATAAGCCGATAGCTACTAACGTCAGAATACCGATGGTGATAGGATCAAACAGATACTTACCCGTGCACTGGTGAAGGCTGCTTCTCCCAACAGCACTCCGTATCCCGTCGGATCCAGCCCAATGGTCTGATTAGAGAGCCAAGCAGCCATCGCAGCAGCACCAGGCTTACTTCCCTCGACTCCATACACGCCGATATTCTCTGTCGAGCCTTGAGTCAGGTATGGACTAGTCCATGTGACCAAGAACCGCATGCGGCCATCCCGATAGCAGAGACTTCCTGCCGGGTATGGGACATAGCCTGCCTTATGTGGGTCAACCGTGATAGAGTCCGCCTCTTTGAGAGCAATCATATGTTTCAAGGTTTCGGTTTTCAAAGGGAGCGAGGGCACAAGTTCAATGGCGTGCTGCCCATCTCCATCTTTCAAGGGCATACCTGGCTGCATGACAGCTCGTGGGAGCATACTGGCAAAATATCCACCCCAGGCCGCATCAGCATGCACTAGGAATGACAGCCCCTTGTCTTGGAATCGACGTCGCATTTCCAGAATGTCAAACAAGGGGTCCACCTCGCCTTCTTCTGTGGATCCAATGACGGCGACCACGGCATATACGGCCTGGCGTTCGGTCAGACATCGATTGAGCTCTCGCTCCAGTGCTTCGATGCAAACATGCCCGTCGATGTCCAGCTCCACGCCCTCCATGTTGCTTGAGCCAATCCCGGTAATTGCTAAGAATGGGTCAGTAAGCGATAACTATGTAGACGAGGGCATAAACGAGGGCATAAATCTCACCTGCACCCTTCGGCCAAGAGTAGTGCCGGGTTTGGGATACGAAATATTTGGTAGGCTTCGTAACATTGAAATGCCGTTCCAAAGCATCCTTCCCCGTGGTCTGAATGTTGAAGGGCTTCAGGGCATCCTCCAGGTACTCTGGCGTGATGCCAAACTGGTTGTATAAGGCGTCGCCCAGATTGAGAATGACTTCAGATCGAAGATTCAGAAGCTCCCATTGATCAAGGTCTTTGAAAAGCTTCTCTTCACCAGTGCAGGTGGTAACAAAGAAGGTGTTGGCAATGAAACCAAGTGTACCCTCGTCCATCGCTTGGAATAGAGTGAGAGGATAGAACTTCAAATTGCGAGCTTTATTTTCGTCAATGATCTCCCTAGCCTTTATGAAATCGGTACTCAGGGATACTTACCAACCCAGATAGACTCCAAGTTAGCCACGGTCCCGTCACAAGTAATATGGCCCCAGGAGAGCGGCAAGTCCGTGTTGTTGGAATCAGCGTTAAACCCGAACATCTCGCAAAGTTGCTTCCCAGCCTTGAGCTCGATGACAGTGGTAAAAGGACTCGCCTCAACGGTGACATTGTTGGGGTTGTAAATCATCGTCATGAAATATCCAAGCAGCCCCGCCATAGTCATGTCTGTGCACATATGGCCCTGATAACGAGGATGCCAGAATGGGATGGAATGCTCTCCCAGAAGCTCTGCAGCTTTGATTACTGCTTGTTGAAAGTTGCCGGTAATTCGCAGGAACTCCGGGGACTTTCGAACATCTTCACTGATAAAGACCTGGCTGTGTCAGTTTCTCTGCCAGTTGAATGCGTCATAACATTGAAGGAACACACCCCATCATCAGGCTGGTACCGAGACCGTGCCTCCTCAATCTTGTCCAAAATTGCAGTGATGTTGGCCCGGAATTCAGGCATATTCTCGGACTTGGGTCCGATGAAGTACGCACTGATGACATTGTGGGGGTTCTTGATTGACATCTTGTCAAGACAAAAGCAACTCCAAGATTCGCTCTTTGGTCTTTTTCCTGCTACTTGAAAATAGATATTGGAAATGTTGGAATCTTGGTTCACTGGCGACCACACGATACTTATACTTGTCTTCCTCGTCTCATTTGGAAGGCTTCGTCTGAACAGCTGTAAAACTGCGGGCTATGAAATGTAGCAATAAACCACTTCGCCTCACTCTCACCCAATCGACTTCATCAGCACTGATCTATATGTATAATGAGCTCATACGAGTTTCCAGTCAGTTAGTACTGGGAGTTGATCGGCCTTTTGGTGAAACCCCAGTATTCAAGAGGTACGTAATTAACCCCTACCGCATTACATTGCACCCTGCATGTGGGCGAATTTGGGTATACCGACATACCAAATTATGATATATCAGAAGGAAAGCGATCTTCAATCAGGTCAAAGAGAGGAGAATACGTTTTCTATTCCATCTATAGATATTTACGATGACATTGGGTCGGGGTAAACGTGTTTGGGCCCTCCCGCGGAAGCCGGGCCGGTCCGTGCAGTGCCCACTCCAGATCGCGTACAGTGGAACTTGAGGGCCAGGTCATTTTCACTATGAGCACAATATTTTGCGTTGGACATTACATGGGTGTAATCGGTGAAGTTCAGGACGTCACAGCTACTTAAGTAGTTAGATTATTCCATGGGTAATAGTTCATTGGGGGGAAGAGGTGGGGAAATTGGTGGCTGCGCTGAGGACGAACGGTTTAACACTCATTCCGGAACAGCGCATAAGAATTCCACGGTTAGTGCATATCTAGGTATCTTGATCTGCACATTAAAGCCGAGATTTATCAATAAATTTCCCATATGGACGATAGAGTAATTGGGAGCTGCGTAGGTATTGCTTTTGGATCTCCAGAGAGCCAGCCTAGTCAGCGGCAGTGAAGAAAACATAGGAAACCCAGCTTGTCAGCCGTCGAAATAAAAGGAGTAGTTAAGTACACCGTACACAGTACGGAGTATGAGTAGTATTATCGACACAAGGGCGACCAGTGAGTAATTCTATTTCATCCATTGATGTTATAACACTTGAGCGGGGCCTGGGCAACATCGAGTTTACTAGGTGCTTGGAGTAGCGATTGCACGAAGCCATACATGAATCCATGGATGTTCGTTCAATTACTGAAGTAGTTGCTAACATCTAGACCACGGGCTGTCGGATTATGTTTCCAAATTGCCAACCTGTGGGATTTTTCCTGTAAATTCGCGACGCTTTGTATTTTGAAAGTCTGGAGAACAAAACGGCTAGTTTTGGAAAGTGTGTGGCTTTTGCGAGGGTCATAGCCACTCGTAGTTGAGTCTGCGGAGTACAGGTAATGGCAGTAGATCTCTCTTGGCGGCCTTTTGCATCTCGGTGCGACCTTAGAGAGGCCAACTGGTGGGGTTGGAGTCAGGCCCGGTCGCAGGACTATTCAGGGAAAGATTTTTCCACTTCTATTAAGGAAGATGCTAGCATGTTGAATTTTTGATGTTGCGTTTGTGAGGCTGAAGTCTAGGTGAATTTTGGTAAACCTCTCATCTCCTTCCCTTCCACTTGAGCAGTAGCTCGTCACTCTATCACCTGGGCAATTACATATTTCAATCCAACAACACTGGGTGCCAACCTTCCAAAAGTTAATCGATGAAGTTCCTCCAAGGCTGTCTTGGGAGGAGTTTAGATTTCGAGTCGTAAGGTCTTCTGATCTATGGATCTAATCTGTCTCACGTCCAGGTGATCAACTCGGGCTTGAAACTTTGGAATTTTCCCTTCTAAAGTTCTGGAGTGATGCTCAAGTTGTTGTGGCCCCTGAAGTCTCTCTTCTATCCTTTTTCTTCTCGCTTACCTCCCTCAGCCCCCCTTCATCCCTATTTGCCTCATCGACTGTAATACTGCTTAGCTCTGGTGAATGTAAGCTTGGACTTCTAGAAATGAACTTCTTCAACACCGCACGGAAATCGAGTATTCCGCCAACCATGGATGTCCTCCGCAGTCCGGGGACAACGCTGACTACCTGGGCCATCACCGCATTGCATATGCATATGTATTATGGTCTTTCTAACCTATCTGTCTACGATGCATCACAAGTCCCCACCCAACTGAGCATGATTTGCTCTTCCTTTTGTCAGACTCTCCAGGATGACTCAATACGGAGCACCGGCCACGGAGTCCGGGCAGACTACGGAGTAGTTAAGCCGCATAGATCGTGCTAACAACCTGGGCGGAGGCGACGCCATATTTCGTGTTGAAAGATTCCAAAGTTCCTTCACATTTCCCATTTCTGGAACAGCATCTCACGAAATTGAACCACACTGGTGACGGGGGCATCACCCTTTTTTTGTCCTCCATCGCAGATTTTTCCGAGTAGAGATGTACGAGTGTGGTGTCCCTAGCGCTTCCTGGCGTAAATCTCGCAATGCACTCAAGCTATGTAGCATGTAACATTGGCTAGAGTGGATCAACATGCACGAGCTATGTGCAGCGGCTGAGCTCAGGGGGTCCGATCGGCGGTCCGCCAGCCCTAGAGATACTCAAACCCTGGATTTCATCTAAACTGTCCTGCAACCACCTCCACTTAATGGCGTCTCGTGCATTATCTTTCCCCCTGTGATTTTTTGTTTTCTTTGGGCTCAGCATGCCGCGGTATCAATGCTATCAAACATCAGAGGATATTTGAGACATCGAAATCGCCAAGACAATTCATTGGGACACCGACCGATCCGCCCCACAGCCATAATCGAACAGAAGCAGAGGGTCCAGTCTCAATTTTCCACATTGTCGATGATCAGCACACCATTTGGAGAAGAAAAAAACGTAGAGATTCCCAGGAATTCCCTCATCCAAATCCACTCTCATGCCCTGCACGGAGTACTCCGTACTGCGCACTGCGTAGGAGATGGATTGTCGAGGGCGTTGCACAAACATTGCGTGAATATACGCTAGTCCCAAAGCAGATATTCATCAACAGACGATTTTCATTAAGACCGGAACTATGTACTCGTACTGTGATGTGCGAGAATGAGAGACCAAGTCCTGTACACGGCATGCATCTGAGAAGCCCCCGCTTTAAAAAATTGATTGGGGGACCCCAAGCCACAGCACTCATGAAAACCACTTTATACGATACGCATATTGGAGACACTGCAAGGGGTACGTAGTGCGCGTGAGAATCACTATCACACACAGGATTCAATTGATGCTGTCACCTCAAGAGAAATTTCTTTAGTTAGAGCCTCTCCTTATGAAATATCTGATGGATCATTGGAAGTACCGCAATGGCTCTAGGAATCAAGAACGAATATCGTGATCTTGACTTGTGTTTGCATGACTATGACAATGATTCATACTCGTAGAGCCGGTTCAGAGGTGCGGAGTAGAGTAACACTGTTGCAGATGCAACAATAGCCGTCTGTAAGGCACGAGAATGCTCAAAATGTTGCTGTGGGACTGCGACATGCATGACCGATCCGACCCGACCCGCAAAGGGGCTTTGAGTTGGACCCCTTCTCGGCTCCACTCAATCTTGGTATATCTAGGGTACCCCCGCCAAGGGGAAGAGAGGAATGAGGACCTTGTGTATCGCCCAAGCCCGTCCGAGTCAGTCATTATGCGTCTGCTCTCAATCATCGGAGTTGCGACTCTCTCCATCTCGGGGGTTGCCGCTACGTTAGCAATCGACGGGGAGCCGAATGTCAATTCCACTCTTGTGCAAGAGCATCTCAAGAACCGCGAGAAGCTGATTGCGTTGGAAAAGACCCATCGCCAGGGTTCGTTTCACATCTTTGGTCTATACGGAGTACTCCGTACGGGCCTGGCAAATGGAACTGACCGGTTCGACAGATCATATCTTCCGCCAGAGTCTTTCCCCAACCGCCAAGCGCGCGGATGAGATCGTTCAGACAATCCGCCAGTATGAAATCGACAACTACTGGCGGGTGGCCGGTACCGATGACGGTGAGGTCGCTGAGCGATTTCCGGGAGAGCCTTTCCCCCTTGCCCGGCCATTGATCGCCAACACGACTCTCTGGGAAGTGGTCAAGCGCATGCCCAAGGGAGCTCTTCTCCATGCCCATCTGTCGGCTATGCTTCCATTTGAGAAGCTGTTGGAGATTATCATTCAGACTGAAGGGATGGAGATTTCGGCATCCCAGCCCCTCGACACCGCGGAAGCGAAGAAGAACGCCACATTCACCTTTTCGCATAACAACGGCACTGTCTCGACTGAGGAGTCGAGAATTGACTCTGCTGATTACACTCCAAACACGCAGATCCCCATCAAAACCGCCGTGGACAACTTTGAAGGTGGCCAAGCGGGCTTTGTTGACTTCGTCAAGAGCAGAACAACCATTCCACCTGATGTGTCGATCCGCCACGAGTTGGGTGTTGGTGAGATCTGGAGACGGTTCCAAGCCTGCTTTGGACCAACTGACACCATGATCCAGTATGAACCAGTTGTGAGAAAATTCTACCAAAGACTTTTCGAGGATCTTGCCAACGATGGTATCAACTGGGTGGAAATCCGCAGTGGTGGTTCAAGTGGAAAGCTGGTGCACGATGGTGACGAAGAAGTTGACCCAGACCTTGATGCTTGGTGGCATGTTTTGGTTGAAGAGATCGAGAATTTCAAGGCCACAGAGGCTGGTAAAAAGTTCCTGGGCGCAAGAATCATTTGGTCCGATGCGCGTGGAAAAGACCGCACTAGGATCACTAAGAGTATGACACATAACCAACTCATGTGGATATGATCTCACTTGCTGACTTCAATAGGTATGAAGATTGCCCTCCAGAGAAAGCAAAACTTCCCCGAGCTCTTCAGTGGCTACGACCTGGTTGCCCAAGAAGATCTTGGCCGCCCTCTTTCTGATCTGGCACCCGAGCTTGTGTGGTTCCGTGAGCAAACCGAGGCTTTGAACCTCACTATTCCATACTTCTTCCATGCTGGAGAGACTCTTGGAGATGGTAACTCGACAGATCTCAACCTGTTCGACGCCGTATTGTTCAACACACGACGCATCGGCCACGGATTCTCGTTATATAAACACCCGAACCTGATCAATCAGGTGATTGAGCAGAATGTCATGGTGGAAGTGTGCCCCATCTCAAACGAAGTGCTTCGCTTGAATGAGGATATTCTCCACCACCCACTGCCGGCGATGATTGCCCATGGTATTCCTACTGCCATCAGCAACGACGACCCAGCTATCCTTGGACAAGACGTGGCGGGCCTGAGTTATGACTTCTATGAAGCCATTCAAGCATTTGACAACATTGGACTTGCCGGTTTGGTAAGTTTTATCCCATATCCCACTTGACACCACGGGCTTCTTGCTCACAATACACAACAGGGCTCTTTGGCGCAGAACAGTTTGCGTTGGGCAAACTTCGAAGACCAGTCGGACAAAGACTGGATTCAAGATATTGATCGTGGCGCGGATGGTACTAGCACCAAGGCGAAGCACATCCAAGCTTGGAACCAGGACTGGGAGGACTTCTGCAAGTGGATCGTCGACGAGTACGGTTCGAAGTACTAGGCGGTAGAGATTGATCGAGTGGAGTCCAATGTCTCAGCCCCGACCAAAGATCGAAATCTTTCAGATAATGAGACTTTAAGAAAAGTTGGGTAATTGAAGAATCCAGTCACATTGAATTGTGGACATTGAAACATACCGAAGGCCCTGATCCTGCTGAGGTAACACGGATGGAATCCATCCTTTCGACTGTTCGTGGCGGGAGAGAGAGAGAGAGAGAGAGAGGGAAGGAGAGGGACATCCCCACCCAGGCCTGGGGAAGGGACACCCCACCAGTCAAGGACGGTCTCTCTGGGTCCAGGTCCGCCTACGCCGGGCGCTGGAACCTTGGAAGGCAACTCTGCTTAGTGGTTCTGTTGGTGGCAGCCTCGGCCCTTGATCGAGCTCCCTTCCCGTCTCTTCCTCTCTCTCTCTCTCTTTCTCTCTCCCGCCACGGAGTCGAATCAATCGTTTCTATACGCGTTTGCTTTGCCCAATATGCTCGAGAGGCTCTGAAATCTCACGCATCGTCGCTGGAAATAAACATTTATCTCTTCCCAGTATCGCAGCCCGGCTTACGCACCTGGGCCCCAGGGCCCAATCCCACCGACGACCGCGAGCTGTACCGACCAAGTGAACTCCGAGCCATACCCGTCAATTCGTCAAACCCAATCCTTTTCGTCGGTCGAGATTGGAATCAGAGAGGTGTCGATTATCTAAAAGCAGCGTTTATCTGACCCCGAGAATACAAAATGGGTTTGCACCGGGAAGGTCGATTTCGTCCGTAAGGATACTTGCCAGTACCAGACTGAGCTTGATTGAGTCTTTTGAAGCCACCTGGGCACTATCCAAAGAAGCAATATACAAGATCTCAAATGCAAAACGGGACTCCTGAACTAACTCCATCCCAGAAAAAAGCAACGCAAATCACGACTGAAGCGCGAAGAAAAATCACCCAGCTCAACAAAAAGCGAGACACTGAATGCAAAACCACGCGCCTCACAAAAGAATCCCGACAGAGTTATTCCTCCTGTTCCCGAAGTGGCCAAATTGTTGCACTCGGTCTTCTCCATGCACGTGGTTGTTCGGAATGGCATCTGCGGTGCCGTCTCTCCGCCATGAAACGTGCTGCATCGGCCCCAGCGGTGACAGTTTTCCCCCTATCCGAGACCACAATCTGGTGAGCCAGGGCTTGTGGTGGAATATAAGCGGACATTACGTTCGGTTCAATGGTCATCATGTTTGAAGGTACGACAAACAGTGATCTGCTTTTACTCAAAGGTGGTCGACGAGTCAAACGGCGAAATACCCGCCGGGGTGTTTGTTTCCAGGCTGGCCCCGAGTACCCCGATACCGAAAAATCCTCATTGCTTGATTTATCGGACGATCTGAACCAGAGACGAGGCATCCGCTTTGGCTGCCGGGCTAGCTCCGGCATTCCCATGTCGTCGCAGAGCAAGTCCTCTGACATGACGGGGTATGCTGCTGGTGAATGAACTAAAGATGGGATATAGACCGCAGGACCATCGTCTGGCTTCGACACATGTAGCTCAAAGCGCCGGGGCTCACGCATGCATAACTCGGAGCCACAGTGGGGCCAGGTATGGTGTCTTCGGTGGTGCCGCTCGGGCATGGTGGGTGGGTATGGCAAAGAAATGGCTCAAGTTGTGAAGGTAATAAATAGTACGAAGTGTTGACTATCCTGTCTCCATCATGCACCCGACCTTGTTCAATATTAGGTGTTTTCAAAATCCAAACAAACAAGAATGAGGCAGATGCTAGCATTATAAAGGTCGGTCATGATTAGTACATTAGCTGCACGTGTGTGGGCTTCAGGGTCATCTAAGAGCTAGCCCGGGTGACTCAAGAGCAAGACTCATCTGCGCGGGTAGATGATCACCAGGAACAAGTATGATGTTGCCTGGTGCGCGCAATGACAAGGTCCAGGGCCTTCGTGCTCCGACTTTGAACAAGCATAAAAGAAAAAAACAGAAGAAATCCAAGTGTCAGATATCCATGAACTCGATCCGACATCCGTGGGCCGTAACTTAAACGGCGAAGAATTCACCTTTTGGCAACTCGAGTGCCTTAAGTGGGCACTAACCCGATCTGGGCAAGGGGCATGCAGAACAGACCCCATGACAGTGAACATCACGTCTGACTAAAACAGGTTTTTCTCTAATCATCACTCAGGTTAGAAGTATGATGGGACTTACTCGCGATTTTGGATTTGAATTTTTCACCTCTTTACTCCGAACTTGGGACGTGTTGGCATTTTCGTGTCGGGAGACATTTTAGTTCAGCCACTCGAAGCACTCAATTTTGCTTTCCATGGTTGAACATGCTAGTGCAAACAGACAGAAGAAGCAGACTCCACAGGCGGTGGGAAGTCTACAGGGCTAGCCCCCGGAGCTGCTGCGTTTGCTTAATGAGTTTTCACTTCCGCCTGGGGCTCGCCCCTGGCCCCAGTGCCAAGTGCAACGTCACACTTTTGACAGCCAAATCGGTAAAAGCCTTCATATCCACTCAGTTTAGACATTATAAACGTTCGATCTGCATTGACCATTTTGGGCGAAATGCCTAACCGACTTGCAAAAGACTTGAAAGCTTATTTGGCTAGGGAAAACAGGGGTTCTGAAGTTGGTCTACGGAGCCAAAGTTTACATTTCAACAGTCACTCACATATTCTTTTGCTCGGATTGTCTTTCCTCCAGGGCTATAAGCAAGGAGTGGGATGGGATATACAAGAGCGAAATCCATGCATACCAGAAAAGTGTGCGCCCGTTATGCTAGGCTGATGTCTGATTTGAGTAGGCTGATCTTCTGATCTCACAATCGGCGCGGCCAATCTACGTTGTCAAATCTGAAACAACTATGGATACACCTGCTCTTTACAGACAGTTCTCGGTGAAGATGCACCAACCCTAAGCGATGGAAAATACTGGGGGAAGTTTGAGAACAGGCGAGAGAGAAAGCGAAAGAGATGGAAAGAGGACAAGAACGATCGGTTGATGAGTTGACCGATTGATCGATTGATCGAGATGATCGGGTTGAAACAACGATCATGAATTGACACCATTGGATGATCGCCGAGAAACATCATGGATCGCTATAGTCAACACCTGGGCACGGCCTAAGGAATTCTTCAAATGCAAATTGCCGACCCTGCGTCTGTGCCTACGAGATCTTCGCAGCACATCGGGTAAAGATTGGGCTAGAGCCAGGTAGATTTCGGCGGACTAGAGATAGTCTCTCGCTCAAAGCGCACTAGAAGCCTTGAAGGGCCTGAGCGGATGGAAGAGTAAACGAGACTATCATATAAAGTTGATGCCAACCTTCTTTCGGCAGAACCATTTGGGGTGACAGGGGATATAATTAGCGCCAGGCTCTTCACAATTTCTGCATGAAATATACGGATCCATTGTTATTTATGTTTTTCTGGTAAATATTAGGGATCACTGATAGGTGGGATCAATCAGCCGGGCGATAGTATTTCACGAGGCTAAAAAAAAAAAAGAAACCCGTGCAATCAAAATGACCTGGAGAAAGTCTCCGAAATTAGGACCTAGGTGGACCGCGCAGGCCACTCATTCTTGAATGGAGTACGAGTACACTTGTCAAAGAAATCATATTAAATCAATGTCCTCGTGGCACGATTGAAATAAGCTGACCAGAATCTTCAAATGAGAGGCTACAAAGGGTTAACGCCGGGGAACGCCACAGAAATGAATGGAACAACTATCTTCCCCTCCCAATCACGCGCCCTGCCATGCAGCAATGTTGGCGGCAGAAATATCCAAGTTTTCAGTCGTGAGCCGTTGAAGCCGTGTCACTTGAGTCGGAGCTAAGGTTTCGTAGTATTAGCAGGAGACCTCCAATGGAAAAGCAAAGGGCCCCGAAATGTAGACAAACAAAGCCGCCAAGTCCCGGACCTTCAGGAAGAGGGGCAACAAGAAAATGCAAGACGAGGGGGGCCATAGTACGAGGAGGAGACCAGAAGAAATAGGGATATTCATAGACAGAAAGGGGAAAGACCCACTTGGCCGTTGGGCAGCCGCGCCGGCGTGCACATGGATGACTGTCGAATCAACATATTCTTTCGTTACAACGCCGCCGTAGGAGGCCGCACTAAGCATGACCCTCAGTCGGAATTTGCCCGGTTGCGAGATGGTGAGTGGAATGAATTTCGCATAGCCGCTCATTGCGTTGTCGGATCGGCTGCGGACGCTTGCCGTGAGGTTGCCGCTCAGGCCTGCGGCGGCTCCTGAACCGGCTTCATCACGAAGTGAGGCACTGACAACAAGATGCTGGACGTTTTGTGCTGGTGTACCAATTGGGTTCACAGCAATGATCACTGGGATGGTGAATGGGATCCCAGGGCGGACAGCTGTTGGGGGTGTAATCTCGAAAGAGAGAGAGAATTCACGAGCAGCCATCGCGTTCAATATTTGTGTTGTGATTTTTTTTTTTCCCGAATTTCCGAGAAGTTGTAAGTTTTTCAAGGCCCGGTCATGTGCTATGATCCAGTGTCGTTGAGAGTAAGACGATGCTCGAGGTATAAAAGTTTAAAGTAGTTTCAAAAAAAGTCTCCACAAGACAGACACAACATGAAGGTGTAAAGGTTGAAAGATCGGAAGGGTTTCCGGTTTTGTTTGAAAAGGATGTATATGAAATCCGAGTCAACCATAGGGGCAATGCCCGGGGCTTCATATATACCTCTTGCACGCACCAAGAGTCGAGATCCGACATAGTTTGGACCCATAAGCTCAATCTGGAAATCGTAGAGAGGATGGGTCCGAGGGGATATCGCCACCGTCCAAAAGTACATACGCAGTTAGCCCCAAGATAGTCGGTGTCCCGGTTCTCGGGACAGCTAGATTAGCCACTATGGTTGATTAAAGCGAAAAGAGTGAGACGAAAATTATAAAAATCCAGAAAAAGAAAAAGAAAAGGAAATTGTGAGATCACCAAAGTGCCCCGGTAAAATGCAGGATCCTTGCGGGAGCACGTTCCAGTATTGTGAGATCGAACAGTGGGGCATAATTCTATTATGATCTGTTTGGGTTGATCGACGGGTACGCGTCCTGGAGGAGCATGGGTAGTGGAGTGGGTGTAAGATCTGAGGGATCGAAGATGCACTGCAAGAGATCTGAAGCTAGATTCAGGATCGACCCCAGAGTGCTCAAGGCAGGGGTTCCACTTGTTTCTTTCCGGCATCTGATTCGGCCACTTTGCACTAGCAGTGATGACAACGGGAACAGTCTGACAAATTTGCCGTGGGAGCTGCTTGGCATGCGCAATTGACACTCATGCACGGAGACCGTGATAGAGGTTGTGAACGCGAGGCGCAGGGACTAAGCAGACGGATGGACGTGAGGTCAATTCTTTCAATAGTCTCGTGCACGGATCAAGTAGCGGGGTCATGTTGAACATTGTTCGGTGACCAAAGATTGCTGATCTCGTCCCTGGAATTCGGTCCCTCGCTGTGATGTAGTATGGACCAGCAACTTGGAAGCAGCGTGTCACTAAACCCCAAAGACTTTCGTAGCAACGACGGTGATACTAATCAAGCTTTGCTGTCAATGCATCTATTTCCACGTAGTCGAGGCATTCTCGCAACTTTCGAGCCGTCACAAGGGGTGGGGGGGAGATCGCCATGTTTGGGTTTCCAGGGTTTCACTTCCTTTCAAGCAGAGCTGCAAGCCACACCCTAACGGTAAACTGTGGCGCCTACATACGAGATCAAGTGGGGAACATGTCAATCAGTCGGAACCTCCGGCAGTATATCCACGGCAGTCCGTGTAAGACTAATTTTTGGGCACCGTAAATCCTCTTATTTCCTCCCATTCGTTTGGTGGCTGTCAAAAAGTGTTGCCTGATGAGCAAAGGTGAAGTTCGGCATAGGGACGATTGGTCGTACTAGCCACAGTTCTGACACATAAAATCAGCCTCACTTGGTCTAAACTCAATCACGCTTGGGAGGAAGGATCGGAAAGTCCCATGTGTTCGGTCCCTCATGCATGCGGGCCATGAGCTTCGCTCACGACCCACTGATGGATCCCGAACAAATCCCGATTTAGGGCTGGATGATCACGGTTGATCTCAATATCCATGTTGTGAGTATATCGGAGCCGGGTGTGTGGCTAGAACAAAAAGCATTTTTCAGCAGCTGCAATATGTGTTGATTGCTTTAATCGGAAGATAGTTTGGGCAGATATTGTGATGCTGTGATGCGAATGCATGCAAACTCTGGGGCAGGCCGATCCCCAAGCAGTTGCAAGTCGGAATTTGGCGAAGTGAGTCAAAAGTAAGATGATCCTAATTGTGTGAGCCAATATTGTGTCAGGAGTCGTCATTTTCCCAACGAGTATGCAGAAAGCGAGAGCCCAACAAAAAGTCAAGAAGGGGAACCTTGTTTGCACTTAGGCTTCAATAGCGGCACAGCCACTCAGACAAGCCACCGTGGCTAGTTGTGGCTAGTTTGTGGCTAGTCTATGGCTAGTCTATGGCTTACACGCAAGGAGCGGCCAAGCGGTGTGGCTGTGGACCTGCTCCTTGCCTAATTGGGAAGGAGTTCTTTCGGCTGTCCCGAGGCGCTGATCACTGATCTGACATCCGTTCGTCCTTGAGCTGGATGACAACGGATATTTACGAGGTAATCATGTGAAAGATCCTGGCTGGTCGAGATTCACAACAAACGCAGTGCTGGTTCAAGTCTGACATGTCACTTTGATATCAAATCGCGGGCCTTTATTCTGATGACGATGTTTTGCCACTGAACTTACATCCTGGGCCTCGATTAACTTCTTTCCTTGGAATTTGAAGGGGAGGTGGGGGTGAATAAGTTTCGCATGCGCGAAGAACCAACGGCCCAGGGGAATGTCTATGCTAATCCGATCAATACTAGGTACGCACTGCTATCTTGTTCGGAAGACGATCTCAATGAAACCACTTAAACCCAAAATAGTACGCGTATACACATGCTGTCAGGAAAGGGAGCGTCGCATAAGCAAGAAGGCCTGACTTATGAAACATCGTCATCCGAACAGCAACCTTCTCCACAACTGATCTGGGTGAGCCCTCGGTAAAGAACCACCACTGCATCATATCCCGTGTCAGCTCTGCGGTCTTTCTTGCACGCACGAAAAGGTCGTCTTCAAACCTCTCGATCTCTGACGGAAGATGAGCGATTGGGTTTGAAGATCTGGATGCCTTGAGGATTGCTCGCGACAACATGAGTGCATCTTGCATGCCCAGATTAACTCCTTCGCCGGCGAAAGGTGTCATGACATGTGCTGAATCCCCAACGAGCGTTACTCCAGGGCGATGCTTCCATTTCCATCCAACAGGGAGCATGTACAGGGAGCGGGTTATTGGCTCCTCGCCGTGGCGGATGAAGTCAATCAGTCGTGAGTCCCAGTCTTGATAGGTGTCCAGTATCTGGCTCCTCGCTCCTTGAACCGTACTGACGTCGTGTGCTGCGTTCTTCTTCCAGTCTTCTCCCTGCACGCACCAGGCAGAGATGTTCAAGCTTCCGTCTCCGACTTGTTGTCCGGTAATCGCTTTTCCGTCCGAGTACGCAAATACCGATCCTCGGTTCACAGTCTCATAGCACTCCGGCGCTTTCTCTTTGGCGTGAGGAATGTTGAAGGTGACACCACTAATTCCGGAATAGGCCGGCCTTTGACTTGAGAGCAGTTTGCGTGTCTTACTCCATGCACCATCCGCGCCGACAATGAGATTGAATCCACTTTCAGTGCCTTTGTCGAATATCAAATTGTGCTGCTCATCGATGGAACATAAGCGCCAGCCCCATCTGATCATATCCGGAGGGACAGATTGAAGAAGCATCTCGCGGAGAGAAAAGCGATCGATCTCTGGACGACCACGAGACGAGTTCTCCCCAGCTCCCGGTAAGTTGACATATTTAATGAAACCTTTGTCACAGATGACCAACGCTTCGCCGTCAAAGCGAGCACGTTTCAAGAACTCTTCGTGCAAACCTGCTTCCTTCAAGGCGGCGATTGCGGTTTTCTCATGCAAGTCCAGGCTTCCACCTTGTCCGCGACAATTCGGGGACTGGTCTGATTCAAATACAGTCACGTCAAGGCCTGGTTCATTGAGGAGCAAGCGGGCGAGTAGCAGACCCACTGGACCGGCCCCCACAATTGCGATTCGAATTGAGGACATTTTGGCGAAGAAATGTTGATGGGGATGAAAAGGTCAAGTTCCCAGGGAGTTATTGATTCTTTTATCTTTCGACAACATGGTGATGTGCCAGGCAGTCTCCAAATGGGATGTCTTCATTGGATATTCGCGGTGGTGACCAAAATAGGTGATCGACTCTCCAGTCCTGAGGGCAGTCGAATTGCCAATGATAATGGAATATTAAGTACCCAAATCGCGAATGGGAAAAATAGTTGTATCCACTTATGTTGATTCACTTAACCCGATTTGGTCCATTCTGCGAGCGTAATCTAAATGACAATTGAGAACCACACGACTATGTAATAGTAATCAATGAGATCTAAGGCATTTATCGAACTATTTCAGAATAGACAAAGACTTCGGAGGGTCTATTTCAAACGATATCTTGTAGGGTGTGTACGGAGTCAGTCTCGTGCTCTTAATTCTTCCAAGCTTCCTGAAGTCACTGTGAATGGACAACCCCATGGTTGTTGTGGCCAGTATGTAAGTATGAATAAGCCCTTGGGTGTCATTTTTGTAAAAGTATTCATCTCAAGAGATCTCTCATTTTTTCTTCTGAGAAAGTTGGATATGTACGCGCATTCACTTCAAAGCAACTTTGAACCTCCAGCATGAGGGGGAAAGGGCAACTCCAGTGACTCGCTGTTTCCCTTCCCTAACGTGCTCAAATACATCTAGACAGTTCGCGTGGGATTCTTCCTTGACAACACTCTTTATATTTACCTACTATCCGTGAAGCTCAATCTTCATGGCATCACTTGCTACTCGACAGGGTTATCATCTTGGGCCCAGCATCCCTCGTCCCCCAAAAGAAGCACCGAGCACTCCAATAAAGACCGACAGGTCGATTGATCCAAAAGTTTTCTTCGAACTCTTTGCGGGAACCATTGGCATCTTCGTACTTGCAGTTTTGTTCTGGAAGCTTGGCCGCTTTGTCCGACGATTCAACCGAAACAAGGTGCTGGAGGCTGGAAGGCCTATCAACGCTCGTTACGCACGCACATGGTATGGATGGGTGCCGTGGCCAACTCACGAGAGAAACAAAAAGGTTGTTCGTGATTTCATCGCTTCGATATGGGACTCTTTGGCCTGGAAGTCTACTCGAGACGACTATAGCTGGGTTTGGTGGGATCCCGGTGACATCGAAAGGCAAAAGCGCCAACGTAATAAAAGCAGGCTCTGGTGGTTACCGAACTGTTTCAAGAGCTATGAAGATTCGCCGACGGCCGATGATATTTGGAATCCATGCGGGCGCTCACAATGTGATGGGGCTTTAAGGCAAGACATTGCGGTCTCGGTTGTTTCATCACCCACTACCACAAGGATGCCAGTGAGCCCAGACATCCTTGCTTCAAATTCACCACAGCAGCACATGGCGACTGAATCTAAACCGTTGATCACTCGCTCAATTATGGAAGAGCTTTACCGGGACCCTATGCAAGCCAGTGATGACAGCTCACATCACCACCCACATTTTCATTCACCCAACAGAACAAGGTTGGCTACTCGCATCCCGTTCACTCACCCTCAAGTCCAGTCATTACCTTCACATCAACGCCACTCATATCATGCTCGGGGTTCAATTCCGTGGTCGTGTGGTGGGATGGCCAGAGATATATCATGCCACATCGATTCCGTCGTTGATCATAGGGACTACCAGAGTGCATACTTGGAACCAAACAGCTCCGTTGACAGGACAAATTCGAAGCCATCAGCTCAAAAAGGTCATAAATACAGATACCGCGCGTGGTCAGCGCGGATGCAACTTGGACCAGGGCCGGCAAGCTTGCACCACGGAGGTGGTTCATCTGGCCCTCCCGGGACTCCAATGACCGAGCTGCTGGCCAGCTACCCTTCCAACCAGAGCTCTTCATCCCCCTGCCATTCAAAACAAGTGAGCGGCAACCAGCGAGCAAACCTACAAGTTTCCGAGGATCGAATCTCATCTACCTCCAGGATGTTCATTGACAACCGACTTCTCTTCGCAAATGAAGGACGGACGTATACCAGAACTTTCCAATGGAACTCAGCCCCAGCAAGAAGTCAACCGCAAGGTCGAAAGAAAATGCCCGCACCAAGACCGAAGTTTGCTGATGAATGGCTATTGCTCTGTGATAAGAAGGGCATTCCTAGCCAGAACCATTTCTCTGTATCGCGGGACAAAGGGATATTTTTGGAACCAGAAGCCTCGATTGCCCCCACAGATCGAATCCAGCTTAAAACAGGAGGCGCTGTGAACAATTTGAGTGACTGGGAGGTCATGTTGCTGGAAAGGTTAGACCGAAAACTCGTGTGGGTGTTCAATGAGTTTACTCCGGGACAAAAGCCATATCATTTTGCCACACTCGCAAACCATTGGCTGAACAAAGAAACATGGATCGTTTATGACCCCATCTCCAGAGTTCCCACTAATGCACGCCGGCAATGGGGAGATCCACGATTCAACGTTCCTTACCCAGAGCCTGTTCTGGGTCCGAGACCAAAATATCCTGCTGTAACGCGGAAACGAGCAAATAATCCTCGCATCGACTCCTGGAGGGCAATGGCCAATAAACAGAGAAAGGTGTCTGGTATTCGGGAGGCAATTCGTACCCTTACTTTGTACGAAGACTCAGCCGACGAACCACCAGATGGTCATATTGATCCAGCCTCTTGGGCTTTGCCCAAGCCACCACAAGGCTTCCAAATGTCGACGGCTCAGCGGAATGCTTGGTACGAGGGAGGCGCAGGATGGCAAGAGAAACTTCATGACTGGCAGCAAGTCCACCGAGGATATCGTGTTCACAAAGCTCTCCACGAAGGCCGGGTCAATAGAACGAAGCTGAAGGAAGTGATATCGCATATTAGCAAACCTTGGCGGCCTGCTGCAGGCAAGCCGATCTCCGATTTTGACGTCAGCAGCCAAAGAAGAGCCTCACACAGTCTTGTCTCATGATCTGCCGGGATTTCCCAGCACGATCAACCGAATTCGTCCCTTGTCCAGATGGTATGTTGATAATGTGGAGTTCCCATCGAAATCCGATCAGCACTCGTTATGTTAGATCACTTGTCATACGCTCACTACCAAGCCATTGGCATGTCATTATTAGTATCCTCGAGAGAAGCTGAAGTGCGGGAATCCGCGCTGTATTGTCGAAATGCATTTGAATTGAAAGCCTGATCTAAGCGCTGGGGTAATAATGGAACATTGTAAGCCACCATCTTCTTTAGATTGGCCTCGCTGCAAGTCCAAAAAGCCAAAACTCCGGTAGTCCATATGTTGTTTTTCGCTCCGACAAGTCCCCCGCCAGAGTCGAATTTCAGATGTATTGTACATGTACGGGGTGGTGAAAATCCGTTTAGAATCCGGGAGGGTTGACACGCTGGCTGACACGAGTCCATTTGGGAAGCTCTGGAGAAGGAAAGTGATTAATGGATGCAATCGGGCAAGTGAAACTTCGGTCGTGAAATCGACGATGGAGAACATACTGTGGATGCTCTTTCGGTAGCTCTTCTCCTTCTTATCGAAGAGTGTGTACTTGTCCTTAGGCAGCATTTCCTCCTCGCGGGGCATCTCGGCGTACCACCGGGTTATAGCTTTGGAGGTCTGGCCATTGCGCTCGAGGGCAGCACTCAGAGTATCAACAACGCGATCCACGGAGCGCAAACGCTTGCGCTGGCGTGCCTTTTGAGGGGAGGAGAGACGCCACGGGGTCTTCCTGTTGTTCAAGAATTATTAGCTTCGGATAATATGGCGCAGGTTCGTAAGCACATACCAGAGAAGACCACCGAACAGTGCTTGAGTTGACTTGAACATGTTTGGTTGTTGGTGTTGGAGGATGCAGGGAGAAAATCGTGCTCGGAGTCGGGAGTGTAATTGGTCCGTGCACCGGGGGTATATAGGATGGAGGAAATCGTGTTTCTTCCTCAGCCAATTATACAGCCAATATTGGACATTATTGAACGGTACTAAATAGAACGTTACAAGGGATTATTTACGCCGTAGCTCGTGGCGTGATGAAAAAAAGAAACATCATTGGATTGTAGTACACAGCCGGAGTGAATTGAACTATTACCCCAACCAAAATCATGTGATTCCGAATGATTTAGGGACGCGACAATTTTCTGGAACTCACTTTCTACTCCATTGTTGATTCCACTTTTTGACCACGGTCGTCTCCGGCTGTCGCATTATTGCTTGTGATCATCTTTCGTCTATGGATCATTTATAGCAGCACGCCTTCCACCATGGACTCCAACACAACGGCGGACTGCCCGTCCCTTCCCTGGCGGGCTTTCAGCAACACAACTATGTGGGGAGTGGCGGGTTTATGCCGCGGATTTCTCTCGGCGATGTGCCATGCAGAATGCCACGGGAAGGAGGAGTTTACTCAGCTATTGGACTCGCGCAAAGATTCGTCACAACGATCAAAAGGATTAATTACAGGTATGTTGGGATCGCAGCGCAAAGTCCCACGGGCAGATATACTTACTGAGAGTGTCGATCGCAGTTTCAAATCATATCAGCGTGTACGTCCCTCCAACGGTCATGGTCGCTGAAGCCATCGATATCAAATCTAGGAACATAACTGACATTGCGCCGATACATCAGAATGGATGACCCTTTACTTTGGGGTATACTGCCAATGCGATTCTGGAATAAACGGTGGTCCTTTGGAAGCTATGATATCTGCTACCAAACGAGGTATCTATGATCCCCCGATGACACTTGCCCGGGATTCTTTTGCTGATTGGATATACATCCAGGCCCCTGTCTCTTTTCTTCACCATGGGCAAGGTCTTACCCTGCCATCGTTCCGCACACTCCAAATTCGGCGGCTTAGGTCAACCGGCCATGACTGAGGCCATTCGTCTGTTATCCAAGGGCCCGTTCCCTGTCGACCATCACCGCGCTGCCCCCGAGCTCCAGCGCTGGAGCCGGCAAAACGTTTGTGTCGACCCATTTTCCGACCTTTCCGTCGCCTACACCACCGATGGTGAGGATTCCCACCTTGCACCTTCAGCATACTCCTGCAATTCAAATTCGTGGGTCCACATCTTCCCCGAAGGCAAGATTCATCAATCACCAAGAAAAACGATGCGATACTTCAAGTGGGGAATCGCACGTCTTATTCTCGAGCCTCAGGAATGTCCGGACGTGGTCCCGATGTGGATTGAAGGGTTTGACGATGTGATGCATGAAAGTCGAGAGTTCCCGCGCTTCCTCCCCCGGCCTGGCAAAGAAGTCAGCGTGACATTTGGCTCCAAGGTGGACACGGAGAGTGTATTTGGGGAGATGAGATCTCGGTGGCGCAAGCTGAGAGCAAAGGTCGAAAAGAGTAACCCCGATTCCCGAGATTTGCCCGTGGGTGTCCTAAGCGACGAACTGTTGACCCACAAGGAAGCGGTTGAGCTACGGAAAGAGGTCACTTTGAAGGTTAGAAACCTTGTGCTGGAAGTTCGCCGCTCGCGTGGCTTGCCTGACGAAGATCCTAAGGAGGGCTTGGTCGATACTTGGCTAGAGGAAGGCCACAAGCGCGAGGGCCACATGAAGGATGACTCCTGGGTCCGTGACATCTAAAACATTGCATATAGAGTGTATGAATATTGTATAAAATCCGATATGACCTTTGAAATTGTCATAATGGCCCCCAATCGTGAGTCAACGCGATACTCGTATAGTCCTCTAGATGGTTGGGGCCATGGGTCAGCATGAGTCAGGGCCCCGGAGCCAGCGGAGAGATTCCGTGGTTCAGTTGCTTTTTTAACGGCGGCCGGGGGCGATAAGTGGTAAACCCGCGGAGCCTCATTTCCCCTCATCAACCTCATGCCCAAAAAGCACCAGCGCTTCCATTTCAAACCCTCCAGCCAGGCACACCACACTCTCGCGGGATCAAATAAGAATGGCGTGCCTGGGGCATCTGGAGGCTCGACAACCTCCGTCAACGATCTGATCTCCCACCTCCGTCGTACACAACCGCCGACTGCTGCGGAGGATGGAACACCTCCCCGACAGCTCCAATCAACCTTGACCCCGCGTTCTGTTCACCCATCTCTGAGAAATTTGCTGGAACTTCCTGAAACACACTCGCCGCGGCCTCGTCCCGGAGCTTATCGCACGGCCATAGGCAGTCGCCCGATCCGTCCGACTGTGGGGCCTGCGACCCCCGAGAGTTGGCTTGCTAGGAATACGAATGAACGACCAGCTAGAGAAAGCTCGAGTGATATGGATGGGGATATGGAGGCGATTGTATATCGCCTGAAGAGACTTCCTGGTGCGACTTTCCCCGGCAATGGAAAGCTCTTGCACCTCGTGCTTAAGAAAATGGCGCTGAACTGGGCCTGGCATCTGGAATTCGATGGTTTATTCTTGTCCCAGTTACCGATACATGTGAAGGAGTTGCTCCTCAGCTACATAGCTGTGTTTGCCAGAGGCCAACCTCTGAACGGACACATGAAGGGCCTAAAGCCGCTCTTCTTAACCCAACAAGATCACGCCCAGGTCACCGATGAAGTTGAATTCGAAGAAGAGAACATAGTCGACAGGGATTCTGGAATAGTTCGACTAGACCTAGGCGGCGCCATCGGAAATTGGATGTCTCTCAAACAGCTGGCTAATGAGTTGATCGTCTCCAAGTCGTCTGGTTCAGGTGCCATCGGTCATGAGAAAGAGGAGAACATCCCGAGTTCATGGGACGAAGAGGTCCACGATCACAACGAAAGCTCTACGGCCACATCCTCATCGAATACTGCTCATATGCCTTCGATTCCAAAGGAGCTGACTCAAGCGATGCGCTTCGAAAACCTCCGGTTCCTGTCACTGGCACACCCGACCCCAGCCGCTGCAAGCTGGACATCCTTGATCAGTTTGATGTCTCGTTTAACAACGATTACTCACCTCTCCCTGGCGCATTGGCCTACCCCAACCAGAACACCAGGTGCTACAAATGCTCGCATCCGTCATCCACAAATCCACTCTTTGACTTTCAGTTACAGCGGCACAGATAACTATGCCGCTCTGGAGAACAATTGGGCCGAGGCTGCAAGTGTCCTCCGTCAACTATCCCGATCTACCTACTGCCTGAAATGGCTAGATCTTGAGGGTTGCGCTCCCTGGCTTCCGGCTTTGAACTGGGCTGGAAAGGATCCGGATGGCGTCCCGTACAGACCTGGTGCCGTGGGTCCAGACTGGAATGGCTCATGGCGGGATGTTGAATGGATCAGCCTAGCCCCTGGCTGGATTCCAAACCTAGTTGACGATAAAGACATGCTCCATGCTTCATCTCGAGTAGTTCAGACCCCAGACCCGGCAGATCCCCCTTGGCGTGAGGAAGAACAGCGTAATGCTCGTCGACTAAAGAAGCTCGACGCATACCGAGAGCAATTCCAAACTGCGTTAGCTGCGCGAAAGAATCTCCGCAATATCAGAAAAGAAGGCAAAGGGAAATGGCTTCAAGTATCACTTGGGCTGGATGATGTTGATCACCAGATTGTGAAACAGCTGGTTGGGCAGGATTACGCGCTTCATGAATGAGCTGCTGGCTGCTGGGCTCTGGTGTGCTCTTCTACCGACGGCCAACTTGTGTGGGCGAAATGTAGATTTACACCTTCAATTACTTGTACATAATAGCATCGAAACATGTCGGTCCAATTGTTGGTGCCCATGTCATGTCAATTCATCCGAACATGCAGACCGAAAAAGAGGAAAGGAAAAGAAACCCGCATTGGAAATATTTTGATTCATGTCTGACTGTACAATGGTATCCAGACCAACGCCGGAAGGATTTAAAACTATGTAACTATTTTTTGGATCGATTAAACGTCTTCAAAGGGTCTGACTTGCCACCGGACTTGCCACGAGCACGGTTGCGATCTCTCGCCTTGCGAATTCGGTTCTGCTTCGACTTGGAGAAGCTGACGTATCCGGCATTCTCCTTGGAAATTCCCTTTCGACCCTTGGCAGGCATGAGGTATTCAGGGACATGCTTAAGGTGGGCCTGGACACGCGCAGCTCGCAGCTCACCATCGTGGCGCAACTGGCGCAGCTCATCAGGGTTGTCCTCGAAATGGCGCTTGAGCTTCTCGCTCTTAATCAGTTCTTGTCGGATCTCGCGTCCTCGTGCTTCCTGGATGGCGAGTCTGGTCACGGCGCGCAGTGCGTCGGTCATACGGTACCGGAAGGCATCGACTTGGGACATTTCGAAGTGGTAGGGCTTAACCTCGTGGCCGAGCTTGGCTTGGCGCTTAACGATCTTGGCGAGCATGCTCTCATCGTGCTTTGTGCTGGGGATTGAGGTGGGTCGGTGCTTGCCGTACTGATCAGCAGGTACAACGAAAGAGAGCGCCATGCCGGCCTTTCCTGCACGGCCAGTACGTCCGATGCGGTGGGTGTAGGATTTTGAGGTTGTGGGTAGGTCGAAATTGAGAACGCATGCGACATCTTGGAAGTCGATTCCGCGGGCAATGCTGAAATCCTTTTCTTTGGCGCTCATCTTGCGACGCTTCTTGGATTCAGGCTTCTTTCCATTTTCGGTCTCCTCTTGCGCCTGTTCGTCCTCACTTTCACCCATCTCCTCTTTAGGCTCTGCTTCCTCCAATTCCTTCACCTCAGGGGTCTTCTTTGACTTGGTGCCCAGAACCTCTTGCTCATCAGCTGCAATAATGATATCGTAAACACCCTTGTTAAACTCTTCGACAACATGGATTCGAGAGTTGATGGGAAGCTCTGAATTGAGGACACAGCTCTTGAGGCCGAATTGTTCAAGGAAAAGCTTCACACGGTAGCAACGGTCCACATCTGCGACGAAAATAATGACCTTGCCCTTGATAAGCTGCAATTTGAAGATGACGTAAGTTAAGAGGAACTTCTCGTCTTCCGCGCATCTGTTGAGTGGCGTTAGCAAATGATAATCTCATCGGTTCAAGCAGCTTGTCTTACTTAACAACGAATTGGCTGACACCAGCACCCTTCTCTTCCTTCTCCTCCAACTTGAGAATCACAGGGTTCCGACAATACAAATCCTTCAAAGTGTCTACCTCTGATGTTAGGGTAGCACTCATCAAGAATGTCTGCGCTCCGCGGGGGATGGCCTTGGAGAGAGCATTGATATCGTCGTCGTAGCCGTATGAGAGGACAAGATCCGCCTCATCAATGACCAAATGGGTAATCTTGTCGAGGGAGAGGGCAGAGTTGTTCACATTGCTGTAAACGCGCGTGGGGGTTGAAACAACGATGTCGGGGAAGTCTGCCAGCATGGAGCGCTGGACTTCATCGGAAACCTTCTGTGTCAGGTTGACTGATCGAATATCCTTGCCACAGAAACTGGAGAACGACACGATGACTTTCTGGACTTGTTCTGCAAGCTCACGGGTGGGGACAAGGATGAGGGCGGTTGTGGCATTTGAGGAGGGATCGGCCTATTGTGTCACGGTAATTAGCATATGTCTCATCGAGGATTTGCGATCTTGAGGAGCAAGGGAAAACGGACAGTCTTCTGTTGGAGGATGGCTTGGAGAATTGGAAGAACATAGGCGGCGGTTTTTCCAGAGCCAGTTTTCGCACGAGCTAATTTTGTCAGCGGAAGTGGGCTTCACAGTTGAGTCTTGTGAGCATACCCAGGATATCCTTTCCTTCAAGCGCCAACGGAATGGCCTTTGATTGTACGAGCGTGGGCTTGGTGAACTTTTCCTTGATCAGAGCCTGGCGCAATCGGGGATCGAGGTTGAGGGCCTCAAAGTCAAGTTCTTTATCCTCAGCCACCTTGGCCTTGGGTGCAGGGACATCGTTAGCATCCAACTTGCGCTTCATTGTGACGTTTTGATGTGTATATGCTTGATCAGATCTGAGGAAATTGAAACTTTTTTGGGAAATTTTGTCGGGCGGTGAGAGTGCCGCAGGCGGTGAGGCGAAATTTGTTATGACATAATATATTTCTGCCTTAGGCCAGAATGTCTGATAGTCGCCAATCAAAACCACCGTATCCTGAAGTCTGGAGGTACTCTGTTCAGAACATGCAATTCATAGTTCATTCATATACAAAATCTTGCACAGTTGGTTAGCTAGGTATCTTATCGCACAAATTCGCTGTGGAAATATTCCAAGAATAAATCCCTCGATGCCCCCTTGATCTCACCCACGGGCAGAACCTTCACATTGTGCTCGACTGTATACACCTTGCCGAAGTTGACTCTCGACATGGGATCCAATTTCTGTTCTAATCTGACAGGCTCGACTTCGAGGGGCTGCTTCGTCATAGCAGGCTCATCCTCTTTAGCTGGGGGCATATCGCCTCGCATATAGATCACGGCATGCTTGCTGCGGTCAATACCTGCTTTAGATACGCCTTGTCCTCTGTAGGTTGTGATGGGCCTGGGAATCGTCAGCATAATGATCACCAGCGACTTTGATCAAGAATTGGCACATACACACACCAGCAACAACCCCTTTGCTGCTTGACTACTATCATGCGCCGGATGCTACTATAGATGGGCTCTTGGTACTTCCCCCTAATGAACTGCGAACTGCTGCGCGGGGAGACTTTTTTGCTGTGTCTATTACCATTTGAACCTGCATTCTCATGCCATAGCATTGAAAACACTCGGCCAACTCGGAAGAATGACCGAGGGTCTCTTTGCTTTTTGTATCCTGTTCGGGGTAACAGCCATCAGCTTCCTGCTTGAGTGTGGACCACCAACAAGGATGCCACAACTTACGAGGGTCCAGTGTTTTATGCTCACTGTTGCTCCCAGAGGCCATGTATGACGCATCTAGTGCCGATTCCTGAGAATCGTTGGGGTGAGATTGTAGCATGGATGCATCGCTTGTTGATAATCTGGTGGCCTTGCTGCGACCTGAAATTCCAGTGCACCCTGTGCCTCGGTGCGTTGCTTCCTGGGGCATTTCGTACTGCATATCTGGTTGGAACCACTCGGGTGGGCTGCTCGCACTGCTGCCGGCCTGAAAATCTGCGGTTGGGTACATACTATCCCCCGCGCGGTGAATTCCTGGTAGGTATGTGCCTTCGATCTGTGAAAACTGATGGCCGATGTTCATCTTTGAACTATCGGTGCATAGTCTGTCCTCGAACGCCGGCTGTGGCTGCAAGTCTGAGAGGTTTGTATGGCGTGTTTGAGAAGACATGGATGGAGTTGAATGCGCGTATATATCCTTGGGGACAAATGGAGATCCTGAGCGGCCATATTCATGCTGGGCGAGGCTTTGAGCAAACCGGTTAGTCCTGAGTCGTCAGGTATGTAAAGGTTGAAAAGAAAGGTAGAACATGAACCCACTTGGCAACCTCATCATCTCTTGTAGTACGAGGCACTGAGCCACCGAGAGAATCCCATTCCCAACAGGGCTCACCTTTATCTTACTTAGCATAGTCGCTTTAACCTCCAGTGCACAGGCGACAAGGGGACTCACCTGTATGGCTGTAGATGGAACGAAACCATCGATTGCTTTCAATGTGAAATACCCACTCGGATTCCATGGCTTCGTTTATGAGTCAGGGTAGCAAAGAGTAGTCGAATGAGCCTTCGTAGACAAATCAAGTGACTATCGAGATCCATGGATCTATGGTGGTTTATATGCCGATTCAGAGTCCCACGTGTACCCGCTGTTGTACTATGCGGCTCGGTCCGTCACCTGAAGCATGGTCATAGTCCCTCCAACTGATAATTAAGTATACATCGCGCGTAGGCCACAAAGCAAGTTGGCCTGTTGTCAAGCGCTCACTCGCTAGGAGGAGGCTTTGGAACTCTCACATGAATGAAAATCGATTAGAGCCAATGAAATGCTGGCCGGTTACGAGTAGTTATGTGAAGCTGCTATAAGTTGTTTGCCCTAGCTCAAGGCTGTTTCATATTTTTCGTCAAGGCAACCAAGGAAATGGCAGATTAAAGAGAAGCAGCGCTAATGTAGTGTCGGACCTAGCGGAGCAACGGGTTATTGGCGACCAAATCGGGTATTCGAGCGCCACAATGAGGGATATGACCCCTGAACTTCATTGGTATGGTCTCATTTGAAGTCAGTGCCCCAAGTTTAGAATTCTGCGTTTGGAATTAACCGCTTATAGTCACCCTGCTCTTATCATCCTACCAACATCTCGACCTGTTGGTTGCCACTAAGAGCCCCGCAAGATGGAAACCACAGACGATCACTGACTAGAGAGTCTTCGGAGTAATCTTTCATAGGTAAATCGAACATCACTTGTCTGCAATATAGTAGAGGCTCATCACAATATGCCCAAGTGGCACCTTCGAGCCAACAACAAGAATCTAAGTTTCGACCGACTTTCCAACGCTGCTCAAGTGTGACTAAAGGGATCTCTCTCAGCAGTTTCCGAGTTTATGAAACTTTACTCAGGCAGAGGCAATGGCAGATACCCGTGGACATTATTCACCAAGATGATCTAGACGCACTGCGCCCCTTCGCTCAGATAGTAGTTCGAACATGAGATCGACGGCGTCAGTATCCAGGGGGGAAACGGGAGGAGGAAAGGGGAGAAGCCAGTAGAACCCAGTCTACGGGTGATCACAATCAGTATCATCCTTTCTGTTACAGAGTTTATTGGAAATGGATCATCTGCTCAACGTCAGAACCGGCAAGTTGTGCCTGCGCCGCCTGCGCCGTTTCCTGGGACCAGGGGAAGGCGCCAGGCTAGTCAAACACTGAGGGAGAATAACATAGAGTCGCATGGACTCCCGGGATATCTCCAGGGCCTCTAGCCGAAGGATCATGGAACGAATAGCGTGTGCCTCGCTGGGGGGAATTTTGAATCTGATGGCTGAAGCGCGGTATTGAGACTATCGACTATATAATGAAAGTGATACATGGATCACAGAATATCGTGGTCTACGTATACCTAGGTACTTCAGTAACTTCTCTTTCAAGGATTATAACACACACTTGAGCATCTTTAGAGGACAAGAGGATTAGCTTGTTTCCGAAGGTTAGTACTCCAAATATGGAGAGCCCGGAAGAACCAGCGCATAATTGACACAACTTCATCATGTTGACACCATTGTTGTCGTCCTTTTTGCTATTTTTTATCGATTTAAATGAGACGTCACTTGAAATAGACTTGCACCTATATAGTTAGGGCATGCCAACTGCTTCAGTCGGGACCACGGGAAGTGTCCGAAGAGGCCAAAAGGCACTGGATAGCGCGGCATCTGTCCTTGCTTAGCCATGGGAGAAGTTCAAGCCGCCCAGGGCTATCGCAATAGAAATCTGCTTGTCTTAACTGTTAAAATCATGGATTGCTTCTTCGTTAATAATGTACTTCATCTTTCGAGCCAAAAGCTGCCTCATGCCCAGGTGGGCTGGGACGCTCGGGCGTCAAGGTATATTGATATTCTACCCTTCACCAAGGCTGATCGTCTAGGGTAATAAATTTTAGAGAAATCTTAGAACTGGGGTCAGCCACCTTCAAAGATATTGAAATATAACAGTGATAACTTGGAATGTCTGACAAAAATAAAGGGAATGTATGCATTGCATTCAAGTGTAGAACAATGAAGCTGGAGCTTCTGCGAAATTTAAAGATCACACTTGAGCAGTCCTGAACACGAAGACCGTTAAGAAAAACAGATACATTTCATTGCATAGATATTCGCTCGCATCGTGATCTCAGGTCATTATGTACATAAATCAAACAGTGTCCCAAAACAATATCCGTAAGGAGGCATCTACCTCAAAAAGCGCTATCCGTTACCCAGAAAAATCCTTGAACCATTCAAATCAAAACCCATAATCAGTGCAAGGTCGGCGTAGCTCACGACTACTGAGTCTCGCCTTCACTGTCACTCAAGCTGTCGCGGCGACGACTGCGGCCATCGCGACGGTAACCCTTCGTCAATCCGGGAATAGGATGCTTGTAACTTCTGGTGCCTGAGTCCTCGGTGTCGACATTGGAGTATTGGTATTCAGAGCGGGTGCCTGCAGAAGAGAAATCCAAAGGCTCAGTATAGTGACCTTGAGCGGCGGTGCGGCGGTCACGGTGTTTCCGAGGGCTGCTGGTACGGGAAGAGGGCGCGGGGGGAGGACCAGGTGCGATGTAGCTTGGAGCCTCACTGCGACGTTCACGACGGCGATTGTGGCGACGAGTAGATGGCTCGCGAATGCGACGCTGTTCGTTGGCATTGCTGATCACATCTTCGCTACCCTCAGTGAAAGAGAATCCAGATGGATCTCTGTGGCGCTGGCGGCGTGGTGGGTCATCGTAAGCAAAGTCGTGAGACTGGCTCATTTCGCTCTGTTGGTAGGAGGTAGGTGGAGCAGAAGTGTCGTAGTCGCTGCCATGGTAGGTTCCATCGGCTTCGCGGTTCATGCCGCCGATGCGAGCAGGCTTTTCTTCACGGTATGCGCGCACATCCGCATCCTCAGCGCCTTCCCACTCTTCTTGCTTGTTTCGTCGGAGGAACTTCTCTTTGGCGTCTCTGAATCTCTTGCGTCGAGGCTTTTCATCGGTAATAGTCGTCGCTGTCTCGGTGTATGATCCATCGGTGTACGAATATCCATCATCAGTGTAGCCCTTGCCGACAACACTGCCACCTCCAAGCTTCGTACTCTTGGTGGCGTTACTGAGTGTCTGGCCGTCCGGTCCCTTGCGACGTAGGACGGTCGATTTGTATTCGTCCCAGTCACCCTCGCGCCAGACAAAGCCACCATTCTTAGCCCAGAAAAAGAACCAAATTGCCGCCAGCACAAAGGCCGCGCCAATGAGGGCAAACAAGGCCATCAAACCCTGCATCTTTATGCTGTGCGGATCAACTGTGCCTTGGCCTCGTTGCGGCTGTGTGGTGCTTGAGTCATCGCGGGTGAAAAGAGTGTGTGTGTTGAGATTGAGTGAAGGCACGGAATTTGTATTGGCATCATCGACATCGCGAACATAGAGTCCCCCAACGGCTAGTGTTGGGATTTCCGGGACATCCTCGATCGGGACGGGTGCCATAATGAGCGATCGCAGTCCAGAGCACGCAGCTCACAACTTGGCTCTGTAGGAATGTGTTCAGTAAGTTGCGCATTCTTGTGATCGGTGGACCCGGGCTTACCTGCGAGAAAATATCCCCAGATTTAGATAAGGATTGATAATGGACTGGAATGTGAGATGTGGATGAGAACTGTGGAATGCGCGAAAGAACGTAGTCACAGTTGCAAATTGGTATCGGAAGAGTGAAGATGTCAAAATGGGAAAACATCAAACCAGATTAGAATCCGGCCTGACAGAATAGAGGAGGTTGGAGGAGGCTGGGGACTGTGTTTACAGTGCTAGTTGTCACGGGCAACCCGCTTACTCACCTCCTCCCCACTTCCCGGCTCCACGTCGATCTATAAAACGTCGATCGTCTTGGAGGAGTACACCGTACATAGTTTTCCAGGGCTGAGTACATGGATCTCAAGGCAATTGACAAAGATCTGAGTAGATTATATATACTAGTAAATAAAACCCGCCAAAAGTGAGCCTTTGAGGCAAACCTCCATGCCATAAACCCGTGATCAAACCCGGACAGCGCGCAGGGTATCAAAAATTGGGAAGACGCAGGAATCAAGGCCAACAATAGTCCAAATCAATACAAAAAAACAAGTGAAATCAACTACAGAGATCGGTATCAAAGGCCAAATACAATCAACATATAAAGTAGATATGGCCAAGGAAACAGATGACCTGTTGAGACATGACAAGTAAACAGATATGGGTATAATCTCTCTCCGCCAGGAGTCGCGAACAAAGCAAGGAGAAAGACACAGACCCAATGACAAGAAAGGCTATACACGAAATCGCTGACAGAAAGTAGACAGAAAGTAAAGCACATCAGACTTGTCATCGCAGGTCATCAGGAATCGTACAATCATATCGCCATAAACAGGTGACGCATCACAGACATAAAATGGTGAGGGGTTTTTTCGTGCCCGACTGGCCTTGCCCAAACACACATAAAAATAGAAATAGAAATCCAGACGGTTGTAAATGAAATCACACAAAAGTCCTCCCAGCTTGGGCGAGACTGTGGGTCTTGGACTGCGCTCTAGATCGTCGAAGAGCCCAGCTGCCCAACAGTCTCGCATTTGGTAAATCCCAATGATTTTTGTTGTCCCGGAACAGACACCAGAACCCGAAGAAAAAGAAAATGCAACTTATGCGAAGCAATCGAAACTTTTGACAAACGAACAGCCAACCAACGGCTATGCAGACACAAGATGGAATCACAACAGGAAAATGAGAAAAAAAATAAAGGAAAAGGATAGAAAAATACCGAACCATGAAATAAGAATGAAACGTGAAAGTAACACAGGATGCAATGTCAACAGGGTGGGGAAATCAATGATGGTAACGGCCCATGTAGGCAGACTGGCTCCCGCGGCGAGTACCGCGTTCCGACCGTCTTTCATCACGGGCACGTCGAACGTCCTCAATGGGACGTCGCACATCTTCGAGTTCCCGGCGGCTAGCGCCCCCCGTATAATCAGAACCAGAACCATTGACATACTGCTTAGGGTGCCGAGGGCCACCACCGATGTTCAATCGAAGGCCCCCGGTATCCCCAGCACGAATGTTGATGGACTTGCCTGCCATATTCTCCTGAGTAAATCCGATTTTCAATCCGTTCAAGGTCAGAGTCATGTTCTTATCTTCTTCCGTACGTGAAGCTGTACCGCTACCACGGCTGCTGTTGGACCGGCTCTTTTGGCTACCGCTGTCGCTCCCATTGCGATTGGACGTCTTACTTGGGGGCAACACCTCTTGTGAAAGAGGCAATGCGGCAGTCGAGGCTCGGCCAGACCGAGCAGCCTGGTAGCTTTCAACTCCACGTTCAAGATCCTCAAGGTCATCTGCTGTACTGGATGGTTCGTAGTACTCAGTTGGCTTCCGTCGTCGGGAGCTGGCGACGGCCACTTGGGCCGACCGTCGCTCATCCGCGTAGCTCACCGATCTGCGGACATCTCGAATGCTGCGGGTCCTCTCGAGCGGAGTATCCCTTGACACTCGACGATTTCCACGGTCCGATACCACGGGAAGGGCATCTCTAAGGTCGGCCATGTCCATTCGGTCATAATCATAGTCCGCGCCTCTGTCCCTGTCCATGCCTCTGGATACAAGGCGTTGGGATGGGGCGGTAGGACCACTAGTGTGTGCTTTCCGTGGCTCTGGGCGCTCCGCGCGCCTGTCCTGGTGGACTTGTGGGATTGCCCTGGTCTTGGGCCTGGGCATAGGTGGTGCCGGTGGTGGGACTGGGGGGCCCATGCTTCCGCGGTAGTATTCCTCATCTGGATCCTGGTGGCTTATAGAAGGACGACCTCGTGCCTCTCGCGAGGAATATCGCTCCAGAGGTTGATCGTCATCATACCATGGTGAATATGCTCCTGAGTCTATTGCCTGGGGCGGAGCCGCATAAATGGAGTTGGATCGACGCCGGGATGGCTCCCGGGAAAGTGATCGCTCACGATACTCCGATGGGGCTCCATACTCCGATGGGGCGTAGAAGGAAGATTGACCGTAGGGTGAGGATGAGTACTGGTTCTGCATGTAGGCCGAATTGGATAGTGGGGGTCCATGGTCGTATCCGTGTACCGAAGACTGGCTGTACATCGGGGATGTCATTCCAGATGTCATACCCGATCCCATGCCGTGTTGTACACCGTGGAAACCGATGGCGTGATTGTTGGGGTGATAGGAGTGGTATGCATGGGAGCGGTTGGATCGACCGGGGTTGTTGACGTGAACGCTTTCGATGGCACCGTATCGAGGCGCGTGTGGGGAGGATGAGAAGTCCGGCATAGGTGGTCGTGAATCAACGTGAAACGGATACTCACCTTGTCGAGTTTCGACGGGAGCGGGACGGTAGCTGTGGTATTCGTAGTAGCTGTCGTGGTACTGGCGAGGGGCGGAGTCTCGTCCATGAGGCTTGGACGATGACCGATGCACGTGAGCATGATGGGCAGCGCCCGCGTAGGCACCTACCATCTTCTCTTCGCGCGAAGGCCGTGATCGTTCCTTGTCTCTGCGTTCTCTGGTCGAACTTTTTCTGTTGAGATCGGTGCGTCTGGGGTTGTCCACCTTAAGAGGGGCCGGGGGGCTTTTTCCGCCTGACGGGCCAGATTGGGTGCTGTTTGTGGTGGCGGCGGTGCGACTAGAATAACCTGAGTCACTGGCGCCGTCGATCAGCGGCTCCGGGTGTCTAGGATCCAACCTCGAGAGTTTGGCAGCAGTATTGGGAGCAATATTTGCTGACAATCTAGTGCCGGGTAGAGTAACGTTGGAGTCCTCGTCAAATTCTTCGACAAAGGCGGCCTGGGGGCCCTTACTGGCCATAATGTGGGCTGCACAAGAGGCGATCGGGGAGTCCCTAAGAAAAAAAAATAAAAAAACAGGGTTGGCCCCGTCCAACAGGGGCGACGTGTGTGGCTCCCGTAGGGCCCCAGATGATGTTCGACTTACAGGAAGCCACAGTCTAAGGGACGATGAGTCAGATAATATGCGTCCTGCTTCCCCTCTAATTTTTTTTTTCTTGCCCAACCCCAAAGTGGGCCACTCGGACAAAGTAATCGGGCCTGCCGATCGCTATGGGCGATGGCAGGCAACGCAGTGGGATCTCTGTCAAGCGGATAGAGCTGATGCGTACTTCGAAAAACGCTGTGTCTCCATCGAAGTAGTTGGGCTTAGAGTCGGGCGGAAGCGTTGGGTCAAAGAGAAGAAGGGATAAAAAAAATTAAAATAAAAAAAATTGCAAGCCTCTCTGGCAGCCGATGAGTGGTGGAGTTCAACTGCAGCTGCAGGACTGAGGTTGGGTTGAGAATTCGGGATCCTCTGCCTGACGGTCTTAGAACCCGGTGGGGAGAGTGGAGTCGATGGGCATTCAAAAGTGAGGGGTGATAAGAAACAACTGATGAAGTACGGAGAGAGGAAAGAAAAAGAGAGAGAGAGAGGGAGATGAAAGGGAAAGGAATGTTCGGAGTAGCGAAAGAAATCAGGCACTAGGAAAATCACCAAAAAAAGAAAACGAAATAGGTTTCACGAAGAGAGGCTCTCGGGTCCATCGGTACCCAACTCAAAAGGAGAAAAAAAAAAAAGGCAGAAAGTGGGGGGAAAACCGGCGTCGTCATTTCTTATTTATCTCTGTGCCCTCTGTGCCCTCTGAGAATATTTTAATGTTTTTCCCTTTTTTTTTGTTTTTTTTTTGTTCTCTCCTATACATACACTACCAGGTATGTATTGCCGGAGTGTATTGTATACAAATTGTTTACTTTTTAAACTACAATGGGACCCGCTGGACCATCCTTGGTTGTCAGGCTTGGATCCATGGTTGGCATCTATTCTTATTTCGCCCTTCTGCTACTATGCCGAGGAGCTGATCTTGAATGGCATGGGATCTTTTTCTTTTCCCGATCACTGTAGCATTGTTTCCTATTATCCCCTAAAATGCATTGCGACTAACGCCCAACCGTGTTTGCGGCCCAATGATCGCCTCCACCAAGAAGGGTCTTCCCTGTCGAGAAATTAAAGGAACCCGTTCGTCTCTCCTAAATTCAGTTATCGTTCGGTCGCTCCCCGAGGCATATCAACTTTGCTTATGTTCCATGATCGCATTTGGGTGCAGTCTACGAGGTACAATGACAATGTATGCGGTACCTACGCGGGAAAAAGTCGGTGGGGATGGCAGCCTGCACCTCGACCTGCAACACTAATTCACGCGGGACCTCACAATCCTGCGATGGCAGGCCGAACAGCATCTTTGCCACCGTGGTGGAGTGACTCATGCGAAATTCTCTCACTTTCGATCGAAACTCCGTTCATGGAAAAGGGCACTAGAAACGAGAAAGAGGGACTGAGCACTGCATGGCATTCGTCGTCAGAGACCCCTCCGTCCATGTGGCAGACGGTCTTTGGGTCTCGTCTCTTCTCCGCCCACAGAAGCAGGCTACTCACCTGTGACTCCGAAGTGACTTCGAAAACCATGGACCTCTCGAGCAAGGTCAATGTACTTGTACAAGTCGCGAAGTAGATATTCAGGCTCGACTCAAGCGCACTAGACAATACTAGTAGACGGCCGGAACCTTCTGAGTGCAGAATCGGGTTAGATTGGTATGACATGCAGCACGGACGGTCTATCATTGCCATTGTGGATTCCTTCACATCCCTTGCGTCGTGAGAACCAGAGGTTCATGAGACTGCCACACGTGCGAGCCTCGCAAATTGTTACAATAAAGCATTTGAAACATTCAGCCGTAGCCAATATTTAAAGTTCGGATCGAGCCCTTATCCGACGAACAAAGGGTACAATGGTACTCCGTACATGGGCTGGAGGTCATAACCACATCCAGAGAGGCTCAACAGATGGGAGAAGACATCCACGATGAATCTGATTCGAGATCTTCATGCGGCTCTAGTCTACATAGTTCTTGCCGCACCCATCGCCCTTGACCAAGTCATCTTCCATGGGCGTGATTGCAAGCCTCTTCACATCGGGCCCAGAAGTACCATGCGTACCGGGACATATCTCAATTCGGATCTCAACAGCTATTAAGCTTTGCTCGCATATTTTGTTCAGGATGCAATCACATTGCCTGTGATAACAAGTTTCCATGGGTCATGATTCATTCGTCCCGCCTGATTGATTGTAATTCCCCTCCCTCGGGAAATAATAGTAGGTCAAGGAGTGCCCCCTTGCGTCTTTCTGCGAGATGGCATCAGATGCTCGCGGTCAAGATCTTCACCGCTCTTTTATGAATGCTGATAATCTTCCTTCTGCTGATGAAGATGAGGGGGGACGGTCCAATTGAATTCATGCATTTGATTCGAGATTGTTCTATCGGGTCCTCAGTGGCTTGAAATAGATGGAGAACAATGGATGACTTGCAGGCGGATCAATAAATACTCAGATCTTTTGATACTAGTTCATACAAGTTAGCCACTGTTCTGGGTGGTTTGAGATAGCCTCCGTCCACAAAGACCTGAGTGCTCCGTAGAAAATCCATGATTTGACCTTGGCACTCAACATTCCACTATGATCGTTCTATGTGACACGAAAACGTTGACCAACTTTAGAAAAAGCTAAGCGGTCTCGTGGATGGCTACACGCCACTGAAATGCTGCAGGATCTCCAGCGGCTTACTGGATTGGGGACGGTGGCTTGATCCTCACTAGCAAGTCGCTGCCATCGCAAACAAAAACTCCCGTTGACCTCGGGAGCGGTCGTTAATTTAAACCAGTGCTTTATTAATGTGCTCAAAAGACACGTGAACCTATAAGTATAAATAATGTACAACGCAGGCCAAGGCGTAATTCTCACCAATCCGTCTTCTACAAACAATCTGGTAGCCGTTCTAGTTCTTTCGCAAATACAGCGCAATCCAGCCGAGCAGTCGATAAACAGCGATAATGCCGACCAGAATGCCAGCCCATTTCCCGGTTCGACCGGTAGCATAGCCATATGACTCGAGAACCCCAGTGCCACGAATGAGACATTGATCTGCCAGGTCAGTGGTGTACATGCACTGACAACCGGCACCACAGGAGTAGTTCCGCTTTGAGAACTCATTGACCATCATACCCTGGAATACATATGCCTAGGTGTCAAGGGTTAGTTTGAGAAGATTAACTTTTGATAGCAAATTGTCAGCATACCTGGTAGTCAATGTAGTGGAACACATATTTCCAAAACGGATTGAGAATCTTCGGGGTGACCAGAAACCCTCCGACACTCATCCACAGTCCATTTGCGAACGCTACCAGTGCCAAGGCGATCACGAAGTTCGGGAAGATTGCTGTCACAAGGACCACCAACGATTCGGCAGCCACGAGATCCAGGAAAATCCACATAACCCAAGTGAAGAAGGCTTCTGCTGTTGGCTGGAAGTTCGAGAGCCAGTAGGAAATGATTGAAAAGAGGATTGATATCAAGACTGAGCTTTGGTCAGCGTGGGGCCATTTAGCATGTGGGAATGGATAGCATACACAAAAAGGGCAATCCGATGATAAAGTTAGAAATCATGAAAGGTGTTGCACCATAAAGGCCATTGGCTCTCTCTTTTGCGAATGTAGCTCGATCTTCCAAGAATGCTGGAACATATGCCACAGCCATGAAAGACATAAAAGCGGAACCGAAGAACTTTTCTCGTCAGTACAATCATTCTGGTGCCTGAAGTACGTAAAGACTCACGATTGCGTTGATGAAAGGCTGAATGTACTCCTGTGACGGATGGAGCCGGAGCCACACTGTGCCCATCATGATAGCCAAACCTGTGTTACGTCAATCGCTGCTGACCTGGGGGGTAGCTTGACAACCATACCAAGATACATGATAATTCGAATTCCATAAGCAACAACATCGCGGTAAGACTTGATGAAAGAGCGACGCAAAAGTGCCATGGTGATGGAAAGTCCATTTGGCCGAGTCATGTCTTCCTCAGTCCAGCTTTTTGTGACTTTTTCCGCCGAATTGACTCGCTCGGAAATTTGGCCGTCCACTAGAATTGACTGCGCTGATTCTTTCCAAGCATTTTGAATCGCCCGCACTCGCTCACCGGCTGGTTCTTTAGAGCCCGAAAAGTCTGAGCTAACAAGATCCAACAGAAATTCAGCTGGGTTTGTTTGGAGAGGGATCGAATATCCGATACTATCAAAGTAACTCTCCGTGTCTTCAGTTTTACCGAAATAGCAAGTCCGTCCGGATGAAAGGAGAAGCAATTTATCAAACAGCTTGAAAGTTGTAGTCGATGGTTGGTGGATACTCGCGATGATGATGAGCTGCATCCGTTAGTCAAAACCAGAGCAGTACTTTCGAGTTATGATTGACTCACATTATTGACCCGAGCAAGCTCTTTTGCATATGATATCACTTCATAGCTCGCAGTGGAATCTAAGCCACTGGTTGGCTCGTCCAAAAACAAAATCTTGGGACAAGTGATGAGCTGGCTGGCAACGCTCACACGCCGTTTCTGACCACCACTGATTCCCTTTCGAATAGGTGTACCTACTATGGTATTCGCCTGCTTTTGGATACCGAATGCTTCCAACAGGGTTCTAGTCCGTTCCATGCGTTGGATCTTTGGTACAGAGCTGTTGTAGTTAGCACATAAAGGTGTGGGGCTGATTTCAGCAAGGAGTGCAAAGTGACTTACCCGGTCAAAGAAAGATCAGCTGCAAACTTCAATGTCTCCTGCACAGTCAAGGATCCTATCAACGCATCCTCCTGTTCGACATATGAAGTCATTCGCTGAAAGGTCTTCGAGTCGACTTGAGAGTCGTTCACGTATGTCTCCCCGATCACTTTTGCGCCAGATGACGCGGCACGCCGAGCAAGTACATTGAGCAAAGTCGTCTTGCCACAGCCCGAGGGACCCATCAACGCAATTAGCTCTCCTGCACAGCACATATCAGTCATATTCTTTGGTATACGGTATGATCCTGGCTACATACCCTGTTGTGCATCTCCGCTGATCAAATTGATCAAATCGCGGGACTGCTTGGTCTCCCGGTCCTTCACTGTGACAGTGAGATCCCTCCACGAAAAGTTCTGGACGGTCCGGTTCATGAGGAAGTCCCCGCCATCGTTTCGCTCTAGATCCGGGGACCTGGCCGAGTTTGTGATTGAGGGATCCTGCATGCTGCGAGATTCCAACCGTTGATGGTAGGTTCCAAGATGTCGGGTTCCTGATGACAGAGTGAGAGCTGGTTGGTTTGACTACCTTTAACCGTATTTGGAGACGGGAACAAGGAAGGCGAAGCAAGGAGAAGAGAGGAACTGAGTGAAGCCTTTCCCCTACGATTGCAGTCGACAGCGGGGTCAGCTTTTATAAATTTTGATTGAGTCTAGCTATGCGGTGATTAGTTAACATACCCCTGCCGGGGAGTGGAGTGGAGCGTGACCATCACACATATAGGTGGAGTCCGAGGTCCCCGACTGAGGCTGAAGATTTGCGCTTAGGGCCCGCTGACCTAAGACTCTTCATAATGCGGACTTTGTTCCCGGGGTTCCCCAGGTCCCCGAACGGCGATAGACAATGGGCTTTGAAAAAATCTTAAAAGCCACTGCTTACTAGATGGCTGAATCTAGACGGTCTAGCAACTGCAGATGCGGATCTGCGGCCTTTAGCTCTGTCGTTGGATCCGATCAGCTGGATCAGGTTCTAGAATCCCAGGCGAACGGTGTTATGCGTACCTACTCAACTGAAACAGTTCATATTCTTGATCATGTTCGATATTTATGCTTGGCAACTAAGAAAGCAAGTTCAGAAAAATCCCAGTGATGAAGAATCACTGCCGTTTTTATTTGCCCGCTTGTGGCGCCCAATGCAGCTAAAAGAGTAAAATGATAAACTATAGAAGGGAGGTGTTCGAACAGAAAGAAAAGTAAAGCCGGGTGGCGATTACATGCTAGAAGTAAATTAGCACTTGCTTTTTCGGTGAGAGACGACGATACTAACCGTTCAACGGGGTTCAGGCCGAGGACGCGCATGCCGTTGTTCAAGACCTGGCGGGCCGCGGCATACAAGGCCATACGAGCCTGCTTAACATCGGGCTCACTGCCGATGACCTTCAGAACATCGTAGCTGGAGCTCAACATGTGGGTCATGCGGAACAGGTAGCTCAGGACAGTGATGGGCTCGAGGGTCTTGGCAGTCTGCAAGAGCACATCGGGCCATTGAGCCAATAAACGGACCAGGTCAACAGCGTGCTTCTCGGTCAACAAGTCAAAGTTGGCGTTGACCAGGTCGTCAACGTCCAGCTCGGACTTGCGGGTCATCGAGCAAAGACGGGCGTGGGCGTACTGCAGGTAGGGACCAGTGTCACCCTCGAAGGATGTCATAGCATCCAGGTTGAAGTCATAGCCGTTAACGCTGTAGTGATCTATTAGCATACCATTTATTTGGAGTTAAGATCGGGCCATTTTCACATACCGCTTGCCAGTCATATCTTGCACCATGACGGATGTAATACCCAGAACATCGGCGGTCTTAACGGGGTCCTCGACTTGAGCATACTTGACCTCGTTCTTTTTCATGACCTCGTGCATCTTGTCGCCGACATCGCGCAAGATATCATCCAAGAACTTGACAGTACCCTTACGGGTGCTCATACCGCGGACCATGCCAAAGTTGATGTGCTGGCAACGAGATGCCAGATCCTTGTGTCCCATCAGCTCAGTGACCTTGAAAAGCTGAGCCAGGTGAAGATCCTGCTGGGAGGCTACGACATAGATCATCTTGTCGAAGTGGTACTCCTCGTCACGCTCGGTGATGGCACCGATGTCACGAGTCAGGTAGAGGGGAGTTCCATCCTTGCGAACAATGATGGCCTTGCCGAGCTTCTTGGCGCCGTGCTTGGTGAAGTCGACGATCACAGCACCTTCGGATTCCTCGGAGACGCCAGCCTTCTCCATGAGCTTGTAAGCACCGGTCATGCTCTCAGACTTGATTTGAGATTCACCAGAGTAGACATCGAAGTCAATGTTCAGACGGGCGTAGGTCTGCTTGTACTTCTCAATACTGAGGTCACGGAACTTGCGCCAGAGAGCAAGTGCTTCGGGGTCGCTGTCCTCCATGCTCTTGAAGTAGCGGCGAGCTTTCTCGTCCTCGCTAACATCCACGAGCTTGGCGAGCTGTGCCTCCAGCTCAGCAACATCCTCGGACTTCTCCTTCTTGGTCTTGATCTGTTCCTTGAGCTCCTTGATCGGACCATCTTGCTCGCTGACCAGACCGTTAACCTTCACGTAGACATCAAAGAGGTGGTTGATGGGGTCTTTGACAAGAGCCTCCTCGTTGCCAAAGTACTTAAAGCCGTTGGCCAACAGACCATACTGCTTACCCCAGTCACCCAGGTAGTTCATCTTGATAACATCCCATCCCATGACAGTGTAGATATTGGCAAGGAATCCACCAATGATGGTACTGCGCAGATGACCGGCGTGGAAAGGCTTGGCAATATTGGGCGAAGAGAACTCAATGATGATCTTCTTTTGTCCCTTGGAGGGGTCGGAAGGGTCCTTCTGACCCTGGTTGCCATTTGTTCCATAGGCGGCCTTTTCTTTGAGGACGCGACCGAGAACTGTGTTCTTCAAGGGCTGAGGCTTGCAGAAGAACTGCACGTGAGGACCGAGGGCGGTTGGGGGGTAAATGAGGTCGGATTCCGGGAACTTGCTCACAACGTCCTTGGCCAACTCGATGGGGTTTTGCTTGATCTGGAGAGAAGCGACCTAATTGCGACAAAAGATTAGTATATCCATCATACGCCGAGATGGGTAGGCATTCGCATGTCGTACGTACGGGCAATGAAAGATCACCCTTGTCCAGGGTGCTGGTCCATGCAACACGAGCATAGACCTTTTGAGCATCGACGTTCAGGGCTTTTCCAATCTCAGTCGCGATATGTTCCCGATAAGTATCCATTGGGTTCAAGGTCGGGAAGCAGCCAGCGAACTGAGATCGCTGCTCGGTCGATTGGAGGGACAAGGCCGCCACGGAGGCGGGGAGGGAAGCTGACGCCATGATGGGAGATCGCGAGGTAAACGACGCGCGGGGTATCAGAGGCTTCAAAAAACGTGAGGTTATAGAGGGGTAGCGCAACGGAGAAAAAAAGGCTGTGAATCGCCGGGCCCCGCTTAGACAATGACCCATAAAGAGGGGGACTCTCGGGGATCTTTTTTTTTTTTTTTTGCCTCTCTTCTTTCTGCCTTTTTCCCGTGACTCATGTCGGGCGGTGGGTCACGTGCTGATATAGACGGTGTCTGCGTTTGCGTCATCGCTCCTGCACAGCCGATCTCCATGAATATCAACTTCTTTTTGAACACAAATTAACTTGAATCTACAAACACGATAAATTCTGCGCTTTCCGGGACTTCCAAATCTATCTACTTTCGATTGAGTAGATATCACTCACCCGGGCAATGCCAACATTTTCGATCTCTTAGGGTTACATATATCTGGCCAACGACACCATGCTGAGATGTTCATGAGCATTTTGACCTTAAAATCATATCACCAAACAAACCATTTTTATATTACATGTACATCGAGGTCACATCCATCAAGGAGGATTCATTTCCTTAGATCGGATTTTCTCGAGATCTGTTGTTATCTCTTGATTCTCTTCCATATGTATTTCTCCCATGGGGCTAATGGGGCTAAAATGAACTATGTAAAGGTCCCTTTAAAAGAGGATGATGCACCAACCGCAGTAATCAAATGGCCTTGGGTACACTGGAAAGTGTTTTCCCACCACATAAGTATCGGCACCTTTTACGGCCGCATTCAATCATCACATCCACCTCTGTTGTTTACATGGCCAGTTCAGACAGCGGCCTTACAAGAAATGAACTCACTGCTATCGTGAGTATAATTATTTTCCGGCTAAACCACAAACCATTCAGAAAACTCCAGTGCCATCCAGTAAGTGACTTAGCTATACATTCACACCTGGGCACGGATTATATCTAAAGTCTATAGATTTTGGCTTGTACCTATTTTGGAGACCCGATGGGGAGAATTATACTTACAGGCCACATATGATGGGAATGAACTCATTCTACAATATTCGCCGCTGTGGCGCTTTGGGACAGAGGCACTAAGTAGCGCCTATGAAACTGTCTATGCGCTAGCTTTTGAGTGAGCCGGTTGATGCAGTCTGCGCTTTATACATTAAGTGAAAAGCGATGACCTTCGCTTATATCGCTCTTTTGCTTCCAAGCTGCAATTAAGATGAGACATTGTGACGACTGAAAGCCCTTGTGTGCAGGAACATTGCCTAACACAAACCGACTTAACTCTAGATCGCCTTCTTAGACGAGCACGTCTCTTTTCACATACATGCATACCTACCTAGAAAGGTACTGATACGCGTATATTTATGCCTAGGTGTATGTTTATAGCGTGATTGTGGTATATGTGAGGATCTGATATGCGCCTGCCCAGGTGCCGTTTGAAAGACATAGGCTTTGGATTGAGAAGGAGCGTATACCACCAGGTGGAAGCCTTGGCAAACTAAACATTCAGTCTCAACAACACCCCCAGCCCCAAAGGGCTGTCTATCACTGCAACTAGCCAAGATTTATATACGAGATGGCAGAATCATCCCAACTCTTCAAGACTTCGAACCCCCCGAAACTCTGGAACCCCATCATTACCTGAAGCGATTTCCGAATGGAGGAAACTTCCAAGGTTGTTGAATTACCAGTAAAAGACCCTCAACAGCTTGAAATTCTCGAAAAGGCCTCGAGAGCTTTCATAAGCTCAGATTGACATATGAAAAAGTGTAACATCAATCTGTATCAGAAAAGTCAACAACTCCTACAACACAGAAAACCTCTTCTCCAAGCACTCTCCATTATGCCTTTGCGAGAAGAACCCCCCGTAAGTTGAGAAGGCAGTTCTCTGTTACTTGCCCTACAGAGTATTCCTATTCCACGTTGACTGGCTCTGTCCATGGACAGTTTCAAACTAGAACTTCAGAAGGTGATGAAATTCATACTGACTGATGGCAGAACTGCGAAGAATGTGATATATACCTAGGTATGGGCATTGTATAGAGTATTGTCCTGTGATTCGGAGACGCGCCATACTGATTTCCATGGTGACGTCCCGTCCGCCGCCGCCCTGTCCCCTCTCGTTCTGGTGGCGAGGTACGATGGATATACCTGTCTCCCAAGAAGAAAAAGTGAGTCGATCTCACATATGACCACAGAAGAGAGCCCTTTGCCGCGGCCGGTCCGCCTTCTCATCCGCACATGTACGTGGCGGACCTCTCGGTTGAATCACTGGAGTATAGGATCACTGCCTTGCCCAGGTGGGCATAAAGAACGTTGTTATGACGGGAATGGAGCCTTTGAAAACAGGTTTCCTGCTAGTTAAAAAGGGAGTCGTTAAATTCAAGCAGCTTGGTCTCATTCAAAAGTTCTACACTGACCTTCGAACCGCTGTGTCAAAGCCCCCGTACAAGGCTAGGCCTATGTAGTTATTCTTCTATGAGCTGGTACTCAAAGGGCCCGGTAAATCGGGGGATAGAATTACAATGTCCGGAGTCTGGAAATATTCACTTGTTGCTCAGGTGGAAGGAGCAACTGAGGTCTGTAGAATCAGGAAGGAGCCCTCAACAGAAAAGCCAACAACTCCCACAACACAAACTTCCCTTCACCAAGACAATCCCTCACAGTTGCTATTACTCTTGCCGCAATGTCCAGTCGTGGCCCGCCCCCGGTAAGTTGAGAAAGCACTGCCCTGTTGCCTGTTACTTGAGATGTCCCCAATCTAGCTGCAATCACCCCGTCCATGGACCTGGAATGAGAGGCCCCCTGATGTCTATGAATATTTTCCAAATGATGAGATAACGAGATTTATGCTGATCGCTGATAGATCTTTTGCTCGTATTGCTACACCCGTGATCACACAGTTGCGAACTGTCGGCGTCTTCGAGACCGACGAGATGCTATGCTCATGAGTCTTCTGAGCCCCCCCCCCGCCCCCCCCCCCCCCCCGCCCCGTGGTAAGACTGACCCCCCCCCCCCCCCCCCCTTCAAACAATGAACATTGAATTGATCTAACGTGTAGTCACAGAGGAAAAACAATCGCCGAGGCTGTAAAGGGAAAGTGATAGAGGTCTACTACTGACGAAAGGAAGGAGGAGCACGGAGATCTCTGAATTGCGTGAAGAGAGGAAGAAGAAGAGAGAGAGAGGGAGAGAGTGAGGGGAGATCTCTAGATGTATGACATGGGTCACATGACCTACAATCTAACAGAAAGGTATGTCATGGTGCTATGCCCTGTTACTAGGTCCCGGAATCAGAGCCCACACAGTTAGCTGACATATCTACAGGGAGTCGCCTAAGAGGTATTCAGATGCACCAAGCGATTTCCTGGAATTCTCGGAAAAGTTACTAACATACAGTTGAAGATCGTGAGCGTGCTTTGGCTCGCGGTCTCGGCGGTGGTGCCTCGGCGTCGGCCGCCTCTCGCCCGCGATCGGCCTCGCCGCGCCCTGCTCACAGTGGGACTGACGACCCGCGCCTCCCAAGGGACGAGGCGCCCCCCCCGTTCGCCGCCCACGGCAGACCTGTCATCCCGCCCCGGTACCGAACAAGTCATCCGCTCGCCCCTCCGCCCTGCCTCTGCGAGCAGTAAGTTTCTTCTTTCTGCTTGACTCCGGTCTGGAATGGCATGGTAGCTAACAGTTCCCTAGAGCGCTCCCCCGCCCCCAAGAAGCACGAGAAAAGGTGACGGGTGGTGCTGGAAGAAAGAGAGAGATCAAAAAAAAAAAAAAAAAAAAAAGAAGAATGACATTGAAGATTCCCTGCGGGGGCTGTCCAATTGTCCACATTGCAATTGTCCTCCGTCCTGTCCCACTCC